TACTGGGAGTTTAACGATGCACTCAATCTACGTTTTGATTAGAATTTCGATGCTAAGGTCACAATTAAATATGATTTTTGATTTTAAATTCTTTTGTTGAGCTATGACGGCTTTGCCAAGGATGCAATAAAGATCACAATAACACACATACATGCACAATCCAACACTGGGCTGCATTTTCACTCAGGGAAATCATGATGATCTGTGTTCCAGCTATGGTTCCTCTTTGATGCCCAATTAACTCAGGCAGACCTGGCTAGCTGATCCAATTATTATTTCAGCTTAGCAAGTACAGTGTGGCAGGCGCAGAGGTGATGTCATGGCTAGGCAACCGCCGACGCACTGCTCTCACTGCAGGCCCTGCACTAAATACATACCATTAGGTTAAAATGCAGCGTTTTCAGTTAATATAGCATGGTGCAACTCTGTGTCACATTGTGCTTTTTCTCCTTCACACCTTTCTGTCACTTCCTGCGTTTGACGATTCCTGGTCTCTCACTCTGCCGACTGCTTCTTCCTCTTCTCGCTGCACAGAAACCTCTCTTACTCCCCAATGAGCTCTCCATTGTCCCACATCTTTCCTTTACCCCCCCATATCTTTTCATCATTTACCCCTTTCCTGTGAATTCCATCTTCTCTCACCTGAATCCTAACCACCTCTTCTCTCTTCATGCTTTCTCACAACAAATCATTTAATTCCTTCCTGCTTCCGTTTTTTTAGTTTCTTTGTTTTCCCTTGCACTAAAGACTGAAGGGAAGGAAGAATAATAATGGAGTTTGGGGGGAGATGAGGGCAGTTGGCTGACAGAGAGAGTCCCATCTGCAGTGAGCTCATTAGAAGATGGGAGGAGAACACGGAGGCATCCACATTTCTCTCTATATCTGTCTCTATGTCTATATGTGTGTCTTTCTCTGTCCTCAAATACCATGCTCTCATTTATCACAAACATATCCGACACACAGTCAATTGTTTTACTTTTTACCACCTTGCAGTACCATGAGGCCATACATTTTTACTACATGTGGAATCAGTGGAAATCAAGCCATAAATCCAAAGCATTGTTAAAGCTGGACAACTGTTCTTCTTCTCTGACTTTTGCAGTGTAAGAAGGAGTGTGATGAATTACTGATAGGAAAATGCTCAAAGCTGAATCTCCAACTACTGCCTGAGCTTGACCCTGCTTTTGTGCATGAAGCCTTAAAGCTAGCTGACAGGGCCTTGAGTCTTAACACCTCTCTCCAAAGGTGGGCAAAATAAGTCATTGTCCTTTATCGCATTTGCCTAAATTCTGCCATTTTCAGCCACTTGAATGTAAAGTGCAAGTGCAGATTAAAACTGGCAAACCATGCCGGTTGCACGTTCCAGTCCGATCTGCATTAATGTAATGACACTGCCCACTCCTTTCACCTCTAAACTACAAATAATTATTTCCATTTTCTATGGCTTTAATGTGAAGGTCAGCAGATGGCGAGGATACACTAATGGAGCTGGGAAGCATGAAAAAAGCATGGTGTCCATTTTTTGTATTTTTAAACAGAAGGTTATTCAACTGATCCCCAAACACTAACATTACTCACCCTCCCTCGCAAAAAGGGTCAAAAGGTCAGCGACAGCCAACATCTTTTGAGCTGTGAGGGATTCTGCTCAAGGACTCTCAAGTGATAAACATGAATCACTGCGAGTCAAGTGTTTATCTTTCAAACTGTGGGATACAAGGTAAGAAATTAAAGAATCACCAACCTACTCACAGCATGGGTGGATACATTCCTGATACAGGAAGCTATTCAATTCCCACTGCGTGATAACAAAGCCATGATAAATCGATTTGAATGATAAATACAATTGTAACATCTCCACTGTTACCTGGACATCCACATTGGGTGCCCTGCACAGCACCCTTGAAGGAAAGAAGAGTGATATCTCGGGTTTAATGGTGCATAACATGTATGTAATCTTGTAACAATTCCACAGTAATGGGGATATCGTAAAAGTGTCCATTAGCCGTGGCACATCAGCGTTCTTTATGTCATTAAACAAGCTCATGAGAAACCCGTCACCAACGCAAGCATCAAGTCAGCTGATAGATGAGCACGCCGAGGCTGTCAATTAGCACCCCCCCCCCCCGCCCGCCCTGTGTCCATGAATATGCAATCAATGCAATCGGCAAGTATGGATCAAATGTCAGCCGTCTGCCTGAGGCCCATTCACATTTCATTTTAGTGAACATATGGAAGAAAGCACGAACAACATGTAGCACATAACAGAGCTCGATGGCATCAAAGTGTTACATCAAAGCTCTTCTTGACAGTTCTACTGTTGTCTCTTGACTTATGTTGCTTTCTTTTCTTTAATCAAGTAGTAATATTAGATAGAAAGGACATGAACATACACAAGTATATAAGAAAAGGAAGCTATTTTTGGTGTGTTCAAAGACAAATAAGGTTGTGAATTTCCTTTCGGAGTGTTTATAAAAGATGCAGTCAATACAACAATAGCTTTTTCCCCATCTCATGTTGACAAACCAGCAGCATCAGATGTTGCCTCTGGGCTTGTGTCACACCTCAAAGAGGTGCCATATGTGCCACCAGGCCCCAGAGCTCCTCTGGAGGAAACTCATTTGTGCATTTTAAACAGTCAGCTAATCTAATATTTAGGGTCTTTGAAACAAATGAAACAATACTGGAGAGACAGACTGGGCTCCCACATGTTTAAAATCTCTGAGTCAAATTGTCCTCCAAACAGCGATGTGGGAAAGGATGTGCCCGTGTTCAAATAATAAAAGTACAGAGTGACACTCGGGAGAAGAACTTTTTGAACTTGTCTACTTTGAGGTGAGGTCAAAGGTCACGTTTCAGTGTAAGACCCCCTGGACCTGGTTGAAATTCAGTGACTTTCTCATTGACAGGTGCTCCAGGTCCTGCTGCTGATGCTGTCTTACATATCAAATGAATTGTTGTTGTGAACAAGTGAAAGGGATGAAAACAGTGCCAACCCAGTGAAAGATTGACATCCTGTTATTAAGTATAAGATATCAAAATGACATCAGAAGATCAAATTTGTGGGCTGACAAATTTGACTAGTCTTCATGTCGATATACCACAGTTACTGCACCGTTTTCTAAAGCATTACACACAAAACGGAGCTACTTTGCAGCTCGGAGAGATGATTTTGAGGCAAAACCTTTTCTGCACACAATTGGCCAAACATCAAAGCAGCCATTTGAAAGAGGAGTTCCAACCTCTCTTGATCTCTATCTTTGCTCATTTCACATGTCGAGAAGTGGCCTACAGCATGGGGGGAAATACAAATACATCTTTGCTGTATCAGATATGATAAATTCACAACATCATTGCACCAAACCCCACCCCACTTGTCAAATACAAACTAAACAGTTACAGTATTTTCATTTCTGACCCTGCTGTGCTTCAGGGAGGATAACTAATTCAAAGTCTTCCCTCCCTATCCTCAGCAGCTCATCCCAGCAGCTCTTTGGACTGTCATCAGCAGTCCATCCTGTGGACGCCTGCCAGTAGCCCCTCTGTCCGATCAATAGGCACCGGCGGCTAGCTTTCCCCCTTTTGCTCTCTCTCCCTCTCTGCTACCTCGGTATATAGAGGCTGCTCTGTTCTGCCGGCGCAGCATAGTGATTAGGCATTAGGCCTGCGCTGCTGTGTGAATTAGCTTAATCTGTGTCCGCGATGAAGGACGAGGCTTTTCATGCCCACTGGAGACATTCACTGGACATAAAAGAAGCTAATCTTTAGGACATTTAGAGGGGGTGAGAGTGTGTGTGAGGGAAACAGGGATTGCTTGAGACAGTTCCCACAGTGATTTTTGTTTTAAATCCATCCAAGTTTTTGAAGATGTGTGGCAAGGTGAGTGTTATACTGTCATCCCTCAAAGAACAGGAGAAGTGGATAACATGCAGGTGGAGAAATAGAGAGAAAATCTATATTCCCATATTCCTGCAGCAGAGGTCAGTTTAAGGGGAATTAGAGGGGATTGTATTGAACATGGAAGCTTACCTGGCCACAGAGGAAGCTGCCTAACCTGAAGTGCTAAACCCAAAGTGTTATACTTTCAAACACTGACAAAAGACAAAGGAGTTAATGTGATATACCTGAGCGCACTCTTTCCCTCTCTGTGCTTCCTCTGTCCAGCATGCACCTGTCCAAGTGCTGACATGCACTAGGATGAACATGAACCCACAGCATGCCTAACAGCAGAAACCCCAGCCCTCCTCCTCCTCCTCCTCCCCCTCCTCCTCTTCCTCCTCTCCTCCACATCATCTGCTGGATATATTGTACGCCCTTGACAAACTGCCAGTGCACAATCCCCCCTCCTGCAAATGTCTACTGATGAAAGCCCAAGTACAGCCGTAGTCTTACCCATACTCTTATCCTTGTATCACCTTTCCTGCTCCCGCACCTCACAGACAAAAGGCAATTCCATAAAAAAACGTAACAAGCATCAGTGGACAGAGATTTATAAGCAATAATCTACCCTATAATACCCAAGGCACCTGTTTGGCCCCAGTAATAAATCATATTCCAATCCATACTAGGCCATAATATCTTGTGCAGATAATTTTAAGGAAACAACAAGTTAACTTCTGGTAACAATGGACTTCCCCAAACAAATCATCCGGCTATGGAGAGCAACCCTTTTTGTTTACACGGTGCTTTTCACACCTTAAAAGCACTTTTACGCACAACCAATGGGGAATGTGGGTCAGCTGGAGCTAAATATCTGTAGAGTGTTGGGTGATCCGAGCACAGCCGGACGCTTGTGTCTGAGAGGAGCGTGTTATCAAAAGCAGATCACCAGCACTTTCCCAAAATCACCCACCATACATGATCAAGAAGTCATTTCCTGCGCATCGCCAAACTACGATCCACTTTGGGGAATGAAAACAGACTAAACACACAGACCTGTCACCTCCTTGCTGTCTGCCCGATCACATTAAGTCTACAGCAGGGAACATAACGGGATGACCTACCGAAATGAGATCCTGTGCACTGTCAGCGTCCGGCTTCCCCTCGTTTCCCTCGTGCCCCTGGTCCGCCTCTCCTTCCAGTCAATCCGCAATGTGCTCAGATCAGATCACAACGGATTGGTGCGCCTTTTCGCTGCGTCCTGCTTCCAGAGTTGCCGGGGATGGAGCGACCATTTGCCGGGATCCTGGGCCGGGGGTGCGAGGCTGAGGCATCCGCAGGGAAGAGGAAAGGGATGTGGAGGAGACAAAGGAGGAAGAGGCGAAGCGCTGGGTGCGAAACGCGAGAAAGAACGAAAGAGAGGAAGAGACGGAGAGAGAGGAGAGCAGCAAAGCACTGCAGCGACGGGGAGGAAACACCGCCGGAGAGGAGGCAGACAGCAGCTCCCTGACTCTCTCCCGCACTCGCTCACGCACATGCGCGCGCGAAACATTGCAATCATATAAGGATACGGAGCGCCATCTGCAGGTGGCGCGTGGTGGTGAGGTTGGGAGTTGTCTCATGCATTTCATGTGTGTTAATGAGCATATTTAAACTGTGATTTATTTTTCATTTTTGACAGGGTGTGTGTGTCAGTGTACCTCCACGGGAAAACCTTTCTTTTATTAATTGTTCTGACTGACATTTCTCCAAATTCTACATCATAGCAAGTGCTGTGTGCATGTCATTACTTTCGAAGGTCATCCTTGGCAACAATTAGAACACACACAAGCAATAATTTAGGCTTACTTTGACCTTGACCCTTCGTCCTACCCTCAATACATCTTCAACCCTTTGCCAAATTCTGGTTTCATCATATAATTACCTTATAAGGATGTGATTCAATTCTTATGTGGGAGATTAGTCCACATATGTGTACAGATGTTTCCCCTCAACACCACCGCCACTTACCCCACCCATGTTGTCATACACCGCCCCTTCCCCCCTCTGCACATATTCACACTCCATGGCAACCAGATCCCTGTTGGGTTCTGATGATGATAATATCACCTGACCTGCCCTCCATCATCTTTCCACCCCTATCCCCTTCAGTTTGCAAACACACACACACGAGCACACACACAAACCTGGTTTCCCAAGGTCAAGAATTGCTGAGTATTTCAGATACGTTGCTATATCATATTCTGCACAGTCAGTTCTGCTGGCTCGGACAGATTGAGGATTTATTTCCTTCTTCCTTTCCTTTTCCTTTTTTTGCACTCTCCTTTTTCATTTCTTTCACTTTGTTCTCTCTTTGGAGGCATTAAAATGTCTACATCATGTTGAGATATGGCCAATGTGCACACAGTGTCGTTTCTGTCTCCTGTTCATTCTGATTCTTGTCTCTTCTTTTCTTTTTTAATCAAATAACGTACCCTCAAATTTCGTTCTTCTCTATTCATCACAAAAAAAATGTGTAAGAAACTGCTGTTCGGAAATGCTTGTTGTACAATTATATGGATAGCGATCAGTTCTTTCTAGAAAACGCAATAATAATATATTGGAATATATTTTTGTATTCATCTTTATAAGCGGCACAGCAAAATATCATATTTACCACCAAACTGTGTTGTGTTGAATAAGATAATATTATAGGGATGAAGAGATGCTGCAGAGGTATACACATAATCATGAGCTGTGGGGCGCTGTGCAAGCAAGTAAATACTGGGTATTCAGTGTTCAAATTTGTATGGAAATGGAGTCAAAAAAGCCACAATACATATAAAAGTAAAAGAAAAACAGCCATGCCACTTTTATACATTTTACACAATAATAAAGACAGTTGGCATTTGCATCCAAACTCCTTTATAATTGATTTAAAACTTTCCCATTCATTTATATATTTTTAAAGATATTATTATTTTATAGTTATATTTGAGTTGAGCCATATTTAAGTACCTAGAACTATATTTCTCAGTTACTACAAGGATTGCTTTCAGTGAATATTCCTTAGATAAATAAAGGTTTATAAAAGTTCAAATCAACCATATTTTCTGGCATGATCCTCAGTCACACTTGAACTCAGAAGTTATTGTGTATAACTTTGTTGGGTTTGAAGCTTTACTGTGCAACCTCTATAGCCAAAGCATTGCTGTGTTGAAAACTGACTGCTGGAGAATCTCGTTAATTACCACCATTCATCTGTCATCTGTTTGGTTTCATTTGTTTACAGCAGGAGGTGTTCACTTCCTGTTTGAAATCGTTCTCTTTTCATTTCTGCACTAATGTCATTATGGAATTGTTTGTTTGTTGCTTTTATCCTGCACATATGGACAAAACAGACACATTATACTATATTATTCCATCATCCCATATTGTAGCATTACAGCCAAAAGTGAATTTGAAAGATACATACAATACTCTTCCGTATTGCCAATGCATTTAGAGATTGTATTGCATACCTCTGCCTGCTGTTTAGCAGCCTGTTTATAGACTGGGAACTGATTTCTAACAAGTGTTATAAAGGTCAGAGGAAATTAAAAGTCAAGCAAGTGACGTCAATCTGAGCTTTATCAAAGATATATATCTTCTGTGATAACATATTTTAATCGTACTCTTCTTCTCTTTTTGTGTACACATGTTTAAAGACTTTCCATTAGATGGTGCCACTGAGCTGAACTTAATTTCAATGTTTTTTTCTATTATATTTTAAATCTAAATACTTGTGCATTTTCCAATGCGACCAATTTTCTCCTTGTCCACTTATGCCTGAAAGATGCCACAACATGACTTCCTGTTTATGTGTCACTATTTACTCCTCGGTCTTGAATGTTCACCCACATTGATAAGAGTGAGTACCAAAGGTCATGCAATGAAAATAGTTTATAATGTAAATAGACCGTCACAAATATTAGTTTCTTGCTGCAACACATGAAACACAGCTGCGATAAAGCCTGTCCCTAGAGATGTTTTATATAAAGCGTTATATATAATTGCACTCCCTTTGGGCTGCTGCATTGGGCAGTCACTCTAACCCTGTACATATTTGTGAAATAGATACCATGGAAACGAAGTATTTGAAAGTATACATATTTAAAGGTTCCATCATTCATCTTCCAAATCTATTAATCTCGTTGGACAGATGTTGTCACTGCATACATTTGGAAATACTGAGAATCAGAAAGAAAAGGAAGCAACTTTACACCACATAAATGTAAAATCTTTGTGGATATCTATCCCATAACTCCCCATAAGAACATGTTGAGCAGCAGATGAGCACAGAGCGAGATCACCGCCAATCCCACGTCAGGGATTGGAAGAACAGATCACACAGGTGGATGCTGTGGAGGTGGAGGAAGCAAACAAGAAGGCATTCAGCACAGCGGGGAAGAGAAGCCAAAGAGGTGCATATGGGACGGCTTATTATGCAGGAGTTTTTGTTAGTGGCAAACATAACTGTGTCTGGCAAAGTTTTCTGCCTGAGCATCTCAAATGCTTTATTTAATGAGAAACCATACTGCAAGAGAGAGTATCGGCTGAAGTGTGTGTACAACATAACCTTAAACTTATTCCAAAACAGTGAGTGAATAAGCCACTCAAGGATTTCCATCATATATTGGATTTTAGCTGCAGAGATTTCCTCCCATTCAGCCATTAGAAGGATAATTCTTCCTGAAAGCTAGAATCTGTACTAAGATAAAACAGGGAAGTATGAGAAAGTTACAAATTCCTGTTTTTATTTCCTTTTTGATTCACCCCCAAACCGTTGGTTGAATGTCCGATTCATAAAATATGTTGCAACTCAGTTCAGAGAAATGATCTAGAAGTCACACCCTCATGTCTGTCAGTGTCTGTGAGAAAGTTGCTACAGTTCATGGGTGGGTGCACAAAACTAACATTGGCTGCAAAAGTTCAATGGAAGAAATGACTATAATTCTGGAAAAAAATCTGTAATGCTGACAAGAAACTTTTTAATTGACTATATGGCTTCATCAATAGCGGTCATTAATGAAAGAAAAAGAAACTCATGAGGTGATCAATATTTCTTTGCAGAAGGCACTGAAAAACTTGTGTAAAAAGTCACAAAATGTTCAAATTATAATATTGTCTACTACTTTATTTCCTGGAAACATTTATAAGGTAACAGGATTGTTTAATATTATACATTCAATGATAAGAGTAATGTTACAGCTGGCTAGCTACCTAACAAGGAAGGAAGACACACACAATTGTGGATTTTAAATGATATTTATTTATGAAAATAAGAATTCAATAATTAATAGGTGATAGCAGTGAGATATAATCATGCTGCCTTCTTTCTACTACTCCAGGTGCAGACTTAATGGGTGCTTAATCTCAATGTTTACTCACTTTGAATCGTCCACAAATTAGAAATTCCAAAATGACTTAAGCTGCAGATGTAACATGGATTATAACTGACTCCACCCTTTGCTGAACTTACCATTGTTTATAAAGGGTTGACGCCTCTTTCAAGAAAAATAAACATCCACCTATTACCGAACACAGGAGAGTGTGTTGCCATTGTGATGGATTGGCTCTCTGAAGCAAGTTTCATATATGAATGGATGTGAATGGATCGGAAAACCAGTGGCTGCCTGAAAAGTGGGAGAAACAGATTCATCATGGTCAGCATGTTACAGGAAGTATGCATGCTTTGTAGTTAATGAGCTGAAACGAGACAAAACACTAGCGATGTAATGATCCACAACAGAAATATACAACAAAAACAGACTCAACAATTCCCACTAATTTCCTCCCAAACTTTCGACCTGTTCAGCAGCTGTCATCGATATCTACCTCACCACTGGCGTCTTTACATATTGTTAAAAAAATCCTAACCAGATCTTCTTGTCCTCAACAGCTAAAGACCTTGTTCAAAAACCACATTCCACAAGTTTATTTAACCGTGCTAGCTGCAGTATTTATGCAGAAATGTAAGTTTGTGTTCTGAGCCTGCTCTGCACAGGGATCAATATCCTGGTAACAAATGACCATGGGTTATATAACCTCAGAAACTCCCTCTGGGGTGAACCTTGGGGTTTTAGCAGGCCATTTACATGCACAAAAAAGTATGTAAAGCCCCTAAAAAGCACATTAGGGCCTCTTTTAATGGTCAACCAGCCTTCATGTTCAATGCATTTGACAACCTAGAAATACTTTACTACGTTCCTGTCGGTTAATCAAAAATCCTCAGCCATCCAGAGCTCTCAGGTGCTGTAAAATGTAACCATGATTTGCAATACTTGTTCCAATATTTGATATGAGCCCTCAACATTACAGAAGGATATAAAACATTTAAGTAACAGGTAATATGGAGCGAAAGTTTGCATCGGCACTTCAATGGTAACCACAGACATTTATATAATAATTTTAGAGTTAGATAAACTCCGGTAATGCACACATAGTTTGTAAGTGAATCACCACGCACCAGGAAACGAGACACCTTTGTTTTACCTCACGGTTGTCATGGGTACCCCAATCATTGTCTGGTTCCCCCGGTGTGCCGTTCCTGACAACACTGTCATGATCTGATGGATGTGTTTAATTACTGCATGCTCCAACCCTGAAACACACACACACACACTTCATTGATGTGCACATTTTTAAACAAGCCAGCAGAACACCAATACATGATAATACAAACTGTCTACAAACGGATATTTCTGCAATGTTTCCATGCAACTATCTGAACTCAATTTAAATACACAGGTAGGAACAGCAACAGTCAATAAGTACAGTCACATAGAAACACTTTCCAAGTTATTAAGCCACATTCCTGCATGCATTCTTCAAACTAAGGTAAAAACAAATAGAGCCAACACATGCTCTCTGCCCTCATTAAAAATGACAGCATCCGTGTATTGCTTTATTTATGCAAAATTTGATCAAAGAGGTAACATCCAATAATGTAGTACTTTTTCACTTCTGTCAACAAATGTGACATATGATTAGTGATTACTTTGCACGGCAACTATGCAGAAAACGCAGTAAGGATCTGTGGCTGTGTACTGATTTATTAAGATGGGATGCTTTTATACGCTGCTTCTGTCAAGAAAATATGCTCTTACTTCTTTACAAACATTTGTTAGTTTCAAAAAAGCACAGTAGAGCAGTGCATGTTTTAAACATTCATGGGCTTGGCTAGCAGAACCACAATTGAACCTTCTGAAACAACAAATACTGTTATTGTATCAGAAACGTTATGAGTGTCAGACATTCCTATATATTGAGTCTATTATTACTGCTTAAGCTCTATAGCAATTTGAAGAGTAACAACAAAGAGAAGTAGTGGTCAGTGAGAATAAATAAAAAATAAATCAATCAATTAGTGGCTGATGATTCCACCTGAGGCCATATTATGGTCACCTGTGTAGCCGCGTGGGACGGGTTTGCTGAAAGAGAGCATTTGAATGAATAAATGGTTCCAATAATTAGTCGAACAGCCTAGAGGCTTGTTCTGTGTGTCTGACATGAAAAACATAACACTGCTGTCACGTTGGAACTTTAACGACACGTTTTCCACGTTATTGTGTCAAGATCCACAGTAAAGTGAAACCTCTGCTGGCGAGGAAGGAAGTAAAATCACATGCTGCTGTTGCGTTACGCAGGACGTGGGGAATGACAGTAAACCCTGCGCTCTAAATCCACTGGAACCACGGGAGGACCACTGCGGTTGTTTCAGTGTAAAAACCAGACAGACTGAGCATCAATGAAGACACGAGAGAGAGTGTCACTTTCCACTCTGGCCTGCGGTGAATATGAATGAAGAATGACCAATGGTGAGTAAATAAAGCGAAGGCGTGTAGGTCAACTCAGCTCGCGTAAAGCGCTGACGCACTGAAAAGAAACATACATTTAACACATCAAATTCTACCAGAATGAAAGCCGAAGTTAGGTTCGTGTTAGTGTAAGGATCATGGAGCACTCTTGTAAAGTTTGTGCCATTTTAAAGCAGTGTAGTGAACCGGTATCGAAACTTACCGAAGAGACCTGCATCCGTCCGTCTCCGCTGAGCCTCTGGAGGACTAGCTGTATTGTTGGAGACTTAATGGTTCTACAAACAGGGGAATTCCGTGTTTATAACCTCCCATCGGCCAGTCAGAGGGAAACTGAAAGATTTGGATTTACGGGAATTTACTTCTGGGTTAAAGGAATTGACAATCTCGGGTAGGACTGCTTTAAACTCCAGAGATCAATGTTTACGTCCAGGAAAAGGTTACAACAGGTTTTAATGTAAAAATAATTAATACTAAAATTGTTGTGGTTGTATATAAAAAAAATACACATTTGGGTAAAAAGTTTTAAAGACGTTACATTTGTGATATAAGGGTATTCTACTATTGGATTTTTTAATTGACGAGGCATTCACGTACAATGTCACGGTGGGTCAATTTGAACGGTTTCCAATGTATGTACAACTATATTATGTTTGTCTCTGTTATGAATTATTCTACAAAGTAAAACACCTATAAAAGTGGGGTAAAAAGTGCACTATTTTTATTTAAAATGTAGGGAAGTCAAGTATTCTACCAGTTCCATCACTTAATTAATATGTGCCATTCCTATAGGTTATTGTTTCTCCTCTTAAAATATTAAACTTGGGGATGTTTGGTCCTGCTGTGAGATTGGGAGAGAAATTCTAGTGGGTTTTTTAACAAAATGCAATACCACCTAAAATAAAAAAAGAGGTCGGAAAAAGCTAACATGCTGCAGGTAAATACAGGGATTAAACAAGGCAAAACAATAAAATAGGTTATAAAGCACTGTCATGTATTCAAATCTCTCTTATTGTACATTTTAAAGGGTCTCAGCATAAGAGTTTTAGATTGCTTAGATCATGGAGCCATGTCTGGGAACAAAGCCTTCTAAAATCCGTGGATATCCAATAACCCTTGGTATTTCATTTAAGGGCCAAGTGTGTAGTTTATTTTTCATTAAAAACTGTATAACATGCAAACATGTTTTTGATGAGTTGTCTGACCTCCCTCTCACCATCAGCCTCTTCTCTGCATCAGTCTGCTTGCTCTTCTGCTTCTACCTCTATCGCTGTCCTGTGACAACAAAAGGACTCCCAAAGAAGTTAAAATCGATTACATGTTTGTGCAACCTGTTATCAACAACGCAGTAAGTAAGACACTACTTCTATTTATAAAACTAATTTTAAAGTTATGGATCCATCAAACTTTGAATACGTAATAGATCTGACTGAATGGATACTTCTCATGAATTGCACTGATAAATTGAACCCAGGTTACATGCAAAATCCTTCAATGACTTATCTTACGAAATCTAGTCTCTAAGAAGGAAGTGGAAATACTTCATGAAAAGTTAGAGCAGCACTTTAAAAAGCAACACTGGAGATCTGGATCACACAAAAGCAGCTGCAACCTAATATTAGGTATTAGATGTTAACCATTTTGTGTGCTCCACTTGACAGTCAGATTGAACCCTCCTGGCTTCCTTTTGTTTTTAAATACTATTAGGGGTATTGGTTGCGAAATTTACATCCAGTCATGCACGGAAACTAAAGCAGAACGAGGAATGAAGCTGGTTTTAACACGTTTCTTCAAAAAAAGAAACACTAACGGGAAAAGAGGACACTTTCTGATACACATCTCCAATTTCTACGGAACTTTGCTTTTGGAAAACATATTTTGAGCCCTCTATGGGAAGTTTTCTTTGAATAGATAAACTTTAAAACAAATGTGCTTTTGTTTTTGCAATTAAAAGAACATTTGCCAACTTCAAAATGACCTGAAAATGCTTGAAAAAGCAATAAAAACGTTTCACAAACATAATTAACAAGAGCTAAGAGTTAAAACTAGCTGCCCTGTTTTATAACATCTAATATTTACCACTGTAATGCTTTCATCCTTTCAAGAATGGGATTATCACAACCTTGCTGGAAAACTCATCCTGCCCAGCACTGAAACACAGGATCCGTGGCTGCACGGTAGTAAACGCGGTGAGAAATAATTATTTTACTGTTTTATTATTTATTTTAGTGAATGATTTCCTGAGTAACACTTGAAATATATATATTTATTTTTTAAACGCTTAAAAGGTAACAATAAACCCCATCTCAGTTCAATAAATGTTGGGGAAATGTTGGTGTACATTCAAGTAAAAGTTACAATCAGACCACCAAGAGAGCTGATATCAGTCTCATTCAACACAGTTTGTGATAGATTTGATTAAAGGAGCACCGGGAAGCAAGGCTGCCCATCATTTTGTTGTTGCACAGTCAGCAGTTGTAGTGCAGCTGTTCTCCAGACCAAAGGTGGTTCAACATACAAAACTGGTCACTGAGGGCGTGCACTGTATGACTCACATTTTGACTCCTCTCCCTCTCTTCTGCAGGATATTGTGAGCACCTTGCACAGCCTAACCTGCAAAATGAAGAATTTAAACATTTCTCACACACACGCTCTGGTCACGACCGTCTCAAATTCAGTATGGTGTCCCTGTCATGAGAAACCGGTAAGTCTAGGCATATTTATTTGTGTAAAAATGTAAAGATTCGTTAATATAATTTATTTAATAATGAATCTTTAGAAAAGGGGCAGCAGAGGGTGACCTGCTTACATTTTTTCCATTTCTCCATGTGAGTTTTGGCCCTTTAATGTTTGCAGACTGCAGTCGTGTTTCTGTTTGCCACAGAGAAGGTGACTCAGTGAGGTTATATAGCCTGTGTGAGTGTATCCAAACATAAACCTATTTGAACCCTAGTACACTCATATATTTGGTGCCAGGCAGAAAGTAGCCATAGCGGAAAATGTGCCTGAAGAATGTTAGGTCACTATGCCTTTTTGTGCACCAAAATGAAAAGTGATTTGGGGCTTTTTGATTCACCTGTCTGCATTTTAACCACTTTTCAGTCTGTGATTTATTTGGAATTTAATTTGTATTTTACTCAAAACATCACCCTCTTTCCCCTTGAATGAACAATGTTTTGTGAACCTGTACTTCATTTTGAACAGTCTAGGATCAAACTGAATGATTCAGGATCATAGTTTTAGTCTGAGTCATACAGTGTAGCAAACAGTCTTATTCTGCCTCAGGCTTCACCAGATCAGTACAGGTTTAAAATACTGGCTCACAATCTACCATGGAAGGTTTTGGCTTGAGTTTGAATGGACATACTGTACTTTGATCAAATCCCATATACGGCAGGAGCAGGATGTGTTCTGTGATTAGTCAGTTATCAGAGGTCAGACTTTGAATGTTCCTGAACAGACTGTGGATTGAGCCGTGTATCGTCTTATAAGGGGATACATATGCATCAATAATGTGTGTACTGCATTCTGATAGCGCTTATCACTAAAAGGCACTTGCATAACTGATGTTTATGTCATTGTTTTTGTGTGTTGACATCTATTTACTAGACCAAAGAACCAAGCATGGTGTTAAGGAGGAGAAAGGCAGCGAGAAAAAGAAGAAACAATCAGAAGAAAAAGGAGATTAAAAAACTTTGCAAAGCCGAGGCAATCCTGTCTGCCATGACCAACTGCTACCAGATGCTGAACACTATCCTAGCAGACACCTGAGACCAAACTCAAGCTCAATGTGAAGCAAAACCATGCCATCCGTGCCAGTGCTCCTCTCTTGCAGTCCTTCACTGGATTATGCAAGCGGAATCTTCCATCTTATTTAAGCTATCAGTAAATCTCTCTTGCAACTGTTTTGGACGTTGACTACTGACTCTTTTAGATGCATTTGCAAGCTACGCTAACACAAGCTATTAAGCCAACTGGAAGTTCTAAGGCTGTCCGACATAATGGATTCTTGCACACTGTGCTGAAGGCCAAGTGTGCATTATTAACCGCCCACTTTTGTGAAGAGTTCACAAGAATGTCTTACAGACTCCATGTTCACTGTACAAAGAAGCTCTTTGACGTCGGTGGGTGTATTCAAAAAGGAAACTAAGATGTAAAGCTGCAAACAGTTTTTAAGCAAATCGATATGACATTTACTGGCACTCAGTGATGCCAGATCAAGCATGAGCAGGAAATATTAAGGTGCTCAAGTAGTTTTACTTTCACTTTGGCACAGTAACCAGCCCTGACACATCTAATTTAAAACTCCTTTGTTATTTTTTGTCTGAGTTGTTTTAGGCTGTGTGTCAACTCTTTGGTACTCTCCTTAAAATGACATTGTGTTGATTCATCATTCAGTGTCATTAATCACAGTGTGATTGATAGTTTAAAAGCACTCTGCCACAGATGGCTGATTTCGACACACAAACCTGACTCTGTTATGGGATACGTCTAATAAGCTTTCCTGTCGCATAAAGTTGGTGATTTGATTAATGGTGCCTGCCTAATAAATGAAAAAGAGTCCTATTAGGGCGGTACAGTAGTTCGGGGAGCAAAATGCTTAACTGCCACATTTGTTGTTCTACATTATTTTTTAATAGGCCAGTTGTTGGTTTGCGTTCCAGAAATAATATTGGCAGGCAGCCTTTTCCCCAACAGATATGTTCTTCCTGGGACTAATTAACATGTAGCTAATTTCTGTTTGTAAAATGTTGCAACTACTTTTGTATATGGCATATGTATTCCAAATATATTTATCTATAAAACAAAGTAAAGGTGTATGTGTAACTTATTTAATTCTATAGTATTACAGCAGTAATGTTTTCCCGTCTCTTCAACAGACTCACAACTCCCACAGCTGTCTTCATAGACATTTATTGATGGTGGAAATACATGCCATCAAGTGCACAACTGTAACCAGGCTAACGATCAGTACAGGAAACACACCTGTCAAACATGTCATTCATGTAACCTAATACAATTACGTTTCATGGCTTATTGACAATTGCGACCTTCTTAGTTCTCAAAGGAATTAAAGAGTATCGATTCATACTTAGTCACTGTGCCTTTCCCTCTTTCCCTACCTGTCAATGTGCGCCAATATGAAGGGGAGGGGTCAATCCCTTCCATAAAGAGCATTTGACCCTCAATACCTTAATGCTGACTCAATAGTAGGACATTGTAACTGGAACACAACCCAAGTTCAATTAGGTTTCATTTCAATCCAAAAACACATTTTAATTCCATATGACATTAACAAAAAAGATTCAGTCATTGTTCATTCAGTAAAAGCGAAATGGAAGAAGAAAATAAATAAACTGTATAAAATGAGGGGGAATCAAATACTTTTGCTACTTATGTTTAGAGACGTCAGGCGTACAATGCTGATCTTAAGATAGCTGAAACAAGCGGTGCCTGTAAAGTGACCTCCTTTTTGGACAAGGTGATGTCTCTCCAAAATTACAACACACTTACTTTTAGAATAACCACGTTGTTTTCCTCAGTAGTCAATCTTATTGCACTTCAATTGGAACAGTTTTTGAGGAAGCGACGACAAATAGGATTAAGGAGTGCATTTCAGATCACGGTTGAATGGGGATAGAGAAACCAGGGAAATAACACCTCCAAGTGACTCATATTACATTTTACAACCTGCCTCTTCAATTTGATCTAATCTCTTACTCATCTGTTCTCTACTTTACTTACTCATGTTTTTTCCTGAAATGTACTCTTCTTTATAGGGTGCTAAACCCTTTATAATTGTCCAAAGACAATAAAATTAAGGTTTATTACCAATTCATACTGAGATTTTTTACATTACTGGATGTTTTTTTCCTCTCAAAAGCTGCTGATATCATGAACCTTAACAGTTTAACATAACTGTATACAAGTTCAGTTTTAAATCCATCAGCCTACAATCAACTTTATTGTAGATTATGATGATCATACTTTTTTTGAAAAAAGGAAATGTGTACTCATCAGAAATTGAATATATTCAGCAGGACTGATAGATTGAGAATAGAGGAATGGACCGGCAAAATCCATGAAGATATGAAGCAGGTAGAAAAGAAAACACAGCAGCGTTGGACATTCGGCTGATCACACCACATTACTGTCGTGAAATTACACTTGAGCGTGAAAATACAGACGGATACATTTTGGTGAAATTCTGATGCTAGTTTGAGTCCCGGTGCATCCCCACACGTCTAGTTTCTCCTTCCTCTGACCTGCATCAAATACACATCCTCCTGAGCCCACACTCGCAGCAGAATTTGGCTGATTCAACAGGGTACTTGGTCCCACAGGAACGACAGAACTTGCTCTTCACTCCACCGTTGTCGATTTCGTCACTGCCGTCGTTGTCATTCCTGGGAAATTCAACAAAGATGACCAAACAGCAAAGTGAGAACAAAGTTCATTCAGCTGTTTTTCATCATTTTTAGTGCCGAGCTGCTGATAATGTTGAAAAGTATTATCGATATTAGAGCCAGCGATACATGTAAACAAATCCTGCGAATGTTTGAGTGTTGTGATAATAGTATAGGTAGGCTTTTTAGTTTTATTATAAAATACTTAAAGGTCCCATGTCATTCTTTTCTGGTTGTTACCCGTCCCCTTGTGTTATGTAGCTTTTTCTGCATGTAAACGGTCTGCAGAGTCATAAACCCTCAAAGTACACCCTGTAGCGAATAAAACTCTAACACAGAAAAGACCTGTCTATGCTGCCCCAGAACGCCTCGTTGGACATTTCTCTTTTTCCATTGTTTACTTCTTGGGTATAGTGACGTATTTCGGGTATAGACTTAACGGCCATTACGTTACGTCCGCGGAGCCGTTACGTTTGGACCAATCCGCGGACTTCCTCACACACACACACACTCGGCGGGACGTTGCGAGGCTCGCTGCTGCGAGGAGCGGGACACTGTGAGCTGGCTCACTGGTGTGGGGTCGGCGAGACAGCGAGACACTGCGGAACTCAGCCTGGGCACACACACAAACTCCCAGCCAGGCTGCGGGTGTGTGTGTGTGTGTGTTTGGGGCTGGGTTTCGCTGTGTCTCGCTGTCTCGCAGACGGCCACTGGGCTCACAGGGAGGGGGGGGCAGGAGCTCCAACAAGCCGTTTAGGACAGAGAGTGAATACACATACTTTACAGATATGCTGTATGAGAAACCAATGTGAGTTTGGAAAATTGCCCAATATAAATCTATTTTAGTAGACCTCAACAATGGAATTATGATCAGTAGAAATGGCCATGACATGGACCTTTAAGCTCTATGCAAGGTGTACCGCAAGCACTAAATGGTGATTTGATATCAATAATTTAGGGTTATCTTATTAAGCAAACAGCTTAATGGCTTGCAAGCTGCAATGTGCATATGAGGCACCATTCATGAGAAATCTATTGTGTAACACCTGTTACTGAATTGATACACAGCTTTATGCAATACACCAACGAACCACAGGAGGTCAGGATAGTTTATCAAGACTATGGTGGTTGTGTTGTGTTTTTATAAAAATAAAAATAAACCCTGTTTGTCTCACCTGGATATGTAGTTGTCTACTTTCTTCTTGTTGAGTGCTATTCCAGACTGAGTGTTCCTCGCCGGGCCGTAACCAGAGCTCACTCCCCGGGTCTTACTTCCAACACTGAGAAAAAAAAACATAAAGAGACGAAAGACAACGATGAGTCAAATGCAGACCCCTTGTGTTTTTAAAGACAGATCGAAGTTTAAAATAGGCAAGTTTTAGGTTTAAAACTCACTTTGTACTTGACCCACTGTATTCAAATTATGAATTAACTCTGCCAGTGCAAGGTGTGTGTGTGTGTGTGTGTGTGTGTGTGTGTGTGTGTGTGTGTGTGTGTGTGTGTGTGTGTGTGTGTGTGTGTGTGTGTGTGTGTGTGTGTGTGTGTGTGTGTGTGTGTGTGTGTGTGTGTGTGTGTGTGTACTGACCCTAACGGAGGGCTTGTCAAGCCTGAGGGATTAGTCCTCAATGAACCAGCAGAAGCGATCTTACTAGAAGACATCCCTAGAGCAGAAGAGGATGAAAAAAAAATGAGAAAGTATAACAGAGGCATTTTACTGTACTTCTTGTACTTATCCTAACCCGAGTCACTACATTAAAATAAATCCGTCACACACATATAGAACTGTCAGATGTGACACAGCTGTACCCGTACCAGAGGGCTGTCCGATGCCTGACCTCTGGGGTAAACGAGAGGAGGCTGAAGGGATGGAGGACATAGCAGGAGAGGCCACCTTCTTCACCGGAGCTGAAGGCTTGGTCTGAGAGGGAGAAAGGGGAGGCAAAGAGAGAAGAAATGTAACATAAATAATTGCATAAAACGGAACATCAGCCATGGAGGTCATGGGAAGCTAAGCATCAACATAGTGGCTCTACCTGGAGACACAGTAATAGGGATAGAGAACATAGGTCATCACTATACTACAGCCTACAGGCGCTGACTACACTGTAGATGTGGTTGTGCATGTATGTGAATGTCTGATATGCACTGTGACTCTTTCAAATGTCTACAATGGTTTGGCTTTACTTACAGGTGTAATGACAAAAATATCTGAGACAATTAAAAAAACACTGACTGAGCTTAGCGGCAGATCCATTACTAGAATATAATAAATGTATCCCACCATGGCCCATTTGGGAACTGTGACATAATGACCAATGATATGAAAACATGCAGAGCTCTTAATCAAAATGGTTTGGACCCTGCTGTGTTTTTTTATTGGCTTTCTGATGAAACCCCCACCCATGTGTTGTAGTTGCTAAGTGACTGGTAATTCTACACCTGCTGCAAATGGGCGTCTCACCATGGTGATAACGGATAAGGAATTATTAAAGATTCCCAGACAACAGTTCTCACTTAGAAAAATAATTGGCAATTACAAGAAATGAAGAATTGCCTTAGCCAAGTATTTGGGAGAGAGTGTAGCTACCTACACATACAATCATTAAAATTACAGGGGGTAAACACAACTTGTTTCATTATTTTGGAGTGTGTGCAATGTATAATGAATATTTTTTCAATGTCAACACACTTTTCGGTGCATGTTTCATCAGATTCAAATGAGGAATGAATGGTAAATGTTTGCACATGTGATCCGGCATTCCTCAACATTTTAAAAGAATTCTACCAAATTCAAGTGTCTATTAGTGCGGGTATAATAAGCGGTGCAGTGTGTGGAGTTGTGTACCGGTGTGCGAGCAGCAGGCTTCTTCACTTCTCCTAACTTGTTGCCCTTGCTAGGCATACGGGCCGCCTGCTCCTGGCAGAACTTCATGTGTCTGTCAGCTGCACCCTCGTTGAACCTCCGCTGACAGAAAGGGCACTGGACATAGTCTAAAGACAAAACAGGGGGTGAGAAAATCGACCTTTAACTGCATCAGCTATGTGACAAAAATGTGCCTTTTACTTGTGTTTTTATTTTCTCTGAACTGTAAAAAAACAAACACTTGGTATTCCACATAATGAGGCAATCCCATTTCCTACTTCTTTCCAAATTTTTGCTCTACTGTGTCAAAAAACATTAATCATGGGCCCTGGAAAGCAGCTGATTGTTCACAAGTTTACACAGTTTCTTAACAGTAACCATAATACAGCTCTAGTTATTACTGTCACTTGTGTTTCCTGTTTATTTCCACTCTCTATAAAACGACATGTTACCTGGGTCATAAGTAGCAGGGGGAGGCGGGGGTAAAGGTCCTCCATCCTTCAAGACCTGATCGATTCCCTTGGCAGCCCGGATGGTAGCGATGAAGTCCTCATGCTTCTTGCGCCAGTTGGACGGCTTCTTCAGGGGTTCTGCCTGGCAGGAGGCCACACAGACAAGATACATCGTTACAGCAGCCATTTAAAAAACCACAACCAGACAGCTATTGCCGCTGACATGGGAAACCTCATCTCTGCTATACGGAGTCATTACTTGAAGTGACAGTCACCTGTGTACTCAGTCTCTAGTTACTTTCCATGTTAAACAAATAAAAGCCTTGGTATTCCAATTATTTAGGATTATTTGTAATGAATGCAACTATTCTGTCTGTCATAACCAATTCACTTTATTTCTATTTTGCATTGACATTAAAAGAAAATATTTGTTTTCCCACAGTGGCAGTCTGAGTCTTATCTAAAGCTGATGATTTTTGACAGAAGTAGTTCAGAGAGCGTCCTCTGAGTCGTCTCTGTGGCAACATGATATCCCTGCTGACTTCCTGCTTCATCTTATGCAGTTACAGTCTTCAATGATGCACGATTGTCTCACAAACAAAGATGACTTTGAGAGAACTGAAGCTACAGTATATTTCCTTTATTCCCTTTAACCATATTTCTAGTTAATTCTATATATACGACTCGACTCACAGATTGCCTCCTATTTAAGGACTTCAAAGTGGTAATGATGTACTACTGAGAGAATCACATGACATGATCACTGGGAATATTGTTATTCCAGGTGGAGGGCAGAGCAAGTGTGCAGCAGTTAGTTGAAACACCAGAAATATAAGTGTTTTTGAGTTGAAATCTTAATAACTGCAATGCAACGGACTTCACACTGGCCCCAATGAGTGGAGGGCCTTGATGCACATTCATTTGTTTATTGTCTGTTGTAGATTAGGGTCTTATAAAACAATACCACCGCCAGTATGCGTTGAAATACCTCAAGACTATTTAGGCAATTGATTGAAAGCGAGAAATCAGTATATACAAAACGTCAGTGATTTAGCTAGGCCACTAAAATCCCATGTAAACAGAAAGAAAGGACAAACAAAATAAAATCAACTTACTTTTCCAGAAGAAGTTGAACTTTGTGACTGAAATACAATCGAAAGCGTCTAAATGTATTCAGGCTTACATTTTTACATCAAGGGGAGTTTTCAGACGGATGTACAAGCTAAAGCCATTTGTTGCTACCTAATTATAATCAGATTTAACTGTGTAGTTAGAGTTTCCATCCCTCTGCTTTGGATTAGTCTTACCTTTGGTTTGATGGGTTTAAGCGTGGGGATGTCTGTTCCCTCAGCTCTCTGTCGACCTGAGTCAAAAACCTTCCTCCTTTTAGCAGCGGACTTCTGGCAGATCTTAGCATGTTTCCCCTGTTGAGAGATTTACAAATACACAATAACTACACAAGCTTAATCTGTTTCTGCAAACTTAAGAAACATTTGCAGACATTTGAAATGTGTACAGTTCATGGATAGTCATTATAACATTTTTAATACAAAACGTTATGAGAGCCAAAACAGCGTGGGTAATAAAAAGGTGTTTTGTATGTACTGTACTGTATAACTTCTGGATACAGATTCATCTCAAAAGATTGCATCTCACTGTTATAAGTAGCACCTTTGAGAAAGCTTCAAATGTAAAAACCCAGCATTTGTTATGTTTGATTCCTTTGTACATATGGCATTACATAGAAACCGCTATCTACAATTTGTACTCTTGAATTTACATTTGAGAATACATTTGAGCTCATAGAAATATCATAAGTGAAAGTTTACAATCATTTAGTCTTATCTCTTACACGTTTTCTTCAAAGAAAACTTTGAGTGCTTTGATTTTTGTTGTTGCTCATATAAAGAGCTCTTCACAGGCTATTTGGGTTGGAGCCAATAACCCATCTAAACAGCTGATATCTTGTTAGCTAGAAAAAATGTCTTAGTGCATGCATAACACAATACATTAAGTCTTATTTTGTATGCATCATTTTCTAAATGTGCTTGCTCTTAGAACACTGTATCTTCCTTTGGAGTGCTACAGTCCATTCACTCATCAGGATCTGATCTGAATGACCAGTCATACACACACAGCCTTAGGGAGAAAGTACATGCAGTCTGGCGGAAAATGAGATCGAACATGCCCTATCTACTGAGCCACTATGGCTTTATATCTCTATTAAGAATATTAAAAATGACAATTTCTTACCAGGACTTTAGGGAAGAAACATCTTTTACAGGTGTTGCATTGTATCAGCTCCTCTCCAGAAGGAGCTTCACCATCTGCAACAATAAACACATGTATGTGTGTTACAGTAAAGGAGGATTTATATGCAAAAGAACAGTAATTAACCACAGCTAGCCATATTTGTTTAAGTGATAAAAGGGTCATGTGTAGACAAACACATATGGGTTTGTTCACCTTATTTGATACATGGTAGTTAAATAAATGCTCACTATGGCTCACATAAATCATGTTTTGCATTGTTGTTGGCACAAAAACACAATGCTATAAAGCGTTACCTTGATAGACATTAGTTCATTTTACAATCATTCCACCATTAAGAAATAAATGCCGGGGAAAAACTGATGGTATTTTAACGTTAGTAGGACATTAGTTACATTACATGTCGTCAGTATATCAGTATAACGGTAGTTGCTGCCCACCTTTAGCGTCTTGAATCAATACGAACAAAACGACTTAATGTATGGCAAGTTTCATTAGTTAGGAGCATGCTAACAGTGGATAGCTCCTAATGCTAATGTAGGAATCACATCCAGAGTAGCTAGCTTCATCTATGGCCCTGTCGTTACCTAGCATTACTTGGGCTAAACCCCACACAAAAAAGGAGGTCGTTGACAAAAACGGGTTAACTAAAGCAAAAAGGAACCCGCCCATGTGTGAGGACAAAGACCGTGAGGTTGTGAGTCCGACTTAGCCACAAAACAGAACAAATAAACACATTAGAGAGTTATTTCTCTCACCTTCAAATTCTTCCATCATTAGGTTATGCTGTCTGATGCTTCTGTTGTTACAAACGACCAAAAGCAGCCAGTGGAAGTGAGAGGATTCCCCCCTGCCTACTTCCGGCTTCGCTAAAATAGGGAGGGTAGACTCCTAAATTGGTGAAATAACATCAATTCATGCTAAGAAAAATGTACTTTGCAGAAATACAGAAAGCAGATTTAAATATATGGTCTTTTTAGAAGCTTTACATTTTGCTTTGAAGGTTTCTTTCGTAGGAAATGTGGTTATGTCTTATATTTAGCAGATTATGTTACTAGGATTTCCTCATGATATCTTCTTTAATATATGTATATTTGGGTTGCATGTGTATACGTTATAGTTTTACATAATCCTTTGTTCATATTCATTTTTCAGGATTCAGTAGGCTCTTACATAATGTTACTTTATAATTTAGGTCAAATTAACAGACACTGGATTTCGTAGGTTTGGGATGAGGATGAACTATCTTGACATTACTGATCTTTGGCTACCAATAGCAACTCATTTGTCTTCATGAGCCAACATCCGACCATTTCATTGGTTGTTACTGCATGTCCCTTTAAACAGCGATGGGTGTGGAAGGCAGCCATAGATGTATTATGGAGGAAACCGCTGTTCTTCTTTTTCTACATCCATGCTGTTCTCCTGTTCCCATCATCATCCTTCCCAAATAATGTATTTAAATAAACCAAGTTTGCAATTTTGACATAAGGAAACCTTTCTCATTTTGATTATATCTAGTTTATTGCACGGTTCGAACAATAATAAGCTAACAGCAATGTAATGAATAGAAAGATAAGTATGAACACACAGACTAAGATAGAAATATGTGTATTAATGATTTTCTTAATGAAACAGACAAATATAAATCTACCTGATATGGAAGTATTACGCAAATTGTTATACATTTTTGCTACACACCACACCAATACAATGTGGTCTATAAAATAAGGCCAATTGGTAGTTTGGTTTATTTTATATTTTAACCTTGTCCTGTGACAGACCTCATTTGAAGATAACTACGATCATAGCTCCTTAAACAATAAAACAATTGTATCCCCTTGTGGCTTCTATTTGGCTCGAACACTTGCCCAGAGCACTCGGAAGTTCCCAGTTTGGCATATTGAGCACATATCTAATTTGAATGGAGCAATTCACAGCCAGATGCTATGAGACCACAGTCAAAGTGTTTGTGATGAAAGCCTTTCTGCTTTCATCACAACACGATCACTGTTCTCAAACGCTGACTCTGTGCCATCCCTCACACACACACACACACACACACACACACACACACACACACACACACACACACACACACACACACACACACACACACACACACACACACACACACACACACACACACACACACACACACACACACACACACACACACACACACACACACACACACACACACACACACACACACACACACACACACACACACACACACACACACACACACACACACACACACACACACACACCTACACCTGCCTTGTTCATCTGTCATCTGACCTTTTCACTTTCATTCAAAATTGTTTGGGTAGTGACAATTCGGGGTTCAGCTGAATAAACAAAAATAGCCTTCTAAATTAGCCTAGGTCCTTTGTTCAACCAGTAAATTGCAAAGTGTTGAACATATGCAAGTAATAACCCATTTTAAATAATCAGTAATACCCTAAGAGGTGCTGCAAAAAGTTGTTTTCAAGCCCTGACTGTTAAATACTGTTTTACTCCTGGTTGCACATGGTTAAAAAAAACAAGGGTTTTATTTTGAAATTCTATCCGGAAGCAGTTGTATTCTGGTATTGATTTGACGTTGGTAAATCCTCTTTCACTGAACATGGGGAATACCGGAGTGGCATAACAATTGATGTGATTGACCCTTGCGAATATTGGGAAGCCTTTTAACCCAAACAGGTACACTGCAGATAATAATATTAATAATAAGGATTACATTTTTTAGGAACAGTGTTTGCATGCCTGGCATCGTAATTTAATGTGAACTTAATATATGCATGATGCGTTTACTGGCACTGGCAGAGCTCTATGGAAGTCTTTGTCATCAGAGAAAGACATATGGCTGTGGATTTATAATGGAACATGTCGATCTTCCTGCACCATTAATGTTTTTATGCAAAGGTTATGTTTTACTGTGTCAACAATGCAATGATTTATTGGAAAACCCAATTACGCACGACCACAGGCTATCCTATTTAGCCCATAATAGATGATAAACATGTGCAGACATTAATTATTTTTAAACCATAGTAAAATAAAGTTTTCTCAATGGTCTAATGACATTACGTGGCAAGGGCTTGCTTTTACCAAGAGGACAGAGCATGCTGACTTCCTGCATTATTCAGTAACATTTGTTTGGAGAATGTATTGTTCAGGCTCTCAATTGGGAGCAAAGTTCTAAGGACAACCTGATAAGAATGACTCACACGCAGACCTTGGGTGCAACAGCATGATTCAATTATGTAAACTGTAGATTAATATTTCATAGAATATGACCAAAGGAAACACAGGCCAAGAATGTGCTGCCACTTTTAGCTTCAAATAGTATTACTACTTCAGTTCAAATATCTACATTACAGGCAGTACACTAACAGATGACCTATACAATTAGTAATGATGATATTTATCAAAAATATATTTTTCTGTTGACATATTTTGTATTTCAACATTAAGCTTTGTGTTCTGAAGCTATTGATAAGTATTGTGCATCTTGTTTGATAGTGTCTAAGACTTTGAGACTTTTAATCAATTTCATTATAGATTGTTCTTAAAGGTGAGGTTATATAAAGTCTTCATCTTGTGGATCTTCTTGCTAAATCCCGCACACCATTATCATCACTCAGTTCAAACGTTTGCCTTTAAGATAAAACGCTAATTGAGTTCTTATATTGAGGAACAGGCATGCTGTGTCTCTTGCTTCAACATGTTGAGGCTGACAATTGTACACAAACAACATCTGTTGGTTCTTTGCAGTCTTGACCCCATTTTGGGAATGACAGCCGGGTGGGAGCGTGCTCAGATGATGACATAGGAGGTTTCCAAAAATAGCCACGGTCAATAGCAGCCTGCTCGGCTCTGGAAATAGCCACAAATGGATGTGGGAGCTGAGGTCATTAAAAACAAATCAAACAACCCTTTGTATGTCCAAGGGGATACAAAGTGCAGAAAATAATGCTTTTGTTTGGAGTTTTACAAGTGCATATGTTGAGAAATGAATGGTAAAAACTCAGACTGACAGATTTTAATGAGTGAAAATGGAGGGAAGCTGAAGGCCAGCTTCACACAGGCAGATTGATAAAGATTGTAATAATGTCAACAGAGGGGTTTAACCTAAATCTCTGCAGCAACACAGCTCCCATCATGCACCATGCCTACTACAAGCGGAATGACATTTGAATACAGTCCTCTCCTCCCTTGTGCCGTAATTACCCCTTTAATTGTGTATTTTTGGAAAAGCACCATCATTTGTTGTTCCATTCCATCTGCAGAATGTATGTCCTCTGTGTATTTGGTGTTGCTTCACTCATATTAGAATAGATTAATCATGGTTGAGGTCATAAAATAGTAGGGGGGGGGGGGGGGGGGGGGGGGGGTGTTTTGACTGAGTGCATCGGTAACCCCCTGTGTCACTTTCTTCATGTCAACAAAAAATGTGTCATTTGTACCTGCCAGGCCCTGCTATGGTGAGGTGTGTTAGCGATGACGGATGAGGAGGCGAGTTATGATGACTTCATCGCCTCTCGACGAACTGGCCGCAGGAACGCCATCCATATTATCCCAGCAACCTCTGGGGCTGAGGGCCCCGCTGACCTGTCACAGAGTCTGGCACAGCTCAACATCGACAAGTCAGGTGAGAAACATCCCTGTGGGGATCTGAGGGGAATAAAGGAAGTGGAGAGGTATGTGTAGGGAGGGAGTGATGAGGGAATGAGATGCAGGTGAGGGAAAACAGGTGTGTCGATGGGTGGGGCATTCAGGTGATGAAAAGTGAGGAAAAGTCTGAGGGCATCATGGTGGATATATGAAAATTAGCAATGAAGGGGCCTTGAGATGTATGACATATGTTAGCATAGGCCACGTTTCACAATTAAATAGGTTTTAAAAAGTGTTTTAATTGCATCTATCAAGTGTATGCAGTGTCAGTATTCTACCACAAGGGGGTGACACATCCTGAGACATAATATCTGTGCATAATGGCTTTATAATGGCTATTTATTGCAATGCTTGGTACTGTAACATTACAAATAAATGTTCTCATTCACCACCAAGGGAGAAACATCATAGTAAAAATGAAACTCCCTCTACTCTAACATATTTTTGTATTATTGTTATTTCACTTAGATGTTTGACCTTCACAATTTGTGAGATTACACCTAATTTGGAAGCATATTGTTTAAATGTATCATCTAGAAAAGGTGGCACCTCCTGTGAAAAAACATTTAAAATTCCCTTTTCATCTTTATTTTTTTTTAATTAGCTGTTTTGAGTTGATCCTTCTACCTTAGTGTGTAGTTTCTGCTGTTTCACCCCACCCTATTCACAAATATAACCTTAAAGTAACTGTCCCTCTTTGTCCTTCTGTCAGGTGATGAGGGAGAAAACAATAAGGACAGCCAGGACTCTGCAGCTAAAGAAGAGGAGGCGAAAGCTGAGGGCAGCTAAACTCACATTCATGGACTCAAACCACCGCCTCTTTTCGTTGACCTGATCCCTGAATGCTAGGCCTCTCATTGGCTGGTTGCATCTAATGACTTTGAACAAACACAAAATCCTACTGCCACCATCCCACAATCAGGAAGTCATTGCTATGGCAACCACAGCTCCATTGAGCAGTTGGGTGTGTTCCAGTTTCATTAAAAATATTTGAAATCTCAGATACAACTGATTCAATTTGAAATATGTGTATGTCAATAATGCTGCAATCTGGCACTTTCAATAAAACATAAAATGGTCAGTCAAAGTCAGTCCAAATCAGGACAAAACACAGGACATTTTGATGAAATATCCACGCTCTCATCGCCTGTAGATGGTCTATGAAGAAGTCTTCAGCCTTGTATGTGATGCAATAGATGCAGGAGTTATCTTATTAAAAACAGGGTGTTAAGTTTTTATACGTACAAAATGTGTCCATATAATGTGATTTACAAGTTTAAACACTACCATTGAGCATTTTAAAAGGGATAGTCTGTCTGTCTTTACAATTGGACTTTGTTTAGGGTAGATATAGAGATCAAGAACGTATTTGCAGCTTGAACAAAAGAACATGGATTGCACTCCAATACACTTGTGTGTTTTTATAATGTAGCATATAATTGTTTATTGGATGTATGAATTTCCCCGGTTTATGGGAGTTTTTTTAGAATGCTTAAAGCCGTGATTCGTCAGACTACCTATGAATTTTACATTTACCAACCTTCCTTTTAAACCACCCCTCAATACTATAATAGTAGCTGCAATACACTGCCTTTTTCTGATTATCACATCTGTGGAAATGCACTCCAAGAATGTCTGTCTTCATTACCTTTTTAAAAACTGAAGTCATTACTTGTTTGTCTTAGCCTCTTTACGACATCAACTTATAAGAAAATAAATGACTTGAAGGAGGATTGGGCATTTTCTACTTTTGTTAATGAACAGTAATTTGCAGTGTAGTGATCATGTATTTTCTTTAATGCTCTTTCAGGGGGTTATGGTATGGCATTGTCAAAGACATTGCTGTACAATGTTGCACATTTGTCCACTAAATTAGTTTTGACATGCAATTAAATGTTACCGGTGGAAACATAGTGTCCAGATGTATTTTTTTAATGTTGTCCCATCTAAGAATAAAAGGAGAAACATGGGTATTGTTGCTCTCTAGTGGTCAACCTTAGACCTACAACCCAGACACAGAAAAGCAACCTACTTTTTAAAATCTTTTATCTTAATATACCAGGTTACAGCTTACAGCTTACTTTGTTTAAATGACCAGATTAGTTTTCATGATACTAGCTGATTGTGAATATATTTTCTCAGGGGCTTTGCCAACACATGATAACATGTACAGACCAAGATAACCTGTGATTTCTCACTTTCACCATGTGACTGTACATCTAGGAGTGTAACTGTAGAATGAAAGCACATCTCTTAACTTGTAGAATAGAGTCTTTTTTATTAAAAAATGATGAGCAATAGTACAATGATTGTCAAAGCAGTGCAATAGAGTAATATGGACTACATAATAAACAGTGATAGGGCCTATGTACAAGCTTAAATGGCATTTTGATTGACACACCATTAAGAAATCCACACCTTTTTAAATAAACATACCAATAGGAACTTTGTTTTGATACAATCCCTATAATCTTACATAGATGAGTTAGTCCATGAAAGCATCTTCGTCAAGCTTTTGTCTGGAAGCATTATTCATCAGAGTGAGTTTCATTGTTCAAACCGATCGCTGTGCCATGCAGCACAGTTTAACTGACTAAGTTTCTTGCGGGATGAAAAAGCCATGCATATCCTTTGGGAGCTTAGCGTCCACGTATGCTCGAGCTACCTCTTTAAATGTTTTGCCATCCAGAAACAGGATGAAACACAACTGGCCTGGGTTTCTGTTGATGACTGACACCAACACCACACCTGCAATTAAAAAAGGTAGAGAATACTGTTAGAATGAAAATCTAAGGAATCAAATGACGGCAGTTTTCCAAATGTACTTTTTCTTTACAAAAAGAAATCATTGTAAATGCACATCACACAGTGTATATTACCATCGTCCTCTGACTCTGCATTTGGTCTGGGGATGAACACCGGCTCTGAAGGCAGGCAGTTCTCCTCGCTCCAGAAAATCCTCTCCTTGGTCTCTGTGTCAAACTTCGCAATCTACAGGAAATGGATAAGTTATGAAGAAAATCATTAAAACATGCTGTAAAAACAGTTCATGACAAATCATTACAAACTAGCACTGATAACTCCTTCTGAAAGGTTGTAAACAGCAATTATTTGCAGTTTAAATCATAAAAAAACACAACCAAAAAACACAGTTCGGAGCTAGGTTAAAAGGGAAATCACAAATGTTTACAAGCAGATACTTAAAAAGCCTGTTAATGTTAATTATATTACTATTTTTTTAATAATTTAATATTCTTTTGCAAAATGACAGTCGGCCACTGGCCACTTAATTAAGAAAACCAGGGGCACAGGTCAGGCTTTGGGTAGGTTTTTTTTGTTTGTTAAACACACTTTTTTTAAAAGGAATATTTATATTAGGAGATATTCCCTTCGTGAATCAATTTATATCATTGTGTTTTAGAAAAACTCTGTCAGCCACATTTGGGTATCACTGCCTTACATCCAGAAAAGCGGTCATAAAGAGCTAATCTTTTAGACAAGCAGCATGCCTGTGCAGTACTTTGCCCCAACTCCACGCCATATACGTACTTGCAATATAGTTATTCATTTGTAAACTAGACTGAAGCATAGGGGCCCAGACACTGAGCAGATATAGCATTAAGTAAGCATTAAGCATTTTACCATCATGATGTCCTTGCAGATTCTAGCACTTAATCTGGATTTATGACTGGTAATTGATTGAGTCAGATAATCTTTTTTTATGATGTAGAAATCCCACAACTTAGACTTCACCCAACTTTTCTATTCAGCTGGCAGTGGAAGAGATCCAATGAATGCATATAATGCTGTTGAAATAAGGTTGTATGACGCTGACAAGGTAACATTCAATAGATAAAGGCTCAATGGAAATGACTGCCTCCCTGTTTGCGTATATAATGTTGTTATTATTTTACTAAGATCACCCTACTTGACCTCTCAAATGAGCCACTTATTTCCCCCCCAAAAAGAGGTTCCCTATTGTGCTATATTTTTCCCTCACCATTTAAAACTCCTTTTGTTTGTCCTGCTTTTTATTCCATATTACAAACGTCATTATATTCAAAGAAAAGCCCAAACTCCCTTATGTTGTTGGTATGATGTGTCAAGTGGGAATAAACAAAGAATGTCTAATTGTCAGACACAGGATGTTTTTTTTGTTCTTTCCTCTTGTTCCTCCACTAAAATGTGGATTCTTGGCGTGCGGTGACACGCAAGGGAAGCTTTGTTACTGAATACTTCAAAGCCTCACCGAGTTTGTTCCTGCTTCTCATTGTTTCTGGTATTTGTGGGTATTAGAGCCAGAGCCATAAGGTGGTTGGGTCATTGTTTTTGTCTCCTGATGTGCCAACTGCTAATTCTCAGTTCTGCAATTTGCTTCCTAATGCTGCAAAAACAATTCTGCCAGAAACAATGTGTTTCCCAATATCCCAGCCTTTAAAATCTCAGTTTTTATGAGAGTCTGCAAGTTATGGGTCTCTCTTGGTACACAACAATTATGGGACTGTGAGAAATCCGAAAGATGGATACAAATAAAAACAAAATGTTTTACCTCTTTAGCCAGCGCCGACTCCTCCACACAGTTCCCGTAGACAAACCGGTGCTTCTTGCCGTTGAAATCATAATTAATTCTTGGCAATTCAAAGCCTGATGGGAAATGTTGTATTTATATGAGCAAATGCATTTCTTTTAAAGACCAAATGAGCAATAATGACTTAATTTAGGGGTCTGTTTGAGTGGTTTACCTGCACAGAACACTTCTGCCTGGCACATTAGTTTGCCTTCCTTCTCCTTCACAGCACTGGCAGTCGTGTACTTGAGTTTCACCAGGTCCTCTCCAACTGCCACACCCTACAAACACAAAAGAATCCAGGGTTGCAGAACATCTTCTCAAAATGTCAGGATGCAGTCAATTTGAGACCTTTGTTTCCGCACCTTGTCTGAGTGGACGGGAAGTACAAATCGCTTGTAGCTTGGTTTGGAGTAGCTCTCATCGTGGAACCCTTCCTTCAGCTTGCTCAGGTAGAACATGTTGTAAAGGCTGGTGTCACTGTAGGCGATCACATCGAAAATCACGTGACCGTCGTCCTCAAAAGCATTCACGTGATGGTAGACCACCATCGCCCCGGTGTAGTACTTCGTCTCGAGTACTTTGCAAGTCTTTCTGTCTATCAGATGGATGAGAGTCTGTGGAAGAAAGAAACATTTAGAAAGACAGTCACAGTAATGTTAACTGACTTAGTTATGGTCTACTTGCCAGCAGTATGAACCAGGAAATGTTGAGTACATAAAGTTTTATGATAGACATGTATAGTACGGGTCCCAAGCACAAAAAAACTGCCGGATGCTAACTTGCATACATTTGACAATTTGCACACTTGGCATAAGTTGCACTAATTAGCAAATGCAGACAATTGCAAAAAAAATGCTTGGCCGATTTTTGGACAATTTTGGAGGAATATTGAGGATGTTGAATCAATTTCTGACATTTTTTGTATAAAAAAAAGGCAGTTTTGAGTCCCATAAAGCTTTAAATTCAACCCAAAATTAAACAAAATCAGCTAACCGGGTACAAATATACTCAACATTTCTGGGTTTCACAGGACCAAAAAGAACTATAACAGATCACAGGGACCCCTTACACTCTCGTCAGGGCAGAACTTCAGGCAGCTGGCCCAGTTGACCCCCCTCATGTACGCAGTGGCCATCTTGAGGATGTCCAGTTTAAACGGCTGCTCGATGAAGATGAAGTAGTTGTCCGTCATGCCGAAGCTGTGGTAGTAGCTGGGAGTGAGCAGGGAGCGGCAGGGGACCGTGCAGACCACCTCGGAGCTCTTCAGAGCGGGGGCCCACTTCTCTGAAGAGTTCTTGTCTGAAGTTAGGGGCAAATTAGTCATTTGTTGCCCTGTCTGTCTTGTGTTTTTTTCAGATTTTTATTCTGTAGCACTTAGAGTTCTGTTTATTCAAATGAAATAAACAGGGGGAAAAAGTATTATTATTATTAAACAACTATGAGCATGTACTTGTAGAAGAACTATGTATATGCAAAATAGAAAACATAAAACAGCATGTAAAATGAAATGTGTAGTGGCAAAAAATGCAGAGGAACTGCAGACACAGAAGCCATCCCACATTTACATGTGTGAAATGAGAATTTCAATTCAATGCAGAAACCAATAGCCCAACACATTTCACAATGGCTGTTCTTAATCTGATCCTCGTTCATTTGCATAATTGTTTTCAAAGTATCCCGCAGCTGATATGGCTTATAAACACTGAGGTGTCAGGGCAAAGTAGAGCAGGCCGTGAAGTTTATATACCTTTCTCTGTAACAGCAGGGACTTTGAACAGCGTGTATTTGGTCTTGCCCTTCTCTGCTATCGAGGTTCCCATGTTGTAGGTGTTGCCCTCTTTGTCGTAGTGTGGATGGGACGACACCAGGTTTACAGGCAGGTACTTCAAGTAGTCCACCTGTGGAAAGAGTTTGGTAACTTATGAGCACGGAAATCAAGTCTTTGCAAGTGGATGAGCGCTAATAGTGATCGTTGGCGTTACCTTATCCAAAGTTTCCAGTGTCACAGGGTCAATCTTGCGGATGTAGTTGGTTTCAGAGGTGGCGTAAAAGTCATTTCCGTACTTAATGAAATTGCTTGCTCCATTGTCAGTGAAGTCGGGCACTGTGTGGTTGAGAAAGGTAATCGCCCTGGAATATAAGGAGAAAAATGCTGAATATTAGAAAGTGGTAGAAGAAGCAGAAGACCTACTTTTCTCACACTGAAAGTCTTGTATTCTAGAAATGTGTGACTCAATTGCATCTAAATGTAAATGTAAAATCTGAAAGGGAACAGTAGGTTTTTTTTTCCAAAGTGTGAATATCCTTATTTAACATATCCTTTAGGACCTCTTCTATAAATGGCCTTACTTTACAGCACTGTGAGGTAAGTGTATTACAGATGTTTCTAAAGGCTCTGTAGCTAAATGCATGACAAATACAAAACAGAATAAGACTATTTATTGTGATGCTACCATGAGATGGAAGAACTCAGATGTTATACTTGAGTAAAAGTATTAATACCACATGTTACAAGTATAAAGTCAAAACGTTAATAATATATAATATATACTATATTATTGGATTATAACAATTAACACGTTCATCACTTCAATATTGCAGCTGGTAGAAAGGATATAAATACTGCCATTTAACTTGTGATTTTACCAAGGGATCAATAAAGATCAAAAACTATTTTTAACCTATATTACTAGACTAAAACTCATTGAGTCATCAAGAAAATGCAGTATAAGGTACACTATTTGCCCTGGTTTACAGAAAAGCAGAAGCAGTAGAAGTGGGGTAGCAAGAAAAAGAAATAAAGTCAAAAACTAAAATTGTACTAATCGATTATTTTATTTTAAGAGGATGCTCACTTGAAAATGAAGTTCTTGCTCGGGTCTGGATAGGCCATGGTTCCCATTTCAGACACAACAATCCTGTTGGCAGCCATGTTAGCTTTGTAGGTGTCCCCTCTCAGGAATCTGCTTCTGTGGGTCACTTCACCTGCAAGAGAGAGTTCAGGTTTTGAGCATGCATTAAAAGGAGCAACAGATAACCACTGTTAAACCAAAATAATTGTAAGACGAACCATCTTTAATGGCAAAACTGTTCATGATAGCCATCCCATCAAACCAGTGGCTGTAGCTGGTGTCCCCCAGAGAGAAGATGCCGGGGCCATTGCGCAGCAGCGTGCCCTGCAGCCAGCTGGGAATACATCCTGAAGGGGAGGAAACAGAAAAACAGTCAGCAATGCATTAGTAAAGTCAGTCCTAGTCCTTCAACAGAGTAAAAACTCGGCCTACCTTTAACTTCTGCCTTGCGGGGCTCCGGGCTCTCCTCTGCGTTATTGGAATAGTCTGTAGACATGTTGGTTGGAGGCGCAGTGCCTAAACTCTCTGACGTCCTAATAATGAACTGCTGTCATTCCCAGCGCAAACCGCTCCTTATAAAGCGTGTCAGTGGGGGGGGTGGTTTGGCCAACGACGCGTTAACTTATCTGGACACGGATGCACTCTAGCCTCTGTTTTGATTTCAAAGAAATCTTTATAGCAAGCTAAGTTCGGCGAAATGATCCATATCAAAACACTTAATCAACAACAAATATATGAGCCATCTACTGATTTGCCAGGTTCTTATTCATATTATTTCTCAACTTTTCACGTTTCATTCAATATGAGCCATTTTCGCTGCAGAAAATAGGTTCAGCCCATGATGTCATTGTAAATGTTATTAGTGAACATTTGGCTTGTCTGAATGTTTTATTCTGCAATGAACTTGTTGTTTCCCCACCATATAAATGTTTGAATTGCTTAAGTTTTGATTCAGTTCATTTGGATGGAAGAGGAACTCTTTTATGGATTAGCTAGTGATTCACTTATAGAAGTTTTTATTTGATTTGTTAATAGCCCATTGAACAGTTAGTTGCATATTCCAACCAGAGGTGGGATGTAACTAAGTATATTTACGTAGGTGCAATTTTGAGATACTTGTACTTTAGTATGCTACTTTTTACACCTGGAGTAAATTCACAAGCCACCCTGCAATATACACAGTCTTAAAACTTGCTGCATCTTCACCAGCTTTGATAACACTTTAATGCATCAATAATTATACTCAAAACATATCATATAATTATATTATTCTAAAATGGGTCAATTTGCATAATGAGTACTTCATTTATTTTGATGCTAATACTGTCAGGGTTGAGTGAAGCAGGCAGGACCCAAATGCAGATTTCCAAGATAATTCCTTAATCCAAGGTAACAAAGTAGAAAACAGAACACTACCCCGTGACATAGTCAAAGACAAACAAGGAACTAACAATGACAGACAGAAAAAACAGAACTAAAATACACACAAGACTAATCACACAAACAAGACACAGGTGAGGAGTGAGGAGAAAACACAGGGGCACCAGGTGAACACAATCGGGTAATCAGGTAGGAGGGAAAACAGACAGAAAGCAACAGGCAACACTTTTCAAAATAAAACAGGAAACCAAAGACAGAAAAAGACAAGACAAAACACAACACAGACAGATCGTGACAAATACTTTTATTCCTTTAATTGAGTAACCTTTTAATTGGTGGACTTTTACTTGTAACAGAGTATTTCTACACTCTGGTACTTCTACTTTTACTTAAGTACAAGATCTGAGTACTTCTCCCACCTCTGATTCTAGAGACTTAGAGATTGTATTTAGTAGGATATCAGAAGGTAACATATTTGAACTGCTTTGCTGACTTAACTTTTTTCGATGAATTATAATCACTAAAATACATCTTGCACTGGGGTTAAAATCCTTTACAGTTTCTGGGTTTTTTGTTCTGTGGAATTACTTTTTCTTGGAAGGTTGTTTGGTGACTCAGACTCCCTGCAGTGCTGATGGAGTCAATCGCTCTATTCAGTGGATGACTTGGACTTCTTGGAAAGTAGGTAGTAGTAATAAATCCTATCTGGACGTTAAAGTCCAAATGCTCTTCACCTCAGTGGGTAAATAGCCTCAATCTCAATGACATAACTGCATTTGGCCTCAGATGACCAGAGGTAACAGAATAATGGGTGCTTAATTATCTGTATAAAATACTTTATGCTGCAGTGATGCTCATCACAAGATAGCACTGTTGGCACAAACAACAAAAAGGGTGGCATCTGAAAGCAATAGTGGGAGGTTCTAAAAGCCCTTTACTCAAATTTGATTCAAATAAATGTGTGGCTTGCGGAGGAGATTGCTCACGGGTAGATAAAGAGAGCCTTCAGGTGAACCTTTCCTGGAATAACTAGTCCAGTTTCTTTTCGGAGAGGCGGGAAAGTGTATGCATTCATTTAGGTACAATGATCATACACATATAATATAAATAATAATAATACAATAAAAGTATGTGAATTAACATATTTGTATACACATACACAAGTGTGATCATATAATTCAGAGAATACCAAAAAACAAATACATATTTGTAAAAGAAATTAGGAGAAAATCAAATAAAAAAACATTAAATGATAATAAAAAAGTAAATTGTAAACTAATAGGAGATGGATAAAAAAAACAATGTTAACATTTTTAAGTGTATTGTTAAAGTATGTATAAAGGGTTAGGCGTTGTCCTCCTGTCTATAATTCAGTTACACAATTCACCATAGAGCCCAAACAGACTCAAATGATCTTCAAAGATACAAATAGCATGAGGTGTTTGAGCCTTAGAGATGCTTTGGGGGCAAGTGATGTCCTTACTGCAACAGTACAAGACTAAAACATGTATATATTTGGAAAAGTTTGGATTTTGCAAAGATAGATAGTGATGTAAAACTCTGAGTTGTATGAGATTGAGCCTGAAACTAGATGTACTATCATTCACTGAAATCAATGCAGCATTCCAGTCAGCATCTTATGAATAAGTTACGATAGAAGAAACTTGATAAATCAGATTTTGGGAGGTTACATTTCCTCCACAATTGGCTAAAGCTTCATAAGACATTGTCAGTGTAGGTAATTTAGGTTTACAAGGAATAACCTTAAGGAGAAGGCCCTATCAGTGCAGAGGAAAAAACATATCTGCACTTTGATCAACCTACGGAGCCATTATCATTACTCATATCAAAAATAATAGCAGCGTAAATACACTGTCAATTATGATTTTCTATGGATTTAGAAGTGCTAAATTTTTACGGAAACCATTACAGCTGCTGCTTCTATTTACAATATGTATAACTGTTCTGGTGACTGTTTAGAATCCCTTAGAAAAATGTGTATGTATTTCAACAATCAAATTACAAGAAAACTAACATGAGTTTGGTCCAACCTTTTCTTTTTTTGCAAAATGACCTACATAGAATTCTGTGTATACTGTATCACTATCAGAATTTAGGAGCACTTTATATGTTATGGTTTGGTGCAGGACATCTGTTATCCTCCCTAAAAGGTGACGTGACACCTCTGCACTCAGCGTTTCCACAATAAGTGGAATTCCACTCTCCCTTTTCAGAGAAAGAAGTGACACAACACTTAAAAGTAACACTTCAATCTTTGCTAAATAAATGCATAGCAGCACTGCCCTCTAGTGGCTCCTTACCTGTAGTGGTTAGGCATCATTTAATGTATTTGTAACATTTAACATGATCTCATTGATAAAAGGGAATGATAAAAAAGATACAATTGTTGTTACTCCCAGCTTTTAAGACATATGTGTGGCAGGGAATGTCAACAGCTGGAAAATTACAACTATTGTCTTTACTGGAAACTTTCATAAACACCTTTAGCACCTGCAAGGAAATAAGAAGCAGACTAGGATTTATGTGGCATTGTGTGACAAATTGACCCTTCTTTTACCAGCATGGTTCAGAATGTATAGTGTTCAGTGAATGCACCATCCTTTCCCAAGTGTCATCCATACATATCTTTTAGGTTTTATGACTTTTCTGAGCATTTCGGAACACATTTCAAATATACCTACATCATCTTTGCTTTGTAAAGTGGCAGTTTGATCTCCAAAGTCAATGCAATACAAAGTCATTACAATACAAATCAAATATGATTTTGTATCGTCCTAAACAATGTTATAGCTGCCATTAAAAAGTCAGCCATGCACTTGTCAAAGAAAAAATACTTAATATAATATGTATTGACGATAAAAAGATTGCGTTTAGTTAAAAAGCATATTGTAAAAAAATTGAGACAATACATTTGTTTTAAGCTTCAACATGATAGCACTTCAATTAAACACATCACATCAGTTAATTTGGTATTTATTGGAAAGAACAAGTGAAAATGTAAATGACAAATATTTTCTCTTCTCCAATACATTCATAGAATGTCACTAAACACTCCGTCTACTCACATCTCTGCCCCGTACGACATTCAGAACAGAAACACCGACACCAGCACCGCGCTCTCTGTTACCGCAGCATCTGCTCTTGGATTAATAAATTAAAGACAATGGTACGGATACAATGCTAGATGCTCATAGTATTCATGTTTATTCGCACTGCCCAGATTGTTAAAGACTGTGCCGATTAGTATTCAAGTATTCCCTCACGACTTCTCTCTGTGCTGGATATTATACAAAATATCTCTATGATGCTGTCATCATCATCATCATCATCTGTGGATTACATTATGTGACACAGTACAAGAATAACGTTTAAGTAAACATTATGTACTAAGAAAAGGAAAAAACCAAAGTTGTCTTGCAAAATGTATATCTGTTTACAGTGCGATCCCCATGCAATACCACATGCAGTTATAGAGGGTGCATGAAGAAGACCTTATCGGCCATGCATACAGCCACAGCTGAACAGAAGTGTCATGCTGACCTGAAACCCTTTTATGATTTCCTTTAATTTCCATTGAAATATGAACACATCCTGACTGTTATCTAAGATGTGAGATAGCATATAGCCAGAGTCCATCCTGTTCCAAACAGTGCCTGTAATAAAATGGCGTAAAAGTCTTTCACACTTTTGACCAAGCCAAACTTCACTGAGCCTCATCACACTGTGAGATGTGTGTGAGAACATAACAAACCATGGTTGGCACTGAAAATGCTCATGGATATGAAAAATAAAGTATATCGGAGTAGCAATGGCTAAAGCACTGGCACGTAATTTGAATTTAAAACCATAACAAAACAAAAGCACTAAAACAACCAGCCTTTACATGACGCTTGGTTTTACATTTGGAGCTAATACAAAGGCCAACATATCACTTTAGACAGGCATCAGACATGGGAAAACTGTGCTGTGGGCGTGTAACAAATATTCACTGTGCAATCACAAGTTGTTTTTAAAAGGCAACAAAATCAAATGCTGAATAGCAAGGCCTACTCTCAAAACTAGCAACACATTTGACAGAAGCTTCTGATGTACAGCTCATAAAGATACATTTTCAATATAAATTCAAGTGTTGTAAATCATCTACGAAGTGCCATCTTTTAATTTGAACAAATGATACATTTGTCCTGAAAAGCCTTGTACAGATTTGTTCAGTGTTGTACGGTGATTAACTGCTTTGTCGGTAGAATAACGCTTAAGAAACAACGATGGGGTAAATCATCATAACTTTTCAATATTCAACTGAAAACAAAACAGTACATATTTGATCAGTTTCATGAATAACTCTGGAAGTGCACATGGTGTTTAACAGCTGGAAATCATACAGAACAGAAGCAAAATGCTCTAAAACAACCGGAAAATATCTCTAACATATACAGAAGTATTAACAGTTGAAATACTGATTATTGTCTCTGATTTGACCAAACCATTAACATTTTTAACATTCAAAATCTAGTCAAATTAATTTACTATAATCATGTACAGAATTAAGTTTGATAGCCTAGATGTGCATTCTATCGTGGTAAACACATGCAGCTTGTTGTGGCTAATGTTGCATTTAAACAATTTGTGAGGATATCATAAACAGGAAGTGTGAATATTACATAAACCTAAGGTCAGACCAGTGCCAGATCTACTACCAACATTTCAAAGCCGTTGCTCTTGGTCTACAACACTGATTCTGAATGAGCATCCCTTTACATGCATCGCACGATGTGAAATAAATATAATGACGGCTTCCACAAACAGTGTCAACAACGTAACTTTGTGTATCCAATGTGATATTTGTTTCCAATTCCTGTGAAATATCAGGTTGTATTCCTATTAAATCATGTGGATTTAAATATCTGGTGTTGCCTTAATATTATTATTTGCATTGCTAAATGTCAGCAACACAGCAGTGACATTCAGTTTCCCTTTTGGCCTTTTCAAGGTACTCCATACATCAGTCTCCTTGTCATTAAAAACAGTCAACTTGAATTGTTTAAAAACGATTTGCCTTGACCCCAGCAAGACAAAAGAAAAACACTTTAATCCAAACCATTAAAATGCAGAAAGACTCACAATATCAAATAAACCTCTTAATAGGCTGGCTTTTATTCAAACCTCTTGACCTAATGACAGTGGGTGAGTGATTCAATGATTTCAATAACTGTTCTCCTCTGTGATTGCACTTGATATCCCTCCTTTGTGGCAGTCAAGTCCCAACAAAGGAGGGAGGAAAAAGAGATGCTTGACCCTTTTCCTCAACAGGCCTCTAACAATGATTGTATGGCACTGACCATTATAGAGAATGTTTCCCATGTTCCCTTTAAATCTTTGCTTTACCATCAACATATTCCATCATTTCCATCCCGGGACTCAGGCAGCAGTAATAATAATAATAATAAAAACCAAAATATTTTAAAGTATTTTGCTGAGCATAAAGAAAAGTAAACTTGTTGACGATTTGTGGTAATCCATTGTCTCGGGACGAACTCTTTGTTTGGTGGAGAGGAAATTTGCCATGCTCATATTGCTAACAGGTCATTCCATGGCTTAGTCTGTTAAACAGTCCATTGGTATGCTTGCTTTCCAAAATAATTCCCTCATTACATTCGGTCCTGTAACATCACCTCGCAGGTTTGACAGTCCAAACTGCTATCCACACACTGTGTGCTATAGTTTCGCGTGCGTATAGCCCTATTATTTACACGAGGCCGATAGAAACGGACCCCACAAACGATAACGGGTCCTAAGGTGGATAGATTTGCAAACAAAACGCTCTGGGGGGTCAACCGAGTCCGTGTTAGTCTCTGCTGTGGAGTTCTCCCACCACTGACACCTTGTTTCCCTTAATCCGTCTTCCCATTCTCCTGAGGCGCTCCGGCTTTGCTCCGTTGTGCCGAGCGCAGCACTCTGTAGCAGCCGCGGGCGATCTTATGCATCCACATAACGTTCATGATGTCCAAGCAGATGCTGGAGCCGATCCAGGCCACGCGGCCCCCCCAGGGCACCAGGTAGAAGGCCTCGGTGCCATACACCATGTACATACGGATGTAGTAGACCGGCATGACGGCGATGCGGACAAAGAAAAAGACTGCTGCCATGGCAACACCGTTCGCCATGTTGGGCCGGGAGGACTTAGGATAACCTAGTACCTCAAAGAACCAGCTGGAACACAACACAGAGTTAGGAAACAAGATGCAAATATACAATTATGGAAAGACTGTTCACTATCACTTCAGCTTTAGCATGATTAACAAGGAGTTGGTATCTACAGTAATAATCAAAAGACAACATGCAAGAACCAGTAGATTAACTACATGTTATTCCTAACCATTTTTACACCTTCTAATGAATACAACTGCAAAACATTTGTAAATTGAGCTACTAATCTTAAGAGCCATAGCCCAGGTCATTAGCAAGCAGGTACTCACCGCTGGTTAACACATGGCGTGGAAAACTCCGCAAGCAGACGGAAGTTAGCAAAATAAGGCAACATTCCTAAGCCCTGCAAGAACAAGGTAAAAACAGGAAGACAACGAAACATGAAAGGGAAAAAAAACACAAGAAACCGAGTCATTTTGATCAGCAGGCAGGAAGCTCACACTTCGCCTGCTCTGCAAGTCACTGTATGATATTTCAGATTTCAAGACATGCTTTTACTGTGAGGGGAACTCAAGTCCAAATACAGACCTACTTGCCAGATCTAACAAAAGAGGCTTCTGCTTCAAGGCTCACAATTATTCTTTGGCTGAATTTAGACTGGTCCTTAATTTGACTTCAGAATGATTAATTCTCCTCATCTATTCATGCCTTTGTAGCACGAGTTTCCAGACCATATTTTATGATAATCAATCTGTCTGAATATTAGATATATGAATGTTGACTTGTTTGCCTGATAATGGCCCCAACTGTCAAACATCTAAATGGCTCATCCTTTAAAGAGTATTAAAATCATGGGATCCATCCCCGAAGATCATGAATTCCCTAAACTAGAGCAACATTCTTACTAATGCTAAATGGGGTTGCTTTTAGTGAGGCAATACATGGTTTTGCGTCATATAAGTTGTCATGTTACCTCATATATTCAATTAACACTGACTAATGCATCTTTATACCAAACCATATGCCAACTACTGCCAATTGCCTTCATGTATTTTCATCGATAATGCAGCAGAACAGTGTAAAGACCCCACAGCATGGCAGTTATTCTAATAATCAAATATCAACACAGCAAAGATATTGATACAAATAATGTACAACCATACACACACTCAGCCAGCCACTACTTGAAGGAGCAATCAGAAGCCATGCAGAGGGAAAGCAATATGTTTACAAGTCATAGCTTAGCGTATCAGGGCCTGAATCCCATGTTGTATGAGATCATCGTCAGCAGGTTTGTACTTGAACGCTGAATTTAAGAAATTCATGGACAGAAGCCAATATGACGCCCTTGAGTGAGCCCTCTATAAAAGATAACCCACAAGGCTTTATTTTCCATTTCAATTTCACACGTTTTAAGCTGCTGCTAAAGAGAATGAAGATGATCTTACAAACAAGATGATTTCAGGACACCTCATCTTGTAAACATGGCCTTCCCTGCTTAATTAACTAAATAAAGCAGGCTAAAATTGTTTTAATATTTTGCAATCAGACACATCTGTTAACGACTCTGCAATAAGATTGTTTTAGAGATTGAGTGCTGGGATTTGGATCTCTACTTCTTGACCATACAAATAAAAATCATAAGTCAAACTCAATGCTAAGATAAAAATCACAGCACTCAATTTCTCCCACAAACAACCTAAATTGGAGGTTATTTGGCTTTCACAGCATGTACAAGGAGACTTACCGTCAGAGCTGAAACAAAAGCTGTACATTAAAACATACTTACTATGTGACACACACATCTGCATTGCACTGTTTGTAACATATGAAATGAAGTTTCCACCTAGCATTAGCATGCTAGTACCTCTAGGAACTGGTAAGTCCATACTGTGACTGGGCATCATATCTGCTCAGTGCAACACAACAGCATATAGCAGACAAGGCAGGAATAGGTCCCCATCTAGAACAAGACCTGCTCTGGGTTTTCTAAATGACACACAACCCTTTTGGTAGTTTTTGCATGAACGGGGATGACACAACCCGACTCGATGTTGGAGGTTTAAAGAGGGGCTATTTATGTTAAAGTCAGCAGGACACAGAGACAGACAGACAGATATATTAGAAAGAAAAAGATGCCACAATTGAAGTAAATAAGAAGCAACATTAACAAAAACGTAACAAAAGAAAGCATGCATCTAATATTTACAGTTATAAAATTACCGTATGGATTTAGCTACACACACAATATACAGATTATGCTGCAATTAAAAAAATCATAAGATTATTTGAACCGTTATGAGCAAACATTAGTGACTGATTAGTCAAGAATCGTATCATGCCAACAAGCTCATAACATTAGGCTGATTCAAGTCTTAAGTATTTACCAAGTACATTTTGCCTTAATTTGGCTGTGTGCCCCATAATATTCATATTGGGTAGGTATAATTTATTTGACATAAACACACACAACACATTAACTAATAAGACTTAGACAACTAGACAAATTTGACTAGGTACAGAACTAAAATAAAATGAAAACGTTCAAGTTTCAAGTTGACCACTTTTACACTGGTTTCACCCATATGTTCAGTACAGTAATGTGAGGTGACAAACGCGGAGCATTCATTCTGTTGTCCCACATGAAGTTCAGATCTCGTCTGAGGAACAGTCACGAGTGACCAGTAACAGTATGGCCTACTTTGTCTCATTATCCTATCTGTTTTAGATACAGCGGCTTGCTCTGTTTCTCAAAATAAACGGCTGGATTTAAAGTTTAAATCCTATTTTTAATATAACGATGTGACACTGATTTAATCCTATTATTACTTGGACACAGAAATGTGGAAACTAAATATTCCTCATTAACAATGCAATGAAGACAGACATCCAAACCACATGGTAAAATGTCTCATTTAAGAAGAAAAACAAATCCGTAAAATCCAGCCAGTGACTGTAGACAGGGGTACAATTTAAATCTGGATTTACGAGTTTATATGCAACATAAAGCTAAAATGGAATTATGTTTTCTTTCCAAGTACATCTGACAGAAGAGGCCGGAGGGGCTTTGTCAGTTTCCTCTTTAGGAATAGTCAGGACAAGTTTAAGGAAGAAAGAAGAGGCAGAGCTAGGATTTTAACACAGAAACAGACAGGCAAAGGCCGGTTATGTAGAAAGGCAGGGAAGTAATTGAGAGTTAAATACTGTTTGTTGGCATGCACAGTTACAATAAAAAAAACCCTGCCTTTGTAGAATGCTTCAGAGCTGCCAGCATGCACACAGTGGTTACAGATTAGCATCAAGCTGCGCTAAACTCACGCCAGATTCACACAACTTAAAAAAAGGGGGTCAGTAAAACAAAGAGAAAGCACGGAAAGTGTAAGGGAAAGGTAGGGGGGGGGGGGGGGGGGGGGGGGGGTCATCAGCCAGTACCATCATTGAGCATTCCATGCAAAAATACCATCGTCATTCATTTCCATAATAATAATTATCAACAGATCCTGTTGACCTAGAGGGTTTCAGATTGAACCAAGAGTGAACAGCACTACCCAGAAATGCTGAGTCATATCAACTATCTGCATGTTTAGACGAGAGCTAACTGTATAAAAACGGAGCATCAATAAGCAGCTTCTTAGTACTTCAAAGGAGAAAGGATCAGCAGGCTAATACCTGCAGTTAAAAAATAAATAAAGCTAATGTCATGTATATCAATCGATGTGCACCACCTATCAAAAATGGTTGACTTGCTAGCTACGACTGCTGATGATTATTGGTAACACTTCTTAGTATTCGCACCATATAAGATGTGTTTATACATGGCACTTTTGGCCACTCTTCACTTAATATTTGTACATCGTGAGAAAGCCGAGAGGAAGGGAAACGACGCCTCCTGCTGGACCACGCTAGGTCTCACAGGTACATAAACAGCTAAACACATAAAGACTTGTGAAATGATGAAGCTCAAAAAGTGAGCTTTGAACATCCATAATATTTACTCATCTGATGTGTTTGAACAATTGGTGGTGTTAGTCGCCTATTAATTTGGCCTTGAACATATTCAACTAAACCAGATATGAGCAGCATGACAACACTCATAGATCTTAGTGAGTGGAGGCTATCTGAGGTGAAAGCCTGACAGGACACAGCTGCTCACTCTTGGTTGTCTCCTTCCCATCTTGCCTGCATGTTCTGCTATTGGACAATAAGGCACTCACCAGTACATAGTAGTAAGCATACAACGCTGCCAGGTGGTGAACTACAAAAAACTTGTCGCCTATCGCCTTCCAATAGTAAAATATTAGCAGCAGATCTGGAAAACAGAAGCACAGGGGAAACACAGATAACATGTCACTGGTGTAATCCAGTTTAGTAGTAGTTTGAAGACCAGACTGTAAACTTCTGATTGGCATCTGACCCACACAATAAGGCATACACTTAAGTGATTTATCGAAGCAATACGTTTACAACATCTTTTTACAATGTACATGCATCTTCTTCTACTTTCTCAAACATATCCCAGGTAAACTGAAGGTTTCTCTTACCAGATATGAGGTAGCCTGTTGTGATGGCAACATTAGTCTTCACCAGTGTAGGATCTCCCCTATTGAAAAAAAAACACATTTGGTTTGAGAAGGTTTGTGTGATTAAATGTTAAAGGGGCTCTAATGTGCTTTTTCTGTGCATGTAAATGGTCTGCAAAGGCTACAATCCCAAAGTTCCTTCCAGAGGGAGTTTCTCTCCCACACACTTTACATCACTATGTAACACTCGCGCTTCTATTGGCTAGCGCTCCAACACATTGTACATGATAGGCTAAGGGGCGAGACATCTCTAAGCATTTAACCAATCACAACAGAGCCGGCCAGCTAACCAATCAGCAGACTGGGCTCTGGTTTCAGACAGAGGGAGAAAAGAGGTGCTGCAGCACAGGCAGTATGAGAAAAATAAAGCATGGAAACATGTCACAGTAGAGACACACAATATAAATATGAACCTGAAAATGAGCATCATATGGCCCCTTTAAAGCTCTTAATATGTAGGTGTTGAAAATGTCAGCAGCATGGCTTCAAAAATGAACCCGAGGTAAGTAAATCTCTTCCAAACTTGCAGGGGAATTCCCATTGCTATAAATCAGAGACAGATATTATCACCAAGCATTTACACCCTTGGTTACTGTTGCTATGGCTGTCATGTGCGACAAAATAGACGTTTGATTCAATCTTAAACAGGTTGCTCAGGTCTTGATTTGATCAGCAATGCTAGGTATGTAGTATCTATGTTTTCAGGTTCTGTAAACCAGTTGTACATTCTGTTAACCCTCCTATTGTCACAGTAAGTTTGATTTAATTTCATGTTTTAAGTCTTCAACCTGCTATATAAAAACAATAAATCAATTTGATCATTTTATTTGAGTTTGAAGGTCTCTATAAAAAGTGTTGCATCAGTGTCTCTGTGTTAACCTGACCTGGCAGATAATAATAAAGAGTCTGCCAAACTATACAAAAATAAGGTTCTTTTGTGATAAATAAAAGTCAGTCGAGTCGAGACAAGAAAATGAAGTACAGTACATGTACAGTATACTAGGCTAGTTTTCAACTAAGGAAGCATTCAGCTGTGCCATTTGGTGTTTCCATGAACCAAACTTCTTGGACCAGTACCCTTAATAGTCCTTGTCATATTAAGTGAAACAGTATGGGAAGCAAAGGTTAAAAACATGCTATTCTCAGTCAATTCTCACCAGACTGGGTCTTCATTGACGGGATCATCAAAGAACAAGATGTAGAGACAGAAGATTCCCACCAACAGCGCGTGAAACGTCGACACCGTCCTGAAATTACAACCCAGACACACAGCCGTGATTATTTTGTTCTGATTTTAGAGTACAGTGAGTATTTGTCCTTGTTCAGGAATAGTGCCTTGGAGCTGCTCTGTGGTTTAGAGCGCTGAGTTCTCACAGCGAATCAACTGATTGCCTGTTGCGGCTGCACACAGATTCAGACCAATTATACTAAGAGATTAAACACTGCTGCAAGGTCAGGCAGAGCAGCAGACTCCAGGTCAGTCACTCAGGAGGTGAGACAGTCCAACAGCAATCAGTCAGTGAGACACAGTGACAGCCACACTTCCTGTAAGACTGTTTCACTAGAATCTGTAAAGTCATGGACCTCACCGGGAATCCATATAGCCTGGATCCATCTCCGCTAATCACTCAATTGCTCAGAAACCATGTGACAATTTCTATTTCACAAGTGCTCTCATGAGTAATAAAAGGAGTTTGAGAGAAAATGAGTGATTCATGCAAGTCACAGCCTGTCTGTCTGACTCAATACACACACTCAATATTTGTACTCAAACGTAGTTGTCATAGCTAGTATCTGCAATGTACCCATAACAGGATAGCAGTTAAACAGCTACTTGACTACAGATGACACTGTTTGATCTAATTGTCTGTTCATTAGTATGAAGTGAACACTGTGTCCCTGACGCATCTTAATATTTTCACTGAAGAACATTTTAATAATGGCAATAGACATAACAACAGGCTTGGCCTTGCTGTCAGACTGAGATAGGATCTTGTTAAATGTTAAAATATGAGGTTGACTTGCTGCCCGTACATCGAAAAGTGGAATTTAGAGATACTGTAAGTGTTACAGGAAATATGTGGTTTGTCTGAACAAAGACCCATGGTGATAATACGGTTTTGTCGGGTCACCTTGAGTTCCACTCCACCTTCTGCTTGTCACTGAGGCTGAGGAAGCTGGAGCTGATGCGTGAGGACACCCAGGGGCTGAGCCAGTGGAAGAGCCACTGGAAGGAGAAGAAACTGATCACCGAGATGGTGAGGATGAGCAGGCTGAATGGGTCCATGGCCACCCAACCACACTGAGGGAGAGAAGAAGTTTAAGATTAGTGCTTGAAGTGGTTACCCGTTATAAATACCTTGGTATCTGGCTTGATGATTGTCTCTCTTTTAAACGTCAGGTCAATAATCTGCTTAGAAAGCTAAGGGTGAAGCTCGGTTTCTTTTTCAGAAACAAGTCCTGTTTCTCACTTGAGGCCAGGAAAAGGCTAGTCTCTGTGACCTTTTGACCTGTGCTGGACTATAGGGATCTGATCTATATGAATGCACCTGCCCATTACCTAATCAAGTTAGATGCCGCCTATCACAGTGCGCTGAGATTTGTCACAAACTGTAAAGCACTTACTCATCACTGTACCCTGTATGCCAGGGCAAGTCTGCCATCACTTACTGTTCGGAGACTCAGTCATTGGTACATGTTCATTTATAAAGCCATGCTGCGTAAACTGCCACCTTACATCTGCTCACTGATATCACGGAGAGTCGCAAGTAGCTATTGCCTAAGATGCCAGGATGTGTTTTTATTACATGCACCAAGTGCTAGGACTGTTTTAGGCACTAAAGCTTTTATGTGCGCTGCCCCTCTAGCTTGGAACACTCTGCAAAACATTTTGAAAATTAGCATTTTGGTTCCCCTGCATGTCATTATGTTGTATGTGTCCTTTTGTTTTCTGTTGTATTTCTGTTACATGTGTAACCAATGTGCGGCAGGTCTCCCTTGTAAAAGAGATCGTTGATCTCAATGGGATTTTTTTACCTGGATAAATAAAGGCTACAAACAAACAATTAGAAATATAACTGGGAAATTAGACATTCTCTGTTGTTTCATTACCAAATTCGGAATTGCATCAGAAACAAAACCTCTGCCATTATAGGCCTAATCCAATCTTGCTAAACTCAAGAAGAAAGGCTGCCACTGGCCTTAACAAAAAAAAGGTATATTAAAGCTCATAGGTAAAGTTTGTTTATAATTAAAATTAGAAGTCTTGAAGAAACGACTAATGAAATGTTTTTTTGTGAGTTGATATTAATGTAACTGACTGGCTTAAATTAGCAAGTAATAATGTCTCATGATTGTAGGACCCAAATTAAATTAAATCAAAATGATAACGTGGCAGACTTTGTGACATCAGCAAGTATTGTCTTGTTGCACAAATAATTGATTTGTATATAGAATCATGATTAGAGTTGTGATTATGACTTCTAACAATAACTCTGCTCCATCAGCTTCTTTATATATTTAGCTCCTGTACCAGGATGTACAAAGTATTAAGTTGCATTTCGGCAAAGATACGCTTATGTATTACTTCCTGGAACTCTTCTCAGAGTAAGTGAACATTTTCAGAAAGAAGACCAAAGAATCAGGACACACTGTCACACTGTGTGCTGAAAGCAGTCATAGTGTTTTCACACCACACACACACCTTCTAAAACCACACACACCTTCTTCCCCAGGAAGCTCTACAGCAAAAAGCTGCAGGTCTACTGAATGCTGAGTGGAAACGTAGCTTTCTTTCAACTTTTGGAGGATCTTTTTACGTCTCATTACAAACATGAACAAATGTCCATACTAAATGTCCCGTGTGGCGATTACGTGCTTGAGTTGTACACACCATTAGTCAGAGCATCACTAAAGCTGCTCCATTATTTGGATTGCAATAATCCCACCGTGTACAAAAGGACATTTTACAGAAACAAAATAAAAAGCTCTACTCCTTTTATTCATCCAGTATGCGTAAATGCAAGTTATTGCTTTTGATCAAATTAAGTGTTGGATCAAATATTATAATATTTACTATGCTGACATTTTTGGAAATGCTTACTGTAGCTTTTCTAAGACCAAAACACATGTACCATGACCAATCGGGTAGATATTGCCATCAACATTAAATACATGCACATTACACAGCTGTACTGCATGCCAACAGCTATTGGAGACTGGTACGTACCACAGCTGTTATGTAAGAGCCTTTTAAATGGACACGGGTCATCCATGTTTTGGAAATTGTGAGTGGAATACGGTATAAAGGGTAATTAGCGAGGGGGGGGGGGTGGTTCAATAAAATCCATTTGATCTTGATAATTATTTAATTCTAAAACTAGGCCTTGAAGTGATAATGATGTATTAAAGAAATCTGTACAATGACCTCAAATAACCTATAGATCTATTTCGTCATATCTATATTTAGAAAAAAAAGTGATCAGCTCTGCATGCACAATGGCATGCAGCCGATAAATGTATGTCAGTGACAGTTCCTCTGCAGCCATTGAACTGTTTTTATGAGTGTTGCCGGGAGCTGTTTTGCATATGGCCTGATTCGGCTGTGCAAGCTCTTGGTAAGAAGCCAAGTCAGTTAACTTTATAGACGTATTTACATCTCCCACGCACGGTGTATATCCCAGGATAGGCAACCTAAAATAAAACACATCTTTCTCCCTGGAGCTCTGGCCTTGGTTATTTTATATCAGCCTTTGTTCCTTTGCTACGCGAAATAAATGCTCGAGGACAAACAGTGTGTACCTCACTTGCCAAGAGAAAGTCATCAGGGAACTGAAAGGCCAATTCCCCAGAGTCCCCGCCTGTAATGCATCCGAGGAGAAGTACTTTATTGTAGCATGCTGCAAGGCACAAATACTTTTTGTTATTAGAGGAACACTTCTAGAATCTATAACTGAAGATACATCTGGATAAGTAAAGCCATTCTCACAAAGTGGGGTCATTTGAGGTGCACACATGTTGTAGTTGTGCAAGTTCCCATGCAGAACTGCCAAGGGCAAATGGTTACAGAGGTCGCCTTAAGGATACAAAACAGCTGAAGATTCATGGTGAACCAAGCACCAGTAGTCTTAAACAATCTGCTTTCTAACACATTTGCCTTGTGAAGTGTTTCTTTATCAAAGATCTAATCATTTTAAACCCCCAAACAACAATCAGTGAATCAACATGAATGTCAAAATCAAGGTGGACCAGTGCTAATAAACAAACAAGGACATACACCTTCAATCAAGGCTCATGCAAGGCATCACAACAACCATTATTTTGAAAATCCCATTTCTAAAAACAAAGAGCAGTCCTTCGGCAGATGTATCTAGTTATAACAAGGTGGAAATAATGACTTTAGAGGGTTTAACTCCAAACTAATGAGTGCTATCCAGCACCCACTGTTTTAGTGCTGTCTCATAAGGATTTAGTTTGGGCCTGCCTTGAAGAAATGCCTTTACATTTTCTTGAAAGTGATGTGTATTTCCAGTGAATTGGAATGAACAGGTTTTTCCTGTAAGATTGTTTTGCGAGCTCCATATCCATGCAACCAGGGTGCGCTTGCGTAAGACGGTTGGACCTGTTTTAAAGAGGAAACGAAAATAACCGTGTGCATCACCGGATTGCCTTTTAGTGATGAGGATCGCTAAATAATGTTGTTATAGGGGAACTCTGGTTCTTTTACGCAAGGCATCTCATAGCACACGCACAAGGCCAATTGACGCCACAGCTACTGGAAATGTGTTGGAAAAACAACACTGGCCTGGTGTCTGGGACCAGCCTTCTAGGAGGAGGAAATACATCACCTACCTTTTGACTTTCATTCAGATGATCTGCGCCTCACTCTCGCAGCCGGTTACGGTTCCCAGGGTCGTTTTCCGTGTATATCGAGTCATGTCGAGTCATTTTTTGATAAACAAGAGAAGCCCGCCTCTTGCTCCACACACACACACATACACACACACGCACACACACGCTAACAACTTGTGGGGGACGATGCAGGGCTGGAGCTCCGCGTCGGAGGCAGCTATGCGGTGTTTACCGAGGATCCCATCCGAGGAGAAGCGTGCGTTAACGCGGACCTTGTAGCTCGACGCTCGATTACAGAATATCCATGGGGGCGTTTCTGTGTGTGTGTGTGTGTGTGTGGGGGGGGGGGGGGGGGGGGGGGGCACCCTCTCTCTTTCTCCTCCGGACTCAAATTACAGCTGAATTCTTAAAGATATACACACACATTCACACAGGCGCACATACAAACAGCACACAGTACAGTGGTCTGCCTTAGAACAGTCACTGTGTCTATTTATAGCCAACTGATCCAGGGGGAATCAGAAACTGCATCCCTGGTCAAGGTTTCATTGAATATTTCCTTTATTGTAGCCCTTTTCTAACACGATTACATATTTTACATTACACCAATGTAATGTGTTGGGTTGTTTATGTATTTTAGATTTGTTTTAAACATATGTATAATCTAGACTAAGCTACTCTTTAAATCCCAACTGCATTTAATACATCAACATAAAACACATTAATCCTATAGAATAAATGAATTAACTGTTGGTGCAATAATAAGTCAATGGCTTTTATAGCTGCTAGTTTTCCATTGGAAAAATTAAGTTGTGTTTATTTTGGTTAGACCTGTCTGACTCTTGCTGACTTTTTCAGTGTTACCTACCCATGCTTTAATCGAGTTTTTCTGAGTAGAGATTCGTTGAGCAGCTAGGCTTTAAAAGACAATACAAATGGGAAGTGTAAAAAGACATACAACAACAGACTCAACTTCCAGTGTTTTATTAAGCCACTGATGTCATGTGCTCCCCTGCTCAGATGTCAGCCATACCATTGGACTGTACTGTATGTACAAAGTGTCCAGACACATTACCAGAGGGCAGATGGCAGATTAAATGACCTATGCAAGCAATTTAAAATGAAATGGCTTATACCTAGATTGAGTAATGCCCGTGTATTTAAATCCTGATGTGCATAGATCACAATGAATAGAGTTTATAGTATCCTTTAAAGGTGGGGTGGGTACGTTTGAGAAACAGGCTCGAGATACACTTTTTGTTATATTCCATGGAATGCTCTTAACATCCCGATAGCAATGAATATCTTTGTCAAAGTGCTTTGACAAAAAATCCATAAAAAAAATCCATCTATAGGCCTATGTATTATATCTGCTCTCTGATAACACAGAGAGTTGCAAGCAGCTATTGTCTGAGATCGCATGATGTAGTGTTGTTACATGTGTCAAGAGCAAGGACTGTCTTAGGTAAGACAGCTTTTATGTGCGCAGCTCCACTTGCTTGGAACAATCTACAGCAAGAATTGAAACTGAGCAATTTCATTCCTCTGCATGTTTTTAAAGCTAGGCTTAGTGAAATGCTTTTTGATACCATGGGTACTTGTAAATGTCGATAACTATGTAAATGTAGCCTGTAAATATAATGTATGATGTCCTTTATTGTTTTATGTTTGTTTTATGTTTCATGTGGAACCTATTTGCTGCAGGTCTCCCTTGAAAAAGAGATCTATGATCTCAAGGGACCAATCTGGTTAAATAAAGGTTTGAAATTAAATTAAATTAAATCTGTGGAAGCCGTAGTACTGTAAAAAGCACGACCAATCATTTTAGCCGGCCCGGCTAAAATAACTGGATGGCCTACCTGCCTGTCAGCCTTCCATCTGTGCACATTTTTTTATGTATTTATTGTCAAAGCATTTAATTTATTCATTGCCATCAGGATGTTAAGAGCATTCCATGGAATATAACAAAAAGTGTTTCTGAAATAAATGACCTACCCCACCTTTAACTGATAAATGCATCTGAGGGGACAATACCGACTTCTGCCACATGGCGGCGCACCTCTCCATGTTTCTAACGCTGCAATTGTTTTCCATATTGTGTTAATTGACACACTTACATAAATACGTTTTGGTAGGAACTTTTACTTTTTACTGACTGGAGTAAAAGCTTAAAGTATCATAAGTTCCAAGTACCTTACATGTTTACTTACAGTACTTGAGTAAATGTACTTAGTTACTTACATTCACTCCTCACACACACCTTTCGTTTGTGTTTCAATACTAGAAGGTTGATTCTTTTTTAGCACACACAAATATGTTAACCCAATATGCCTCAATTTAATGATTTGGTCCCAGACACTTTAAAAGGCAACAACTATTTTATCATTTGTCCAAATGCACACATACATGCACTTATGCTTCCCTCTGCTGGATGGTTTGTGAAGTACGTTGTACGTGTATTTCCTTCATGTAGCACAAGCATAAAGGTTGTGCATGTGCATGTGGAAATAAAAAATAAGCTAAAGTAATACAAATAATGACTTTTGTTTTACCTTTCTGATTTATATTGCATATCGACACTTATATTAGACACACATATTCTAAGCTTGATTAGCTTAACCCTTTGTGCAGCATACATTTTATTAAAATTCTTTATTAATTATATTTTATATACAAGGTTGTTCTCACTAAACCATGGCCATTTGTACACATAATTACAGAACCCTAAAACCGGTCACATATAAGTTTTATATTTCAATTTTTATATGAACTTGTATTTGTTTTTATTGTTTAGTGATTTGTTTGTAACTATATTTCCTTTCATTGCAGTGTAGCCTCTCTCTAATGCAAAACCATTAAATGCTTCTGTTATTTGTGCTTTTAGGATTGAACGATCAGGGATTGATTGATTGAAGTCTTGTAGTCGGTTCTTGACGGATGAATGCTTTTATCTATGAACAATTGGCCAACACCATGGGTATGTTCACAAAAGATTGCACGTCTTAAAATGTAACACGTGGAGGTTTGTTGGTCTGAAGTAAGTGACTTAACTACATTTCGAGTTAGATGTTAAGAATGCAATTAAATCTCTTATGTTATTCCTGTAATCAGCAGTTACAATGTTAATCTTTATGTAATGAGTCAGTTACATCCACCCATTTGAGTTTTTTAAGACTTTTTTGGAAAGCATGCACTCACAGAAAGTTCTTAAACAGTAAAAGGTAAAATATACAATTTTTATTATTTATATATGGAAATACAAAATTAAGATACATGCATTTGTAATGGCATAAATACAGAAGGGTCAACATAAAAAATAATTTCCAAAAAGAAAAAGAACATTTAAGCTCATAGAAACTTCCACTGTAACAGCTCCTTTAGTGGTTGAACTATGATTTTGTCATGCACAAACAAATACCATTTTGATCTTATTGTACTTAAAGATTTAAAGCAAAGAAACATATACAATATACCACAAACATGTACTTTGGTCAATATGTAAAAAGCAATAGCAAGAGGCAGGAACTGATCAGTATGGAGTATGATTTGACATATAAAAGCAGCTTTAGTGATCAATGTGGAATAGTCAGTAAAAAAACCTTGAATCAGTGGTAATAAGGCAATTCATGAAAGCTAGTGGACCAAAGCAGCACAACATTTTATATCAGTCAGTTTTCTTTTTGAGTTCCTGTACCATATTCTTTCTGTCTGACATCTTAAAAGACACTCGTGTTTTCTCACCTTTAACAGTTTGGCATTGTATATAGATACATTAAGCTCTTAAAAATAAAGATAATATGCATGTCAATCACACAAAAGGAGTTTAATATGGATCATAACCGTCCTCACTAATCTTAACTACAACTTAGAAACAAAATGTACAAATATCTCAATTTCGTGCCTTAACAAAAGTCATTATTCCTCAGGCCTATTAAACTAAATCTTCGTGTTGGAAAATAACAAGCATGACTCAAATGGTGTTTAAATAGAGCTTCATAACTGAGCCTGTGGTGACACTATTGTAAACCCAGAACAGTAATCCATACATTGCTGAATTACTAGAGCTAAATCAACTGAAAATCTCTATGTGATGGTTGTACTTGGATAACTAGTCATTCAACCATGTAAGAATAGCACCTTGGAGCTACAATAGAAGCTCTCAGTAAATAGGAGTTTACATTGAAGAGGCACTTTGTAACACGTGTATAAGTTCACACATGATCATTTGATGCATGCATGCACACCGTTAAGACCTGAGAATGCCACAGAAAATAGAAATCAAATGAAATCGAGGCAATAAAAGTTAAAATGATAATATATTTGCTCAACTGCTTTTACTTACTGAATATGAATTCTTTATTTTGTACATAATATGATTAAAATACACTTGAAACAGTCAAAACTATTTGATACAACTGTGAAATTGAGCACCTGTTCTACTATGAAGTTGAAAAGGTTAAGGCTTTGTATGGCACATAGCATTTGGTATTTTTAGTTGATCATAAATGACAATCATGATGTTGATAATGATATACTATAGATAAAGCTTCTCCACATTAAACATCCTTTGTAAAAAGCTTCTTATGACCCAAATGGGGTCAATCTGCTCTTCTCTGAAGAACATAGCTTGTAATAAGCTCATGTAAAATATATTTTATTAACATTTGTGTCTTTAAACAACACGTTGAGGGCACATTCAGATCTACTTTACGACATGAAGTCTCTGGATTGAACCCATGGCCTTAAAATATCCAAATAATGATCTTATATCTGCTTACCATTTCACATGAATTCTCAGCATATGATAGAAAACCGTGCTCATCTCGTGAATGAGGTGGACAAAACGCAACGCTGACGTCTCTACACAACATTCTTCAGCATAGATGATACAAACATCCATCCGGAGACAAAATCAATTGTAGTCTTTAAAGCCACAAAGAGGCGTAGAACATTTGCGTATCCCGCTCCTTCACTACACCATGAACTGTGTGTATCCCTCAGCGCCTGTGACGATCACATCCATCCAGATCCTCATGGCCTCAGGAGAGGGAGCTACCATGTAGTAAACTCTGTCGTGAGTCTTTACACTGAAGGTCAGGGAGGGGTTCGGGCTCTGATCGAGGAAAAGGATAGGAAAACGAGGAAGGGAGGGAGGGAGGGAGGGAGGGAGACGGGTGATGATGAATGGTAAGTAGGAGACAGAAGGAGAAAGGTTGAGAAATCATTTAAAAATTATATTAGAAGATGATAGATCACCATTTTCACGACAAGAGTTATTTCCATGCATTACTTTTGTAGCAGCATACCTTGTGTGCATTCTTCAAGTGATCATAATACACTTCTTCAATAGCTTGGAAGTAGATGACTCCTTTCAGCTTGGCTTCATGCTTGTCTGCAGAAGAAATAACAGTAGCCATGACGCATACATAATATTTATTCATATGTTTTTGTGTCCGTGTGTGCTCTTGCCGCCCCTACCTGAATAATAGGAGAGTGTGCGTCGGTTGCGGTCGAACACGAACCAGCGTTTCTTCCAGGTTTTGATTTTGCCTCCCATTTTGATCAGGTAGCCCCTGCAGGTCTTCTCAGAGATGGATAAGTGGAAGCATGTGTCTGGGCTGTGACCCGCCGACTCAATGTGAGCCCGCAGGTCAAAATCATCTTTACGCACCGGCAGGTAGCGTGTTAGCGGCCGGGCCTGCAGAGAGAGGAGAGAGAGGGTTCATTGAAAAGAGGGCATTGCTTCAAGTAATGACAAAGATGTATTTATAGAATGCATACAAATCATGCAGATGTATAGCATATGTTAAGTAGATTCTTTCTTCTTCTGCCAACAGTTGATTGTCCAGGCAAAAGAACAAAAGATGATGGATGAAGCTTATACTGAGAACTGTAAGCAGGCATGATTGAAAACATATGGAGAGGGAATTATATATGCAACACAGAAAGGTTTTACACAGAAAACAGATGGAATGTGTGGTTGTAAAGTAAAAACAATCCCCAAAAAGGTTACAGGAACTTACAGTAAAATCAACAAATAAAGAATAATCACACATTTCAAACCACACTTTTCTTATCATAATAAACATTTATCTAGTGCAGGGGTTTTCAAAGTGTGGGAAGGTGAGCCTCCCCTCAAAGAATATAAGAACAGCCGCGCCCCCCCTCCCAATTATTATTGCTATTATTATTATTATTATTGTTGTTGCTATAATGCAGGGGTATTATTATCCAGTGGAATGCCCTTACCTACTGGCCTAGTTAAATCAAAGTGGTTACTTATTTTTGTCTGGGCAGTGTAGTTTTACACACCATCTTATTTGACTTTCTCAGGGCAGAGCCCCACAAAGAAAAAAATATATGTACACACGTAAGGTCATCATCTTAACAGTTTTTAATGCTCGAGTCATCCGTGCCTATTACAGCTGAATGCGGCGATTACCATCTTGTTCAGCAAAACGCCTCACAAACGTATTAACATCCAAAGCTTTAGTGCGTTTTGATTCAATGCTGAGCACAGCCAAACTTGACAGTCTCTTCTCTGTCATTGTAGACCGCAAATACCTTATTCCTTCCGTGTACTTGGGTCCGAATGCTTCTCGTTTTCTGCCGCCCGTTCAAATGAAATCGCCGCCAATCACATTTCCTCGCTCGCGCCAGGGTTACAAGGCTCGCGTCTTGTGCTGCATTCACTTGCACTCGGACATCAGGGATTTTCTCTGATAAATGTCCGATGAGCCACAACTTTTATTTCAAAACAAAGCTGCCAACTGGGGTGGCCAGACGCTGTCTCCTCTCTCACTTTAGGTAACTTCACTAAAAATCGATCCATGTTGCCGCTCGCATAAAGTTAGCTGAAGTTAACGAGCTAGATTTCATTGTTTCTCTTTATCTTTTTCTCACGCTGCGCCTCCCCTGAAGCTCTCTGGCGCCCCCCAGGGGAGGCGCGCCTCACACTTTGAAAACCGCTGATCTAGTGGATAACAGATATGTGATGTTCCCATCTCTTCATTTTCTTTCTTACCTGTGCCCTCTGTTTTTCTCTCAGTTTCACCTCACGATCTATGAGTTTCTGCCGTCTGCTCGTCTCCTCCTGCAGCCTCTTCTCCAGGTCCTCCCTTCTTTTCCTCTCCTCGTCCAGCGCCTGCATTCGCACTTCCATTTCTTGCTCCTGAGAAAACATTGAAATAGACATTTTTAATGTTTTATTAATGTGTCTTCAAGTTTGTGGATTTGTCATAAATGCAGATAAATATATTTATTTCTACCATTTCCAACGGCAAAGCTGTGAAAACAAACTAATAGAATAATTGTGATTTGATCTGGTAGTGACCTTGTTTTCGATGAGGCGGTGCTTCTCTGCCTGGGCTTCTCTCAGCAGTCGCTCCATCTCCTCTAGCTTGGCCATATTTGACGTACTGGCACTGCAGCACACAAACACACATTACACACATTAGAGCAAAAAAGTAGAAGAAAACGTTGGTTCTGCACAATTAACCACTCGGCATACAGTCATGTGAAAACAAACTCTAAATCATCTGTCATCTGGCTGAACCTAAATTACAATTAAAGTGTCATGAAGTTAATCAATTAAACCTTCTGCACAAGCAGCAAGCGTGACAAACCGCCGCCATTCTGACTTCGCCATGTTTTTTCAGGTGTTACATTTTCTGAGAATCTCAGTTCAGTAGTGGATGTACAGATTACTGTGTTGAAGTATAAGCATAATCCAAGTTTAAGAAAAAAAAATATTCATTTCCGTTAAACATCTGCGCAATTATCCAAGTATACAGAAAGAACCCTTCCAAAAAAGGCTGCACTCCCCTGAGAATACTCTGACTACTCACTGTTTATGCATGAGTGTGTGTGTGTGTGTGTGTGTGTGTGTGTGTGTGTGTGTGTGTGTGTGTGCGTGTGTGCGTGTGAGTGTGTGAGTGTGTGCGTGTGCTGGATCAAACAGGAACTCCATTATGAGAGGAAGCCTCGATGTCAAGGCAATCTAGGGATCAGACCTCTCTTTTTTCGTCTTTCTGTAAAGTGTTCTGACTCTCTGCTTTGTCCCTGTCCTCAGTTTAGGACAGCTTCACCCTGCTTCAGGTCTCTCACACTGCATATGGTCTACACGTGACATGCATTCCTGCCTGACATCACAGGCTAAAGATGTGTGTATATGGTATTCATGTGAAACAGTATTTTGCTCTCAATGTTCCTCTCCGCCTCCCTCTGACCAGCAAACACACATTCTCTCTTATCCTGAGCCAGAAAGGAAATGGATGCCCAGTGTTGATTTGTGATGATGTCACAACATTGTTAAGATGAATGGTCCACATTAGACTCAGTCTAAACAAATCAGGAAGGGAGGGAGGGAGTGCGAGGGGGAAAGAAGTAGGGTACCCCAAATAATTGAAAAGAGCGAAGAAAAATTGGAATGGAAGAAAAAACAAGAACAAATGAATTATTTCCCGCTCCCTCCCTCTATTTTTTGCAAATCTATTTTCACTTTCATAAGAAATCCACATACCTTGCACTCTTTGCTCTGCCATAATTACACATTAAGGACTTTTCACTTTTGAATTCATGCATTTTTAAATGTGAATATTTCTTAAACATGTTTGCTGTTAGTAAGCTTGTTCATTATTATTCACTTTCAGTATAAACAACGTAGGCATAGACACAAATAGACATGCATTCCTACTTAAATAACAGTATGATGGGTAGAATTAATTCATTTGCCATTATTTATTTAGTCTAGTACTTGCAATTAGGCTCATACTTGCATAAGAATGCATCCATCCAAGCCTAACCGTCCATCCTTTCCTCTCTCCCTCCCCTCCCCATGCCATTCTCTTACCTCCGTCGATGAGAATGAATCACCCTCATAGTCATTGTAGACCAACTCTGATTATTCAAGTAATTAGATCACTTGAGAAGATATGTATTTCTCTTGATGCAACACTTGTATCTCCAGAAATCAGGACACATCACTGACAAGATAACAAAGATTCCAGCTCTATCCTTTTTCCCAGCACAGATTCAGGTCCAACACACACGTCTTCAAGTCTGATCTAAGCCGGTACAACACAATCCAACTTGGAAGCGTTTTAGGAGGCAGCCTGTTCCAGGGAAACATTCAGAGAGGTCAGTCTGCAAATGGTTTGGCACTGTTCAAAATCCAACTACAGAAACAAGACCGTACCATTCAGAGAAACAAGAGGAGGGGAAACAAAAGACAGATGCAACCACTGGAAGAAGGAGAGAAGGAAAGCAAGAACACATGGTTTCAGTCCAGATGGGGGGTGAACCCCAAAGTGTACCTCCACACTCATCTGAACCTGAGGGGTTTGAATGTGAACGCACACACATTCACGTTTTCCTTCTTCCGTAACCTGACCCATAGAACACTAATCAAGGGTCCCCCTTAACTCGAGTCACACACACAGTACTACACATCTTAGTCTCTGAGGAGGGAGCGTGAAAGGCGGGAAACTTCTGCCTTGCAGCTCCACACACTTTTTGCATTAACTCACTTTCTACTCACTTTGAAGCCCCCAACCCCAACCCCCTTCCTACAGTCAATGTTTCATATTAAAATCACAAAGAGATATTTTTGCATTTTCAACCGTTTCTTGTCGGATTTTCCTTTAAACTTTGCTTCTCTTCCTTTTGTACATACACAAACAACACATTCCTGCAACACCTACCTGGAGACATTATCAGGAGAGCATGCAGAGATGCTGGTTTCAATGGAGTCAGAACTATCCACACTCATCGTGTCGAAGGCCTGGTTGTCGCTGTACCCGAAGGCATCGAGGTAGACGTTGGTCTGGGAAGCTGCTCGGGACCCGGACTGAGCTGGAGACACACACAGAAAGAGAAAATTAACAACAGCTTCAGGAGGGACTAACTATTAAATCGTATTCTTCATGTTGTACCTGTCTCTGTCTTCTCATCTGGGACAGAAGTCTGCCCAGATGGGGTCAATTTTGGATCACAATGCCCCGCCACTGTGAGACGCTCTTAAACGCTTAGTAAAAAAATAAATCCAAACCTCATAGATGTAACTACTCTTGTTTAAATATAAGGACTCACAAATGAACAAATAGGCTGCAAAATGAAAAACAGTAAGTCCTATAAAGCGAACCAAAGATGTCTGGAAAGAAAATGAGATGTCCTCAGAAGTAGAAGGAGAAATAATGACACAATTACTGTGCAGACATTTAACACGGCCTCTGACTACAGGAATAAACACACAGAAACCCTGATAGCATCTGCTCCATGCAGCAGACCCACCCATCTGATGAGCCTGATCAAGGGACCAGAGGGACTCAGGGGCCAGACACACGTACAGTGTCTGGGAAACACAGCAGCACTATAACAACACAGAGCAAATAATACTCTTTTGGATATATGTCTTGTAAAAAGTGCAGCAATGGAAGAGTTATCTAATTATCTGTGTAATTGGGTGGTCTGTACATAAGTTATTCCACTTTCATTCACAATAGAAATATACGCATTAAACTTGAACTGTATCTTGTGGTGAATGAACCAGTTATCTTAATGATTGGAAATAGCTGGGTGATGTTTGTGGCAGGAAGCTGACATGAAGAAATCTACTTTTTAGTCGTTTTTTGGTCTAATTGTTAAAACAATGAATATATAATTTATACTCAAACAAGCACCTCTTGTTAACTCACACAAACAAACTCATAGACAATACTCTACATCACTTGGATGGAGCAGCCCTCCTCCACTTACATTCCTGCACTATCTCCACTGACCACACACACACACACACACACACACACACACACACACACACACACACACACACACACACACACCACACACACACACACACACACACACACACACACACACACACACACACACACACTACACACACACACACCACACACACACACACACACACACCACACACACACACATGCACACACACACACACACACACACACCACACACACACACACAACACACACACACACACACACACACACACACACACACACACACACACACACACACACACACACACACACACACACACACACAACACACACACACACACACACACACACCACACACCACACACACACACACACACACACACACTACACACACACACACACCACACACACACACACACACACACACACACACACACACACACGGCCTTTTCATGTGACAACCAAGGGAAGTGTGAGTGTGTGTTTGCAAGTGTGAGGCAGACATGAAAAGGACAGAAAACACTGAGTGAGTGAGGCCCCACTCACACGGGACCGTTTGCGTTTATGCACAGTATGCGTATTCAAAAAAGTCTTCCGTTCACATGCATTCGTTTCATTTAACGTGTCTGTTCAAACGAGGCCGCTGGAAACGCTGTAGTACATATGCTGGGACTGTAAGTGGCGCTGTAACTTCCGCCAAAATACACCAAAAGCAGCGAAGAAGAGCAGCCCGAGCAGCCCCGCCGCAATGGCTACCCTTCTGTTTAAGCCCCGCGGTGTATTTAGCAACATGTAGTTCATGTAATTCTCCATGTCCACTTGTTGCTGATGGTTGTGGTAGAGGAGCTGTAGATTTTGCACTAATATCTGTAGCATGGTCAGTAGCAGTAGCACTAGCAGTAGCTACTGACAGGAGGAAGTGTGTGTGGTGATTGCTGGTATTCAGCGGGATATAGTCATTTCCTCAGCATATGGATAAATGCAACGGGGAAGTTAACTGAAAGAAACCGAATCTGTGGATATTGCATCGACCGACCAAGAAGCACGTCTCCGTGGAGAGGACGGCTCAGAAAGAGAGATATTCTCTACAAACACCGGGTGAGATGCACCTTTGTCAATATAATGGATCAATGCATGAAATCTGACTCTGTTTATTTTGTTTAAGGAGTATATTGGGCGTTAACAATTCTGGTTTGCCTTTTATAATATTATTTCATTCAAGAACCCCTTGTGCGTTTAATTAACACAGCTATTTTTGATAGTTGCTACAGCAGTGAGCAGGAGAGGTGGGGAGAGGTGGGGCTATCGTTATTTTTTCAGGAAATATTCGTATAGAGGTGATTACACGGACTCGGTTGACCCCCCAGAGCGTTTCGTTTGCAAATCTATCCACCTTGGGACCCGTTATCGTTTGTGGGGTCAGTTTCTATCGGCCTCGTGTAAATAATAGGGCTATACGCACGCGAAACTATGCAGATACAAGCAGTTTTCTCCTCGTGTAAACGGCGCCTGAGTGAGTGAGTGAGTGTATGCGTGTACCTTTATGCAGATGTCGAGATTCAGCTTCCTTGTTGGATAAGGAGAGAAATCTTGGGAGAATGCTGCCACAACTTATGCTCTGTACCAAGGGATGATGGGACTGTAAATAACAAACAAGAAAAACGGTTTCATTTCCATGTAAATTAAATAAACATTATTGCATCTTCAGAATTCTGCCATATTTACAACACACAATAGAATTGAATGTCGAATTTAAGCACATAAGCTAAAAATAGTTTGAGAAAAAGTTTGGCATTGATGAATTTGTAATCATTGGTGTTAGTTATGCATATGTCAACATCAATGTGTACCTTGGTAGGGTAGCTGCGTCCCAGTGTGGCACAGGTGAACTGGGGGGTCATCATAGGTGTGGTTTTCTTCCTGGGTAATGTGTCACTTAGATGGGACCCCCCTCCTCTCTCAGACCTTTTCCTCTCTTCTAGCAAACGGAAATGCTGACCAAACGAGATGTATATTAATCAATCAAAGCAATAGTGTGAAATGTGGTTTCTACACATTTTGAAGAGGGACGAAACGTCATCTAAATAAAAGAAGAAATGCATATGGAGCAGGAGTTCGCCACCATTTGTTCCTTCTTTTATGTCACACTAGAACAGACAAACACAAAGTTGCGGACACACACAGACAAACACACACGCATTACCTGCCTGTGTCGCTGGCGGTGATTTTTGACAGGAAGGGGAGGTGGGGGGGAGTCAGGGAGGGGAGAGGGGTCTCGATAGGACACCATGTTCTCCGGCCAATGCACAGAGGGTGTTTTGGGGAGGGGGCGGGGGTAAAAATGAAAGGAGGAAGAAGAGGAGGAAGAGGAGAGACAGTCGGCAGGAGAAGAAGAATGACAGAGCTTTGGAGAGAAGAAAGGTACATTGTCAGAAAACTGGAAGAGTTCAAAAGAAGGAGGAAAATTAGGGAAACACATTCATTCATACACACACACACTTTGCACCATCTAGCCCCTAACACCACTACACACACCTCGTCCTCCGGTGGTTTAGGGGTGTCTTCGTCAGAGGAGGGCTTCCCCCTGGACTCAGTAGAGGCATTGGTCAGAGCGGGGGCAGGGGCGGGTTTAGGGTCCCCCCCAAGCTGTGAGTAAAGCTCATTGATTTCACTGACTGTGACATAGCCCTGGAAAAGTGTCATGTAGAGAAGAAGGGAGAGAGAAGGGGTGAGGCATAGCATGGAGTGAGTCAGCCGTTTAATTACAAACTTGAGAATTAGTTGTTAGAACGATGCGGACACATTTAGTGGTGATTCGAGCAGTTTCAGAGCAACAATTAGAACGAAAAGTATCACTTACACTGTCTTATAACATGAATTGAGTTGGTTACATAAGACAATAGACATTGTTACAAGGTTACCTCAGTATTAATACACATGAGTATAATTTGTGCTCAGAATTCAAGAAATCGAAAAAGCAGAAAGAGGTAACCAGGAGGAAGGAACGAAGTTAGGATAAGATGGGTTTAAACAAAGTGGAACAGAAAAAGGAAATATTAGTGAAACCATCAAAAATACCTCTGCTTTCTTGCGAGAAATAGAGGAAAGGAGGGATGAGAAGGCGCAAGGGTTGACTGGAGGAGGAGAAAGTTTGGAGTAGGTGGTGTCATGGCAACGATCGCTAAAGGACTGACACACATCAGCCAGAGAGGCTGTCTCCTAGCAGAGAGGGAAACCCCAACAATAAAGAATGATGAGAGTCCAGCCCACTTTTAAGAGGCAGACAGAGTTAATTTCCTTGATGACAGCTGTCAATCAAACCTACCTCTCTAAGAGTGAAACCTCGGCCACCAGTGAGCTCAGCATATTTCCTTTCCAGCATGGAGAGGTTTTCTTTCTCCTAATACACAAAAAAGCAATGAAAAACAATGTTAAAAACTAAATGAACCTTTATTTGATGTTTTTTCTTTTCGCTTATACACAGAAGGACGGATGACCACATGCATGAATTGTAAACATGGAGGTCTTCGTACCCTTTGCAGCATTGCTTCGAGGGTGCTCCTCTCCTTCAAGAAGCTCTCTTTCTCTCGCTGAGCCTGCTGGGTAATCTGCACTGCCTGCTTCTTAAGAGTTAACAGTCGCTCCTGAAGGAAAAGCAAAACAAGCTTGTTACACATGTATAGCTCACTCATAAAGCATGACTCAGGCCTGACTCATTCACAAACAGACGCTGTTACCTTGCGAGACACACTGCTCCGCTGGAAGTCTGCGATCTCTCGGAGAAGATGTTGTGTGTGCGTCTCCTTCTCCTCGTCCTGCCTGCTCTCTTTCTCCAGCTGCTGGAACTCCAGGTCCTCGAAACGTTTTGACTCTGCATCCAAAACCTCACAGTCCTGAACATACACAATGAATAATTCACAGGGTAAATAGGCAAGACAAATTCATCTCAAAATAAAAGTGAACTAGACATACTGTTATGCACATACACTTTATATACATTCAAGATGCAGGTAAACAAAAAAGACTTGTATTGACACACACAGGGAACTTGCCATGCTGCATTTTGCCAATTAGACCCAATGCCGAAATATCAGCAACATTTCTATAATAGCCAAACTCTTGAATCCAAACTCTTGAATCACTTTATACAGGCTCAAACCATGGTGAAATAAAGATGTGTAGACATTGAAACCTAAAAGTTAGATATTGCGAAGAGAACAGGATCCAAGATTAGATCAGAGGTAGATCAGAGCTAGCCTTGGGGTGGAGAGCAAGTTAGCTCAGGAGAAAAGATGTGTGTAAGTTCAAGTATGCCAGCATTACGTATCTCTACATCTACATCGGCCTTTGTTCTGGTCTATACATGTACGCATGCATAGCCGTTTCACATTTCATTCGAGTTTTTTTGCTTTTCTATGTGTTGTAAATTCTCTGTGTGGATCCATTGATTTACTCATTAAACTAAATGTTTTCCTGTGTGTGTGTGTGTGTGTGTGTGTGTGTGTGTGTGTGTGTGTGTGTGTGTGTGTGTGTGTGTGTGTGTGTGTGTGTGTGGTGTGTGTGTGTGTGTGTGTGTGTGTGTGTGTGTGTGTGTGTGTGTGTGTGTGTGTGTGTGTGTGTGTGTGTGTGTGTGTGTGTGTGTGTGTGTGTGTGTGTGTGTGTGTGTACTGACCCTGGCCAGCTGCTCCTGCAGGGGCTCCTTGGTGGCCTCAGGGCAGCTGTCCAGCTGGGAGCGCTGCTCACACACAATCTGAGCCAACCTCTCTACTCTGCCCCTTTCTGCCTGTAGCACCTCGCACGCCTGGCATACACACATGTTCACGACACATAGACGCACACGCATGCCCACGCAGACGTACATGTGCACATTTGATGATGTGTACAGACGAACAAGGAAACAGACACACACACACACACACACACACACACACACACACACAAAGGACAGAGAGAGGATGGCAGCGTTAGTGGGATATGGGGAGCCACAGTTAGTTACTACGGCGATCAGGTCAGCGAGGTTAGCCAGGAGGGAGGAGGGGAGGTAAAGCTGCAGGAATGAACTAAAGGGATGGAGATCTGGGGAGTAGTAATGAAGGTAGTATGAAAGTGTCATGAGTTCTGTCTCCTGATGATTTTTCTGTTTGTTTAAATGGAAATGATTGGATGAGAAGCAATGGCTCAGTGGATTAATGCTCCTCTCTATGAATAACACAACATATACACACGTCCAAAATCTGTACAAGCACTCAACTTCACCCGGCTATTCAACCATCAGGGCAACACTAACGGACATCTTTCCCTAGGTCTAACTCGGCATCACAGTATTTAAGGGCCGTGGGGTCCAGGACGATTTCACGATTAGGTTAGGAATCCCAGAGTGTAAAATATCCAGATACCAAGGCAGCATGTGCACCCAAACACACATACCAGAGTTCCCGTTAGCCGGTAATTACCGGACAATGACCGGTAAAATATGCTGAAGTCCGGCAAATCTAAATCTCTCCGGTCAAAATGTCCGGTCAAAATAATTTTCCCTTAGCGCAATACCGCATCAGTTGCGCCACTTATGTGACAGACAAGAATAGTATGTGACAGACAAAAGAGTATGTGACAGACAAAAATTGTCAATTCTAATGTCTAACACTTAATGTGGAGAAAGAGATGTCCTGTATGGGTTGATTGTGCGTTGATCTGTTGGTAATGCCTCGGGGTTCCGGTGGGCATGTAAACAAATGCATAATGCTGCGCTATACTTTGTGGCCTCATCCGGTTGCATAGCGACGCTTATTGTTTAGGTGTCTTTTAACAAGCAGGTAGTCATATCATTAGCTAGAACTAGCTAGATCTGATCGATATGGACATAAATGCGAGTAAAGTCTAATCTGACAGGAGAGAGAGATCGGCTGCTGCTGACGAGTCGACACGCAGCTCTGCATGATCCCCTGCAGCGGCGAGCAGAGCAAAACACACTTCAGGTTAGAAAATCACACGTAGCTATTTTAATTACCTCTCAAACTACCTAAACTAGTTATAGATATGTTTAGTTTTACTGTCGGGTCACTCATTACTGGATCCGCGAGCTGCATGATACTGACGGGCTGTCAGGAGAAGGAGAGAGCGCTCCGTTTATTATTCCCGCGTTTTTGTAAATTACTGTACACTTTTGAATAATGTAGTTAATCTACTATAATTAGTTTGTTTAATGTCGAATCATATCAATTTGTTTTAAAGCTCAATAAATAACAAAGAAGACCTTTAACCGGCACTTATCTAATTTTGTCCGGAAGATTTCAACTTTAACGGACATGTTGACCGGCAAAAAAATATTCTAACGGGAACTCTGACACATACAACAAATTCAATCCGTTTAGCCACTTATTCCCCACCCTGTCAATGACACCATATGTTGGTATAAATGTCGACAGACTATCATACACACTCAACCACACCCAGAGTGTGTGTGAGATAGGATCACATGGTGCCCGCTATACCCTGGGCAGTATTAACAGATATATATTTGGACCAGAGACAGCATGAGAAGGATTAACACCTACCAGTTGGTCACATGACCCCGAAATGTGTCAGAGAGAGTCTCAGAGTAGTGTATGTATGTTCAATATGAAATGTAACTGTTTAAAAGTATATTTCTCCCTTCTCCGCCATTATCGATCACAGAAGGTATCAATTTCCCTCACTGCTTTACAATGAACCGAGCCTGTTAAGTACCTTTTCTTTTTCCTGCTGGGACTTGGATTCCAGGTCAGTCATCTTGTTGTGAAGCGCTTCCAGAGCATCTCTTTCCTGCTGGAGAGCGGCTACCTCCGACTCCTGCTCAGCCTCGACCAGAGCTCGCTCCAGCTCCACCTTTCATAAATACACAGCTGTACGTGAGTCATTTGTAGCGATCCTGGGTTACTTACAATAAATGATGTGTGAAATAAATGCCTTTTTGCCGTGTGTGTCAGCCCAAAGCGCCGTCCTTCCTCACTCTTTACCTCTTGGGCAGATTCTTCTATTTGGTTGTCCAGCTCCTTGATCTTTTGCTCCAGCTCCTCCATGTTGTTGAGTACTTGGATCCTCTCTTCTTCTACACGCCTCACTTCCTCCTCTGAAGCCCTTATTGCCTGTCCGCGGCGACGAGCTGCCTCATCTAAAGCCTGGGAACAAACACCACAGATTGTTAAGACATTAAAACATAATCAATATATGGGTTTCATGGTAGTTAGTTGTCACCATAAACACCACCATTTCTATCTGTGATGAAATTAGGTGAACTTCTGTATTTCTGGTCTTATGCAGCCACAAAGCCTCAAGTCACACACACAAACCACAGCTGTCAATTCTAATGTCTAACACTTAGCCTGCTCTAATCTAATAAATGAGCTGTAAATATATCCCATCTGTGTGCTTTAAGAATGTGTATGTCGATACTTTCCAAGTATTAAGGAGTGATCCTTGTCTCCTGAGAAAGAACAGGGAGCATAAACACCTCACACATCAATCCTGATTAATCTTTGAAGAAGCTGACCAAAGTCAAAGGTGCTCCTTTAGCGGTTTCATTTAATAGATGTGTGTGAAACTGAATTTACATTTAACATGTATCAAAGTCAAAGTCAAAGTCAAAGTCAGCTTTATTGTCAATAATTCTACATGTTTTACATCCAGAAATATCGTTTCCCGCAGTCCTACAGTGTGACATATATACATCAAACAAAAAACAAAAAGGGCCTATATAAACATGGTATACATTAAACAAAACAAAGGGCCTAGATAACCGGGGTATACAGTTTAAAATGTTAATAATATAATTTAAGTGTTCAAAGTACAGTTTCAGTGCAGTAGCAGCGGAGATGGGCAGAAAAGTGAGTTAGGGGGTTAGAGTCCAGGACCATTTGGGGCAGGGGAGAAAGGTCGGAGGCAGGGTGCCTATTAAAAGAGACAGGATAATATCTTGTCGTCACAGAGTAGGACATTCATTTATTCTAATTAAATTACATTTTTAACCTTAAAAAATTACTTTGATAAGAATATGTGATATAAGTGGGAGCGAATTTGAATCGCTTGTACCTCATTGTTCCTCTGTGCACGTGGAGAAGGTGAGGCGGCGAAGCTCCGCAGGCTGACAGCAGGTGATTCGGCCCTGGCGTCCCGCTGACCACTGCTGCGCCTCCGTCGTACCGGCAGATCATCGTCATAGAAGCCATTCTCTGATCCATGGGACGCCATGTGTCCGTTCCCCGTTCCGTTAACAGCTGAAGAATCAGAAAAGACCGATGGTGTGTCGTCATCGTCCTCGTCGTTCAGTTGAAGCTTCTCGAGCTCCTGGTTGATCTTCTGGAGATCCGTCACGACTGAAGTGGGAGTGGGTCCGCCTTCATCTCTCTCAGACCGGCCCAGCTCTGAGCACAGAGACAGGATGGTCTCCAGACGCTGTCGCTCCTGAGATGTCAGAGAACACATGTGCATGAGTTATCAGAATCAGCTTTAATGCCAAAGTGTATAAACAAACAAGGAATTTGACTCCAGCATTTTGTTGCTCTCAATGTAAGCAGTTACAAATAGTTACAATACATTTCAAAATAAATAATCTAGTTTTGAAGTTATTTTTGTTTTCATGATGTGATAATGTTGATTCAAGAAAGTCCCAACCAAACAAGTTATAACAATTTGTTATAAAAAAAAACCCACATTTTTAAAACTCTAATGCTGTTTTGGATGTGTAGCCGATTATTCTATAAATGTATCATAATTATGCGCTACAATATTAAACGCTATTAAAGAGACAACAAGCAAAGCACACATCATTTAAGATTATATGTAAATGCAAACTTACATTTATCAGATTTTAAATATTCAAAACCAGTATAAAATACACATTGCATTTTTTATATTTCTTCATATACATGCATATTATTTTTTATTTGGTTAAAGAAATGCACAGATTGAATGTTCTGTTTTGTTCCATACTATATAGAAGTGCCAACAGCTCTGCGGGTATTATTTCTTTCCATCATAAAAAAAAGTTTCCAATGATCAGGTTACCTGGGGGAGCATCGCAGAAGTCACTCCCTCTAGTTTAAATGTCCTTGTTTAGTCCCGAATACATTCAGTACAATCCTGTCTTGTTTGTGATTTACATAATTTAGTTAAGTTTATCATTTGTAGAGCCTAGAAAGAATATTATCCTTTAACTTGGGAAGCAAGAGCTTCCCTTTCCACGGTTCTGCCTGCCTTAACTATAGCTATATGAGGAGCTACGGAGGCTGCAGAGGGTCAAAATACCCCTCGTAGGTTCAGCAGTAGCTTCTCTGGAGGAGGGAAGTATGTAAGCCACAGCAAGCCTGTGTATGTAATATTAGAAATGGAGGTTAGGAAAAAGAATGTGGGACAGAGGTGTGTGAATGTGTTTGAGTGTGAGAGAGAGAGAGAGAGAGAAAGAGTGAGCTAATGAGAAGGTAGACAGCTGTCAACTATGATAGGAAGTGTGCACGAGAACAGGCCATGACTTCAAACACAGGAATGCGTCTGTGTGTACTGGAAACAGGACACTTTCCAGGGAGGAATCTGAACCAGGTGAAGTGATGATAATGAAAGATGAGAGGTTCAAGAGGTAAGGAGTTCTGAAGAGAGACATCCTAGAGCTACACAAAGCCTACATTATGTTGCTCGTCATTCATCACATTATTTTAGAAATTGTATTTTATTCAAATCAAATAAATGATATGAACAGACTCCAAATTGTTTACCAGTGTAAAGCACACAAACACACCCCATGCATAGTGTTATGTGAACCAGGAGCTGATGCTGTGTCAGTTTGTCACCTTGTTATTTTCTAATGGACACAAGCCTCTGTGGAGCCTTTATAGTAATCAGCTGTCAACTAGAGAGACAAACAGAGAGAGGGCGAGGAAGACACACTGAAGGAAGCATTGGAGGCGTGTGGCGCAGTGGACAGAGCCTTGGTGTTGGGACCAGGGGGTCACAGGTTCAAACCCCACTGCAGTCAGCATGTTGTTGTGTCCCTGAGACACTTCACCCCAAATTGCTCCTGTGGGGATTGCCCACAGTACTGAGTATGTAAGTCGCTTTGGATAAAAGCGTCTAACAAGTGACATGTAATGTAAAAGGAAGAAGGAGACGTAGAGAAAAGATGGAGAAAAAATGACAAGAAAGTGAGAGTAAAAGAAAATAGAGAAAAAAGTAAGGAAACCTCTCTAACCAGCTGTGCTTTTGAGGTGAAATAAAGTCGTTTGCATTCAAAGAATCTTTGCTGCAGCTCGACTTATTCTTCTAATTAAAATAACATCTCAACATGGAAATAATGCATGTGTCCTGTCATACCACTAGAGGGCAGACACGGTTAAGCCTTTCCTGAGCTCAGCCTTGGACTCACAGACACTAGACTTGAAGTTGTTTTACTAGCAGTATATCTTATAAGAACTACCAAAAACTGTTAATTGTTTGTTATCTTTCAGATTCATTATACAAATATATGTTTAAAAATAATAATCATTTAGAGATTTAAAAATATTAAGCTCAAATTAGACTTTGGGATGCTGCTTTTTTTAAATTGCACCAAAAACTAAAATCAATTGGTTTGAAGGAAAACCACATCTAATGCAAAACTGATGGGTTTAAGTAAGTGTTCTATATTGATATTGGACAAAGTGCAAATTGGGTAGGTTAACGCCGCTGAGATGCTTGGGAAACGCAGTTCGGTTTGCACATCATCCAGAAAACTATTTCTCACAGTTTAAGAGACACTTATCAGAATATGGCTGTGTGAAAGACAGATTAAAAGAAGGAGGATGTTGGATTATGAGTCCAGTTGTCATTACATGTTGAGCATCTGTGTGTTTATCCACCTGCTACACTACCACTGCGCTCTCTAATCTTCAAGGTTTCTCTAGCCCACATCTGACTGATGTGTTCTGTGGCTCTTTAGTGGTCCGAACCACACTGGGCGGACCTCCAGATGACTGACATAAACACGCACCACACATACACACACACAACCCAAGCACAGGGTTAAGAATAGTCCTGTTAGTATGGGCTTACTGCCAGAGGCATCTGTTGAGTGGTGAACCTCATTGTGTGTGTGTGCGTGCGTGCGTGTGTGCGTGTGTGCGGCTCCTTGGGAGAGTGAGTTTGAGGGGACAAGGAGGATAGTGTAAATCACATGTGTCAAACCAAAGGCCCGGGGGCCAAATCAGGCCCTTGGTGGATTTAATTTCGGCCCGCAGGATCATTTTGAATTACTATTAGATCTGGCCCGCCGGTATATTGCACGCACACCTTCACTCAATCCTGAGGAGTTCCTCAGCTCAGAGCCTGACCCCAAACATTGATGAACTTGCACCCAAGATGAGATGCCAAGTATCTGGCTTGAACTAGCATCACAGAGCAGCAAACTGAGTTTCAATGGATGTTTCCTTCTGCACTTTGTTTCTTGAGACAACAGGGCATGTTTGTTTTTTCTTTGAGGGAAATTGTTTTTTTGAAGCTGTTGTTGGCCTGTGGAGAAATGTAATCATAAGAAATGACTCTGGAAAAGCTGCAGATAGAGCCATAAGAAATGAATGCAACTGATTATTTAATGTTTAATGTTGTTTTTACAGGCAATCATTTAAGCTTTGTTAGTTCCAGGTTTAATATGTGCAATAAGTTCATTTCAATAAATTTTGCAATAAACATTGAACCAGTCCGGCCCTTGACTAGCCCTTGAGTTTGACACCCCTGGTGTAGAGGATGCATTCTTAAACTAAATGTATTGTACTACTTGGGGTGTGATTGCATCTTTATGCAAAACTATATTCAAATTCAAATGTAAACACTATGTTCTTTCAGCAATCCTTACAGCAACACACTGCTCACCTGTGAACAGTCTGCAAGTCTGTAACTCCTTTGCAAATGACACCAGATGTGGTCTGAATCACAGCTTATATCATAACTTCTATCCAGAGACATTTGATCCGATTGCATAGTTGTTCCATCAGTTGAATTGGCAGATGCGGGGAACATGAGGAACATTATAAAGAAAGCCACATGTGCAAACACACTCAAACTCACCAGTCTCTCCACCTCCTGCTCGCGGAGTCTCTCCTCCTTTTGGTGCTGGTGGTAGTCGGTCAGCTCCTCCTTCCCGCTCAGTGAGCTGATACTCCCCCTTCGTTCCCTGAAACCTCCAGGTGGGGTCACTCCTGCCTTTCCGAACGACTGCCTCCTCTCACCCAGCCCCATCCAAGGCTCCAGCCCTGCCTTCCCAAAGGAAGACCTCCTCTCTCCAAATCCAAGCCCCGGGGCAGCAGTGAGCCTCTCCCTCTCGCTGGAGACCCCATTGCTAGCCAGCCGTTCCTGCTCTGGAGCGTTGGAGGTCGTGGGGCTGATGGAGCCCACAGAGCTGGTGGAGGTCAGGCTGAGTTTCTTGGCCACACGAGGAGAAGAGGAGCCCCCTGTCTTAGATGGGAGGGTCACATCCGGTGGGGCAGTTGTGGCAGAGATAGAGGAAGTGGTGGGGGGCAAGATTTTAGGCGAGGAGAGGGAGATAGACACAACACTTTCTCCTTGAGTTGCGTTTCGGATTTGATTCCTGTTGGAGGAATGCTGGCTGGAGTTGTGGTTGAGGTCCGGGCTGGCATTGTGGTTGTTATTGTAATAGTCTTTGTTCACTTTATAACCGCCAGCGCCATCGGATCGCCGTGGAGGCAGCGTCGACAAGGTGAGGACTCCGTTGTTGTTGTCACGGGGAGACTGGGTGGGGCAGAGGCGTGGCAGCGAGCGACTGTGCCCTCCTCCCGTCAAACCATTAAGAGAGCCTGTTGAGTATTTCCTGGTCCTACTGCTGGGCACTGGCTCTTGGGTGCCATAACTGCGGCGGCCAAGACGGGGACTTGAGGGCATGCTGGCTGCACCTCCTCCTGATGGAGTGCGGGATGACGGTGGAGGAAGAGACAGGAGATAGTTATTGCTGGCATCAACAGAGGTGGTGGAGCCTCCGCCGTTCCATGTGGACAGTGAAGACGAGGAGCCCGTGTTGTGCAGCCGTCGGCTATCGCTACTGCCGTAGTTGTCCTGGTTGCGATTGACCGAGGAGCGTGAGGACAGAGAAGAAGAGGGGTCGGATCGTCGTCCAGGGGAAAGAGGGGGAGGGGATTTCAAAGACAAGGTCGAACGTTCTGAGGCATAGAAGCGCCTCGCCTGCTCCTGGTAGGATGATGAGGATGTGGTAGGACTCGTGATAGGTGTGGTGGGAGGAGACTGAAAGATGGAATGGAATACAAATATATTACACGTTGAAATACTCTAATGTGCTCTATATTTCATATCAGATATAACAGAGGTAGATGATAGAGAAATAGTTTTAATTTGTGTGTATTGTTCTTAGACTGTACCTCATTGCATTTACATTTTAAAACTACTTTGACACATGTATAATGTATAAAGCATCCTATGAGTATATTTTGTTAGTAGTAGGTTGGTCTATTATAGTCTACTAACTTATTCTGTATATTTATATTGTGTATTTGATAGATATACTCTCTACTGTTGATATGTACATATTTAATGATCATTTCTTTATTTTATGTTTAACTCATGTGCAATGCCTTGTTTACATGCTGCTGAAACAACACAATGTTCACATTTGGGATCAATAGATTAAATCTAATTGATCTAAAATAAAGAAGATAATGTTGACTTTAAGCAGTCCATGACCCTTCTGTGTGATGGCAACCAGAGTAATGAATACATCTAGTGTTGCAAGTTGAACACGGTTGTATCACCAAGGATAATGGGTAACCACGGTTAGCCATATTTGACTTAGAGATAATTAGTAAACCCCTGACAAACATCCAGAGTGGCCATATAGATTCTACAACACCTGTTGGAGCATGACGTAGAAAGCAAAATAACAAATCCCGAAGTGGAGCTTTACGATGGCTGACCTGCGTCACGCTGAAGTAGGAGGGGTTTGCGTTCCCGTTGGCTCTCAGGCTGTTCTCCAGGGCGATCTTCTTGCGCTGCAGGGTGTCCATCAAGTCCCGGAGCTCAGAGGCAGATCGCATCCCCCGAGAACTGCCGGTGCCACCCACCACCGAATGGCTATAGTCACTGCTGAACTTCAGGTAGTCTGGGGGTTAGAGAGATAATCATTAAATGAATTGTATAATATGGGAAAAAGTGTGCATACTCAAATACATTCATGGGGAGGAGGAACGAGGAGATCCAAATCGGGTAAATCCGAGGAATATTGAAGAAAACTGTGTGAAAGAAAAAAAGAGTGCAGAGATGAAACAAGAGAAAATAGATATGACAAGAATACACAACAAAAAAGGGATAAAGAGATGGATCGGCATTTATGTCCGTTCAGTTTTTGGAAAAAAGAGAAAAAAAGATCAGTAACAGGAAAATAAGTAGGTAGAAGAAGGAAAAGGGGAAGGGCATGAAGTTATAAATTGTGGTTGAAGAGAGGTTGAGTATGTACCTGAAGCTGCAGCTATTCATAGATTGGCCCTTGGCAGAACAAACCCAACCAAAACAACCCGTAACTGGCGGAGAATGACCCAGAATAGGAGTCAACTCACACACACACAGCATGCAAATACATTCTTCCGCACAACCATCCATTAGATCCAAGACAAACACTAACGCTAACTCGACTTCAGTTCTGCAGAGTAGGATTTTGGGGGATGAAAAGGACCACAAAATATTCTGGAATACCCTCAAGAGGCCCCCCACCCTTCCTAAAGCCTTTTATTTAAAGCAGCTTCAGCAGAGAGGTGGTCTTTTAGCCAAACCTCAACTGAGTCAGTCAGATTTAGCAGGAAGGAAGTTAGAAAGACAAATGTAGACAATCTTTTACTTGGGAAAAATATTGCTGAGGTTGGTGGGAGTATGTTTGAGTAATAGCTTCCACTTTTTCTGTCAGAATTACAAAAAGAACTCCCTTAATAGTATCTTATCATCAAAAATGCAGGTAAAACACTAGGAGGACGGCGATATGGGAGAAACCTAGCCAGTGTTTTTAATCCATCTGCGCCTTTATGTGGAAAAGGAGCTATAACAATGTTCAAGCTTAGACCACCCAGTGTTTAACTGTGAAAAACACCCACACACACACAATGAAGGTTTCCTACAACTGACAGCAGTGGGTCCGCCTGAGTGAAACACACACAAACACATATACCAAAAGTGTACATTATATCTTGGAGTATTCAAGAATAAGTGAGAACATTCAACTATTGGCTTTTTGATTTGTATATATTTTTTAACTGCAGAACCTAATAGCACATGCCATAGCTGAATATAAGCCTGTTTGAGAAGAATGTCAAACCTTACACGGTGAAGAGAAATGGGGCAGAAAATTAAAGACATCATAAGATCTAGAAACACGCACACAGACACACACACACAGACAGACACACACACACACACAGACACGCAGGGTGTTTGTCTCCATACATGGGCAGATTTATACAGGAGGCCTGGCGTGCATCAACTCCCTTCTATCGTGACTTTTCTTCGAGGCTAAGCTCAGTCTGCTTCATGTGTGAGTCTTCACTGTAGGTGCACATGTCAGAGTGTGAGTGTTGGCAATCTGCGGGATTTAAGTTAAGATTTTGGCTGCCTGTAATAACAAATGTCTGTGAGATGGTGTGTGCAAAAACAGCAGAGAATCAGCAGAGTGCATTCCTTACGTCTGGGAGTTTTAAGAGCAAGGACTCCACTGATAATGGCACACACACCTTGCTCAACGTTCAATCAATCACTACGGAGACAGCAGAACCCAGCTGCATCACCAAGGAAACAGAGGGAGGGGGGGCACCACATGACAATAACATTCCAATATGTTTTGAGTTTCGTTTTTAGCATGCGTGTGACAGTATGTTTATAAAAGACATATGAGATGGCTGAAAAACACCTGCCCTCATCCTACCCTTCAGTCGTTCTAACGCACATACTCAAAAATAACATCGCAGTCTTACACACCTGACTAGGACGTGACTTCCTGTGACTTTACCATGACATCCTTATCAGGGAGCAAAGATGTTATGGGCAGAGAAGAGATGTTATATGAGGAGAATAAGGTGATGAACTACAAGCACGGAAAAGGTGAAAATCAGATGGAAAAAATTGTTGAGGTGATAAAAAGGGAGGGAGGTACAAAGAGGATCAAGTACAGGTCGTGGTGGGGAAAAAGTTCACCCATCTTAGTGTGTGTGTGTGTGTGTGTGTGCCTACCTGTGTTGTAGGCCAAAGCTGACACGGGGCTCTTTTGTGGAAGCATACTTTTCATTCTGGTTGCTTCCTCGGGATGGTTGAACCGAAAGAAGTAGGATTTACCCAGACACAGAGAATAACCTTGGAGAGAAAAACACAAGGTCAAATTAGATATAAATCTAATATTAACTATGACAGAGCTTGAGTATATTTAGGTCATGTGTAGTATAAATAAATGTACAGACGCACATTTAATCATGGATCGAAAAGTAATTTTAAACATGGAATTCTTCTGTAAATGTGGCACAAAGAAATATTGGAGAGCACAAAACAAGGCCATTTGACATATTTATTAGTTATATATACCATACACCGCTGTCTGTTTGAAGTGTGAAGAGGCAGTCATAAATACAGCTTAAAATTGGTCTGAGCCTGGAGTATTTGTTCACAGCCAGAAACTCACTTCCACACACTCGTGCACAGCCGGCCATTCCCAACCACAGTGTTTGCTCTGGCCATCAATTAGCCTTGGAGCGCCAGGTATTAAACAAGACGTCAGGGTCACAACCCCTGTAATACACACAGACAGCCACAGCTGTACAAATAGCTCAGAAGAGAGTGGAGAGAGACAACAGTGCTGACACACACTCACAGGAGATCTGACACAAGAAAAGAGCAACAGGAGAGACAGCAAAAAAAGATGAAAAGACGATGCAAAAAAAAAAGGAGAAAATCACAAGACTGACTAAAACAAAGAGTTCCCTCTCATTTGTCTGTCCCTTCTCACACACACATGCAATCTCTTTGCTCTCCATTCTTTTAACCTCCACCCCGGAGGGTAGCAGCGTCAGATGAGCCCTACAGTAAACCCCCAGTATGTGTGTAAAAGGCTAAAAAATAACCTCCTTAATAGCTCCATTACAGTAACATCAGATTCCTTGGACCTGAAGTCAGACACTGAGGCAAGAGGGGGGACAGCGACAGGGTGAATGGAAAAAGACAGAATGGAAAAAGTTGTTATTCTTTCTTTTCCCCTTCTCTCGTTCGTATCCCTTTCACCCTGTTCTTTCTCACTCTTCACCTAATGTCTAGTTTCGCTAACATCCCCATGAAAAGCTGTAATCTCTCAGCACAGGGGGGGACCTGAGTGCTGTGGTGAGGTGGAGCCAACACACCACACACACGAAAACAGTGTAAGAAATGTTTAGTCTACACAGCTGGACTGTGAACGTCTCAAATACATACTCAACACAATCCTGCAGGTTTGGGCGCAAACTGTGAAGCAGTGACATCCTGACAGAGAGATCAAGAGATGAGTGTCTTGTTGTGAGTAAAAAGGATAGAAAACACACACAGATATGTCACCGTGAAGGTTAGTGTGAGCATGAAATAATGACATGTTTCTCATTGCCAGACATGAGTAAATGTTGAGCATGCACCTGTGTATCTGTGTGTGTGTGGAAACATGTCTCGTAACAGTGTCTGCCTAATGAATCACAGTAAGTCTCAGTATTTAGCACAACAGCAAACACACAGGCATGCACACACGCACTCTGCCAGCAGTCAGCTCTTGTAAAAATCTAATTTCCTTCCCTCAATAGGCTTGCCATGTGCCACCTTTAAAGTGGGGAGTAAAGTGTGTCGCCCTGATTTGTTCACAACCCCCAGCTCTCTGGTCTATCTAATTTCCTCAAGTGCTTCTTGGCTAACAAATAACTGCTAATCCTCTCCTTCAGCATAAGCAAATACAAGCATTATTGCGTGTTGGTGACAGAGAGAATGAAAGGAAGAGGGAGACAGTACTGTTAGAAAACGTGAAGATTCAACTTTTAACAAGTTCAAGAAATGCAATTTTGCAATGCAATTTAAATACAATTAGTTCTGCTGTCCTCAATAACACATCCCCTCTTCCTTCAAACACACACACAAGAAAGACATACCATCTATAACACAACATCTTTCATCTCCTTCATGTTTACTTGTTTACCAGCAAATTAAGTTTGCCTCCCACATCAAAGCAGCCCCCCAACAAACACATATGGACAGACCCTCTGCAACTACAACACAACTTGAAATTAGTCTGTATATACATTTATAGGATAATTTAAAGTTTGCAATCTACAAAGTCAGACCTCAGAGTCTTTGAGGGAGCAGATGTAGGAGCCGTATCACGTCTGGAGCCAATTTTTGTTTCCATGTAGATCTGAGCGGACCAAACTTCACTCTCACCACAATGTTATGGAAGAGGAAACTTAAAACTGTTTCTCTATTTGGTTAACTTAAGTGGAGGAATTGCCAAATTGAGACCATTAGGTTAGAACGAAAAATAAACCAATGGCAAAGATCCCATGACGAACATGTGCTTAGGTGAAACTCACTTACCTGCTAATTGGTCTGGTTTGACGTGCGAAGTAATCACAAAATAAATCACAACTAATCACCAACCATTTCCTGATGCAGTCTGAAAGAAAACATCCATGATTCTGCTTTATCAAAATGTTGCAATGTTCCCTTAAATCGACATGGTATTGCACTAAATTCACTCATTCATGAAAAGATGCATACACACAAGGTCCCAGTGGGAGTGTAAATTGGCCTCAAAAACCACAAGCTCTCTCTGGGGAACAGGGGTCCAGCAGTAACATCATAAATAAACAGACTGGTCTTTCTCAGGGGAGCTGCTGCAGATTAGGTCAGTCAGTCAGTCACACTTTTCCAGTCTCTCTTTCTCTCACAAACACAGACAAACAACCAGATGCATGCATTGTCTCCCCGCCGGCGGCTCAGTAGATATCTTGTCTCTGCTCTTATCTCAACTCTCATGCACACAGCATCAATCTATTGACCCTCACCCCAAACAGTCACACTGTGCTTAAGCAAAGGTTGCAGGCCTGGGGAAACCAACAGGTATAATCTTTAAAAAAAAAAAGAAGGGTGAAAACAAAAACCATGCAAACTGCTGACAAGATGTATTTCTTATTGAATTGGTTTATAGTGCAAGATTGTGCTGTTAAAACGGAACAACTGTGCTTTTTAGGCAGGGAAGCGAAAGACTAGTGAAGACAATAACATCCAGAACAATGAAGCCGTATTGTTTTCAGGTGTCAGGTGTCCTGACCACTGCCTGTCCTCACAGCCATGGGCTCTTTGTCATGTGCATCCACACCAGTCTGTGAACTTGCCTGCTAATGCATGACCCTGAGGCATGCACACGCATGTTATTACCACCAAAAGGTGCAGACAATATGCCAAAATGTTGCAATGGAAAACCTCCAAAAGTTGGCTGTAAATAAGAAATGTGACTTTCACAACTCGGTGGCTTGAACTGCAGAAGCAGCACTGATTCCCACTACATTCTTCAACCATAAGTCATACAAAGTTGTGCTTTACAGTCATTTTTAAGCAATTAAAGCAGTTAAAAAGAGTTTCAGTTTAGTGCACCAGTGCCTCCATTGATTTAGGGGACAGATGGGACTTAAATTACAGCCAATCAGAAGGGATTTTGATTTGTAATCTATAATAGCAGCAAATGCTCCACATCATGGCTGGTAAAGTAGTCAGTTCAGCTCTACTCATCAGTGTGACGAGTCTTCAAATAAACAAATGCATCGATTAATTGGAATAGCATTGCTCAACCTGTTCAAAGAGCATGTAGACAAACTACCAGACAGACAGATAGATAGATATAGATTCAAAGAAAGCACAACTACGCTAAAGTTGCAACTGTAAGGTGTTTAGCGTCGCAAATAAGAATGCTAAAATACACATACGTTATTTAATTAATGGAAAAATTTGAAGGATAAAAATATGACAAGCTGAAATGTATTTACTTGTAGTAGTGCGTCACAACATTGCATGAGTAAATGTAGCCTTATGCGACTTTCTTTAGGAGCTAGCATAATAAAGATCCGTTACATACCTTTTGAGTCCCATTCAGTGAACACGTATCACGAAAAAAACGACTTTCTTCGTCCTAACGTCAAACTAATTATCGTCACAAGACCTCAAAATAACTTCTTCTAGAAAAGTCAAATAAAACGAATATTACATATGTATATATACACTCGTGCCGGTCCCTGTGTTGTTGTTTGCCTCGCTCCTCAGCTTTCAACAACCTCCTCACCGTCTTCACTCCGTGTGGAAGAAAGTTTACTGATTTAGCATGAACTGAGTCCGGACTGAACCAACTCTTGGAAAATGGGTGGGAGTCTCGAGTTTTAGCAGAGAAAATAATTGTATATATTGTCAATGATCCCAGTATCATTATTTAAGGTTAATAATGTCTAATCGACAAGTAAAAGAGAATAAAACAATAGTGCAAGTAGTTAAAACTACAGGTAAAACTAAACGATAATACCACTACCCCCTATCTGCAGTTGGTAGGTTCAAAGGCTTTTAGACAGTGAGGTATTTGGAGGACGCCCCCTCAGCTTTTCTTTGTCTACCTACCTATTTTCCTTCTCTTTTCATTTAAATCCATTGGAGCAGTGTTCCCCCAAAACAGCTGCACTACAGAGAGAGACTGACTTCAAATCTTCTAAAACTGGTGGCTGGATTCTATTATAATGACACACTAATTAATTTAAGAATAATTGAATTTGACTTCGACAAAGCAAGAGCATGTACGATATTTGGTGGTATGCCACAGAGACTTACTGGCTACAGCCCATAATGGAATACTACTTTATGTTGCCCTTCAGCCTGAGTCAAAAGTAGTCTTTGAAACTGTTTCTTTCAGATGCTTTATTAACTGCAAGAATTTCCAACAAAACATGAACCCATTCTTTTCTCATGCATGCAGATGTGTGTGTATTTGAGACAGACATAGAGAGAAAGAGAACAATAAGACCAGCTGTGTTTGGTTCAACAACCTGATTTGCATTGTCTTCAGACCAGTGTGAATGCTGGGAGATTGAGTTTTATATCCAAGCTCCATTTTAATATGAACTGAGATGCATACTAGAGGTTATCCCATTGGTTTTTTGTAAGCATTAGAAAGAAGAAAGCCTGAGGTTGTTTCTGCTTCACGATGAATATTGTAATCATGCTGTATGAACATATTACTTTTCAACAAGTGACTTCCAGCTGTCCCAGTGAGTTAGTGGGAGAACTGATGTGATTCCAGGTCAAGCTCTGAAGTCCCAAATACAGAACAGATCACTTCCTAAACATAGCTAATCATCTCCAGGCTGCTCTACAGCGGGCATGTGTCTCTGTGTGCGTCTCTACGAGTTTCTGTGTGTGGTTACACTAACTCAACCCAGAGCATCTGAGGCCTGTATTTCTGAAAGATGTTCTCTTTCCCCATAATTTTCCAAACCATGCCCTTTTAACTTTTTTTAACCCCTTTTTCTCTTTCAGACCTCTCTCCACCCCTGTGAATTCACAATGCCCTGTCCTTGTGTGAGTAGACACAGCAACATGATGTCAATATTTGAATCAGCCAGGCACAGCAGGAAGATAATTAGGCCTGTCAATATTTAACTAGAAATTGCAAGACCACACAGGACACTATGAAAAGGAGAAAGGGGTACATAGAAAGGGTATGGAGCTACCAGTAAAACAAGGAGAGCTTTGTAACAGGGTAAATCCAGAAAAAGGGAATTTGGCAGAAGAGATAGGACAAACTGACCAGAGATACAAATATCAAGATGCTGCCTGACAAAAAACAGACACGTGAGCAGAGGTAAACAGAAAGATAAGAAACAAATATTTAAGAATTTGGGAGGTTAAACTTTTAGTTTATGTGTGTTTTGCAAGTATCCTGTAGAAACAGAATGTGATGTAAAGCATTTGCTCTGCAGTTGCTGGAAGCTGTGACTCACTGTAGCAGCTAGCTCCAAACCGCAGTGAATTAAACCAATCCAGAGGTGTACACACACACACACACACACACACACACACACACACACACACACACACACACACACACACACACACACACACACACACACACACACACACACACACACACACACACACACACACACACACACACACACACACACACACACACACACACACACACACACACACACACACACACACACAAATACCTAAACATGTGGAACTTCTCACACATACATAGGCCTGTACATTTGTATGAAAACGCAGTACACCCCGTGTTTCCATGCAGAACGTCAGCACAATGTTAACTCTGGCCATATGACACATACACACATTGAAAGGAATGCAAGTTAACCAAACCACAAGCTAACCACCCTCACTCTTTCACACACACACACAAGTTATGAAATACTTTAAGTATGCACACTCCATGCAATTAAGCCAACTTTTACTCCACATATTTTATGACCAGTAGGTGGCAATATATCCCTCTTACCCCTCTCAGCATAAAAGCGTGTGTTTGTGTGTGTTTGTGAGCGTGGATATCTTACCTTGTGTTAGTGGTGTGGGCACAGTGACCTGCACTCCATCCAGACTGCAGAGGTTACCACAGGGGTCAAGGGTCACCACTCCTCCTGTGTTAGAGGTTATAATGACGAGGTTAAAAAAAACTGTGTTCCTTCACTTCAAAGTAAAGCAACTGCAGATTATACGCACAATTACACAAAGATACTTCCCTGGTGAATGATGACTCCAAACTACACTACCAGTTGTAATAATAACATACACACAAAGCCATGCTATTTCTATCTTCACTAAAAGGCTTTGTGCTGAACGCTGTGCGTTGTATAATTACTGTGTATATATATAGTAATTATACAAGATGATTCACACAGGAACAAAAAAGAAGAAAGCATCAAGAGTGTAATCAATCACTTGACCTCTCACTGGCAAGGATCATTTTCTTTCATTCACACAATACATTACCAATCTACTGACAGATATCCAGCTTACGAGTTCACTCAATTTCATATTTATCTTGACACATTATTTCACCTGAAACAAATTGCAGAGTGTGTCTGTGATATGGTAATTATGTTGCAGTTTTCTTATGATGATGCTCTTAACAGAAGGCAAAATACTTTTAGTACATTATCTTTCTAACAGTTTGACAAATCTCTTTTCATTGGCAGATTTAATGATCTTCTTTAAGCAAGGCGAGATTTTAAGATCCAAGCAAAGCTTTCTAAAAGGAATTATTGGCAGCTAGAAATGTACTGGGTAGAACTTTTAGTACACACTTGCCAGTCCAAAATGTTAAGAGAACTGCTAATATAATTAATTATTTTTGTGAAAAGTGAACTGACATCAACCTTCATTGAAGATGAGACAGTGCTCTGCCTCGATGCCTGCTCCCTGGATGGTGATATCTTGAGGAATTGGAGCATCTTCTCGGCCAATGCGGGTCACCCCTGGAACAACAAGCAATACACAAAAACATTTAAAAAGACAAAACAACAGTATAGGAAAAAATGTTTTAATGTGTTCCAGTCATCATTGAATCTCCATTACTCTGGAAACTTGTTACTAGCAAATATACATACATGCTTTTGAACCATATGGGTGGCACAATGTATTAAGTTACTTCAGAATTATTCATTTGAACTGGTTGTTCTTCGTCATTAGACATTTAGAGAAAAATAGACCCTCAGTTCTCCTTAAAGGGATTTTTCACATTGCTGGCATTCCTCGCTGAAATGGAAGGGCACATTTTGTGTTTTGTACATTTTGTTCTTATGAGAATCAACCAGTTTAACTCTATAAATGTAGATATCTGACTTATTATAAAAATATGTCATACTGGAGCAGCTTCATTTTAAAAAGTTAATAAAATGTATTTAAAAGCAATCACAATGTTTTACTGCACTGTTCTCATGGTCCAGAGGAGGCCAAACAAAACGTCTCTGTCCCTCTGCACTGGGAATATAATGAGAGCTTTGTTAATAAGACATGTTAACTCGACCAGTGTTATCTAAGGACAGATCCTCACTATAATGTAAGGATATTAATCTCATATCAGTCAGTTGTTATTACTATTCCCTCTTCTGTCTGCAGGCCATTGAATTTTAATCAGTTATACAAGCATGTCTCTCATTATATCACGCTGTAGATCTACTTATCTTTGCTCCCATCTATTTGCTTTCCTGTGTTTGGCCAACTGTCTGGAATAATAATTAAGCAACGGCACCTGTTGCTTGCTGATCTGATGAATGCATGGTGTGTGCATGTGTGTGTGTGCTTTAAAGAGAGTGAATGAGGAAGGTGTGCAAAACACCTGTGGATGGCTGATGATAGAGAATCTATAAATAACTCTAAATGCACCGCCATTATGTCACAATGATCAGGTGTGTGTGATTTGGACATGAGTTCTCTATAAGGAACAGTGTTTGATTCTGGTCTTTTAGTTTAATGGAGTATTTTCTCTGTTGTTGTAGACACTTTCATGAAACCATGAGTCATCCCTGTTTTATAGCTGTTTTGATTCGAGTCTGTTAGCTCAGTGTTGCCCTCTTTTTTTACACTGTTAACTGTGCGTTCAGTCTGGGCACAAACCAGAAAGTGGGGTAATTTTCTTCCTAAATGACAGTAAAAATAAATAACCAGGGACGTGGTTGTAGTAGTTTGTTTGAATATGTGTTTTTAGTTCAGGGGAGCCCTGTGGGAGGAAGGAGTGTTGGCTTCTTGTCTTGACTTTATTGCGACCCAGTATCACTTTCCCCCTATCCCCGACACTTCTCCAGCAACCGTGAAAATGAAGCAATGGTTGGGCGGGGAGGAAAAAGGGGATCATTTAGCGGGAAAAGCAGGAAACAAAGCAATGAGGGAGGTTCAAAGAAAGGAAAGAGGAAGGGACAAAAATATCTGGTTTCACAGGTGACGGCTTTACATGACTTGTGTTAAAAAACATGGTAATCCAAGCCTATGGTGTATGATTTCTATGCTGTGTGTATTTGTGTTACCTTCTTTGAGTGGCAGCAGGGTGATGGCCACACTGAGCCTCCCGCTGCCCAGGCTCACCAGATGGGGAGAGGCTGTCTGGACCTTCAGACCCTTCCCTGTGTCAATCAGTTCCAGAGGCGGAGACTACGAGCATCAGGCAGAGGGGAAATGTCATTTCCAAACAAAGGTATTTATTATTGTTTGTGTGTGTGTTTGTGTGTGTGTTCTCTAACCTTAGGTTCAACTGGGGACATCTGATCTGACTCTGGCTGGAACATCATCTCACAGTCCTGAAGGAGAGAAAGGAAAATCAGCTCTGAGACTGAAACATATAATTATAATACATTCACAAAAGTCTTTAATGTTTTGTTCTCATCATCTTTTTATATTGAAATGTACATGAGGGTTTTTCAGTATCTTGTATCAGTCTCTTGAAGTCTAATCATCTTCAGCATATAAGGCCACACTGTGCTGAAAATGGTAGTGTAAACGTACAATCATTCATCCATTCATGTAAGCTAACATAATAAAGACACTAAGAGCAGGGTCACACAAGTACACATATAATAATAATAATAAAGTGTATTTATAAAGCACCTTTCATTGCTAAAAGCAATCCCAAAGTGCTACAGTAGGCGTAAGAACCAAATAAAAGAAACAAAACATCTGCACAAATGATTATACACACACACACACACACACACACACACACACACACACACACACACACACACACACACACACACACACACACACACACACCACACACACACACACACACACACACACACACACACACACACACCACACACACACACACACACAACACACACACACACACACACACACACACACACACACACACACACACACACACACACACACACACACACACACACACACACACACACACACACACACACAAAGTTAAACAACTGCAAACAGCTGCTGCCACATGAGAGGAACTCTCCGTGTGAAAGTGTTCCAAGGGGAAAATACCACTAGAGTGGACAAATTCATACACACAACCTCTCACACTCAAATGCTAACACAACCCGGTTTCCAGTGGGAAGAACTGGTAAAAAAAGGTTCCATGAAAACAGAGTTTAAACAACTATTTATGGTATGCCATCTTACTGCCTGATGCTTTACATGTGTTTGTGTTTCGCTTAATAAGCAAAAAAGGCCAATTATAGCAATGGCTGTCAGTTGCATTAACTCTATGTTGAATTATTTGGTCCAGCTCAAGAAAGTATCTTTAAATATAGTCGAGATTGTCCAGAAATTAATATAGGTGTTCATGAAGAGGATGAGGGCCACAATTTAAGTTTTTATTAACCAAAACCATTTAAAAAAAAAATGAAATTCACTGAGTTAATTCATGCTCCCCAGAAGATAGACCCTTTCCATTGTGGGAATCCATTTGCTTTCATTTGTGCCACCGGTCAAATGTCCAGACATGTCCTAATCTAAAAGGCCGTTTGAACTGGTCACATTCATGCTCCCAAGGGAACCAACCCATTTAATTTGAGTGTTTGCCTAAGTACAAACCTTATTATATCAGAAACACTGTTTGTTTTATCTAACACATTGTGGAGTGTAATCTACATTTCAGCCTCTAGGGGACACTAGCAGGGCTTCAGTGTCATGACTTTCTTATTTAGTTTTAGTTGACAGTGGAGTCCAAGATAAAGAAACATGTTGTTAAGGTTGGGAAAAAGTATGAAGTAATTTAATAACTCTAAAATAGCAGGACAGGATTAGACTGGCATAAAAGGAAGAGAAGGATAACTATAAAGGGGAATGAAAACAGGGCGAGATGAAAGGGAACACAATCAGAAATGTGTGTGTGTTTGAGTAAACACACTCAGATCCAGTGCCAAGGACAACCCTTGCAGCAACGTACAATTCAATGAAGGAAAAACAGTCCTGCTTCTATGTGTGTGATACACACTCATTCAAAGGCACACAAAAAAAAAATCCAGATGGAGTGAAATACTTCTCACTAAAGAGATGATTACAGTATATGGGAAACCACCCCGACCACATCTCCTTTTACACCTTCGGTTATTTCCTTCCTCTCTTCCCCTTCTCTCCCATATCCTGTAATAATTACTGTAATAATATACAGTACATTATCCACCTCACCATTAGTGTCTAATCTTTTCAATACTTTGACATTCCTTTTACTAAAATATTCTCTTCTATTTATTCAACCTGCTTGTCTTCACCCTATTTTCTCTTCATTTGCCCTTTCTATGTCCCATCATCCTGCCTTTTTAATCTCAATCTCCTCTCTTTTCCTTCCTCATCCAGCAAAGGAAAACCAAATCAAAGTCAACGCCACTCCACTTCCTCTAATTCAGCACCAGCTTCCTCTCTGAGGTCACTTCCCTTGCTGCTTTGACACCCTTATTGCCTTGAAACACACACTCTCACACACACACTTGCTATTTTTTACATCTCAGCCACCCCTGTTACCCCTATGCGCACACACAAACATCTACAAATAAAGTCACGCATCAGCTCTTTTGTTATTGCATGAAGATATGAGGTCCCGTATTCCCCTTTTTTTCAACATAGTGTAGACAAAGCAAACACACCATATGATGGCAACATCAGCCGGATTGGAGGTGCTCCAGCAAAATAGAGATTGAATGAAGATACAAAGTTCAACAGGGACTGTGAGAGTAATGACAAGACTATTTTCTCTTTTGTTCCAGCGGTCTCCTCCCGCTTCCTTCCTGTACGTCCTTTCCCACCTCCCTGACTCTCCCCTTATGTCATATATTCCTTACTCCACCTCATTGTCTCTTTTTCCGCAACCTCCCCCCTTCGTCTTTCACCAGGTGAGCTGCAGTCTGGCAGGTCAAGACAAGTTTTCACCTTGTTGTGCTTTACTTTAAGCAGAGCAGTGAGGTGTATCAACCCCCCTTCTAGATTTACAGATTTCAGCTCTGGCATCCTAAGGGGGTCTTTACAATCTGCAAACACCAAACCTGATGCTATCAGGCTATCTGGACCGGAGAGCTCAAGCATGAGATTACTGGATGGTTTAGGTATTTGCAGGTTTATAGAAAAACTAGATTTTTATCACTTGGATACTCTCTGCTTTGTGGCCCCTCTAAGCTGGTGCATAGTTAAACGTTAATCTACTAAAGAAACTGTTATCTTTTAAGAAGTTAGTGGAAACTTCAACATGGCTAAAGTGACTTGAGGTGTTTTGGTGTAGGGTTATGTCTCTGGTCTAACAGTAACTTGACAGGATGTCACATTACAGCTTCAATTGAGGTTGATTGCAGAATTACAGTCTATGTGAATAATGAGTATCAGGTTCAGCCAGATATCGAGTGACATGAGGCAGACTGAGAGAAAGAACCTCCAGCACAAATGAACTCCTGGAATGGAATGGAATGAAAGGCTGGGGACGTTTATACAAATGTGTTTTTTGCCTTTTATGGGAAAATATCCTTAATGTGCAGAGCTGACCTACTTTTACTAATCCCAAATCTGTTTTACACCTGAACTAGCGCTTTAGATATTAAAGGAACAGCTTAAACAACTCCATACAATGTTTTTAAAATCAAGTGCACGCACACAGTCTCTCTTTGATCCCATCTGTAGGACAGCTGATTTCCCCCAAATGCTCCGTTCCACATCTGGAGGTAGACAAAGAGAAAGTGATGGAAGGACTCATAAAAGCAGAAGGACAAACAGATCCAGCGTTCACGGACTGTTTCATCTCATCCTTTTTATTCTCCTCACCCTCTGCTTTCATCCCTCTGTCCCTCCTCTGTTTGTATTTCCTCTACATCTGTTTTGTTTTCTCTCCGTTTCAATTATCTTCTTTGTTATTGTTGCTGTCTGTTTTTCATGCAGGCTGCATTCAGGACATTTCAGCCTGTTGCTCATGTCAGTGATTTGGAACATGTTGCTTGCACACATATATTATAATATTGTGAGCTGAGTTAAGCTATTAAGATAAGTGCATCAACATTACCGTTATAACTACAGCGGTACGCACAGAAGAGTACAATGAACTACAGACAAATCATCAGGACTATTATTTTCATTGAATGCAGATATTCCATGTTGGCCATCTGCTTCTTCTCCTGCTTTATTGAAACAGCTTACATTGGCCTTAGGCTAAGGGTGTTTCAAAGCAGACCGCTCCTCAAGATGATTTAGACCCTGGGTTTAAACTTGACCAACTATAAGAATGGTGGTGGGAATAATGATACCTCTAGCTGCAGTCAAGGTGACTGTTGAGCTTTTTTTAAACGTGCTACAGAAATAAAATGTGCATGGGTAAAGACCACCATTTGTGCTAAGGAGTGGGAGGATTTACTCTTTGTTAAATATGGTAAATTTATTTTTTACACGGAGTACATGACAGGGGAAAACTATAAAATATGTTGCCCTGATTCCTGTTGCCTCTTTTTCAATCTATATTCAACTCCCATCAAAGGTGGGTGTTAAGACAACATGTTGACAAGATATATTTAATTATTTTCTGCGTCTTTGGTTTCGTAAATAAGTATTTGAAAAGGGTGCTTGTAGACTTTAAATTAGGGAAATATCGCTATCTGTGGTTATGTTTAGATTTTTCTTATTTTACAAACTGTTAAAAAAAAACACAATGCTCTTCAAAAAATGATACATTTATATAACAGAATCCTTTTTGTCTAATTTTCATGTGTCTTCGTCTCTTTCTTGTCATTATCTATGAAGCCTGTCCATTTATTGTTGATTATACTAAGTATCTTATTTGTCTAAAATGCTGTCTTCCCAGCTGTTCCTCTTTCATTCTCATGTTTTATATTTAAATGCCATGTCTTTACCCTTGTTCCTCTATCTTCATCTTTCCCGTTCTCCATCCCTCTGTCTCTCACTAACCTCCCCTCCCCTTACATTCCAGCATTACCCTCTCCTCCTCCCACCTGACAAAGCCAGCATTGTATTACAGATGCTGTTTAATATGGAGTCCCCCTCTCTGTGTCCCTCTTATAGAGCAACTCTCAGAGCTAAATAGGGTTATCTTCCTCCCTTCTCTTCACAACAATTACCCATATTAAACACAAAGTAGTTTAATATATGCCTTACGCATGCATCACACCAGACGTCAGCATTCCCACACACATTTAATCCTTTTGTTCGTAAAACACTGCTCTTCTCAGTCTCTGTGTGTTTTGTTGAAAACATTTCAAGCTGATAAACATAACTTGACCTGCTGAATCACAACAAACATCCACAAGCATTGTCCTCCAATTGAATCTTTCTCACACTCCACTGAGCGTTTTCTCTCTTTATCATTTACCCAAGTGCAAAATCCTCGCAGGAAAGAAAGTCCATTGTTATTGCAGCTGACTCAACGTCGGAGGAAATCTAACTTCAGTTTTTATCTCGGGTTTGTGTGTCTCTGGAAAAACCCAGATTACCTTTGCCGCCATATGGAGGGGATCAACTGATGTTTAGGTTTCTGAGGGGCCGGATATGACAGGGAGAACAACGACAGAGAGAGAGAGTATAGTGAGATGTAACTCACATTAACAACGCTTGCATTGTGAAATGAGCTGTAACTGCTGGACAGATAAGAGAAGAAGAGGAAGGCAGAAGGATCGACTTTGAGATAATAAGAAAAACAAACTGAGCAGCGGGGAAACAAAGGAAAAGGAAATGGATAAAAAAACAGATTTAAGAATTCAGAGATTAAGGGAAATAGATCGTTGACCAAAGAAGCTGCATCACTGCCTCCAAACTAAATATTGTCATAAACTGAACTGATGACAGTTCAAGCATACCTGGCACACACATTCATAGTAAATACTGTGGGAAAAATCTTACAACTACAGTACAAGTGGAATTATAATTTGTTCAGCACATGAATTAACCTTTTAAGTGCTGTTTTGAATCTGGTATGAGAACTTGAGGCAGGACGGTTGTATTCTCCTGGTTTCCACATCATGGCAATAGCCAACACTCCAAATATAATGGTTTTAACATTAGCTTAGCATTCTGATGTCAGTTTTTATTTAAAAAAGCCATGGACGTCCTGTCCATTTTTAAGATTTTAACTGAAAGCGAGTTTAAATGTGTCCTTCTGATGTAATACATAAGGTTTTTTAGTTTCACTAATGCCATCTGAACGGTGTATGGAAACACCAAAGAAAAATCTACAACCTAATAATTACACTAGGAACTGAAAAGACCAACTCCACATGACCCAAGTGTACAATGTCCTAATTGGGAAATCAAAGGTAATACATCAGATAAATTCGATACACAGGGCATGATCTAATGTGAACCTTTTACAAACTCCCAAACCACAGCCATACTTACTCTTTATCCATTCTTTAAAATATGACATGTAGAAGAGGTGGGAGGTGGAAAGATGTGGTTTCTTAAATGTTATGGTTGAAGTTAGGTCACATGACTGGCTGCATTAGAGGGGAAACAACATGTATGCTTCAATGAACTCAAGGAAGGTCCTCATCTGAGTCAAGAAATCATCTTCAAATGGTTATTTGTGGCAAATGTGGGATGACTCCCTTATACACACACAACAACAGACAACAGTCTACAACTAAATCAGTCCTCTTTGGGCATCACAATATGACCTGGGAATATCAAATGATATCATTTATATATCTGTAATATTCCAATATGAACTTCTATGTCATCAGCATTAATGAGTCTTTTGTTTTATCTTGAGTGGAATCCCCCACAGCATTTCTACTGAGGACCATCAGTTGCAGAAACAAACAAAACGTTCCCTGCGTTGATTTATGCCACACTAATCTGGAAAAAAGTTGAATATAATTAGTTTATTGTTACCTGCTGTAGATTTAAAACCAGTGGCTGTTGAAACAACACGAGAACAAAGTGTATTCTGTAATTTCCCCCATAAAAAGCCGCGCTTACCATTATTGAAGCGTGACTGGCCACTTCTGTCATCGTGCAGAAAAGGTCGCAATACGCAGCTGCTCCAAATCCAACAAAGGTCTGTCACTGCTTCACTGTGACCAAAGTCCCGACTGCGAATACATTCCCTGTGCAGCATGAGCAACCCGTGGATGTCTTGGAGATACTTTAAATCATCTGTCACATTAACACACACACGATCACAACACACTCACAAGCGTAAAAAAGCCGGCGGCCTCAGCCAATCGCGACTTGTGGAGGAATGCAGGAACAGCTGGAAGTGGACCTGGGGAGAGAACAAGGGGAGGGAGGGAGGGAGGGAGGGAGTCTCTCTCTCTCTGCGCGACGCGCAAGGCTAGCGGCGCGCGCGCGCGCCCGCGCCGCGACAGCTCGCGCTCTCGCTCGGCGCCGCTCTCGCCCTCTTCTCTCGCGCTCCTCCTCTTGCACACACCACACTCTCCCACACACACACACACAAACCACACACACACACACACACACACACACACACACACACACACACACACACACACACACACACACACACACACACACACACACACACACACACCACACACCACACACACACACTCTGGATTAAGGTGCAGGTTGTTAACTAGACCACCTAACACTTGACCTCGTCATTTGCTCCATATCTCTTGCTCAAATGGAGAAGCCTTTAGGGCTTGATAGGGCCAAAAAGAGAGGGAGAAGCATCTTTCAGATACCTTGGCAGCATTGATAATGAAACTCACGATAGATAAGAGGCATGTTTGGCTAATGATATTAACAACAGGAATGCAGTCTAGACTCACTTCACATGACACAATGCAGTCCTAATTATGCAGCTTTTGATTCATTCAGTCTCTGGGGATCTAGAATGGAGCACAAACTGGTACATTTACAAAATGCAGCAGGAACTTTGATTATTTAAAAAAGGATAATAAAGTGTAAGTATTTTCCCTTGCTAGAAAAAATACCTCTTACCTCATTCGAAGGATATTTACTGAATGAGATAGGCCTTTTTATATACAAGAAGAGGTCATATTTATATATGTATAAAGCATACCTTGGAGACAGACCCAACATAACCCTTATGATATAAACACACCGATTTGCAAAAAATAAAAGCATGCATGATGATCCAAGTTTATTTGCGTTTTCATCCAAATGGTAATTATAAAGCAAAAAAAAAAATGACTGGTAGAAAAATGATCTTATTTTCAAACATGCAAACCCATACTTTATGCAAAAAAACATATGCAATTTATTCCCTAAAAGTCAAGAACTGTTGGTATTTAAGCAGTGGCAGGCTGCTCTTAGTATAAGTTATGTGCACCATCTGAAAACTCTCTGCTACATGTACAGTCATGCACCAGTCTGGAGATATCACAGAGGAGAGGCCAGGAGTTCTGTATCAGAGGTATGTCATATTATTTGGCAGAGGTTCAAGTTTTCTCCACAGTTCATCAGAGAGGTTGCAGAAAACACACATTATGCACGACTATAATACAACCTTATTCAGGCAGAATGTTGTTTAGGCATGTGCACACACACACCACAACTGAAGTGGAATGCCCGGTGTGTTCTTATGGCTGGAAAATGACAGATGTCGTCTTTGAAAGTGGTTCTCGGGTTAGGACTGAGGCCAGGGAGGGTTTGCCTTCGCACACAAAACAAACAGACACACACATTTTTAAGGCAGCAGGACTATCTTATCTCACAGGCACCACTGGGATCTCAAGAGAGCATGATCCACTTTCACCACTGCTTCCTTGAAAGTGAATCTACAATAAAGTTAAAAGACCCAACTGTAGGATAAAATACAGAAACAAATAAGTATCCTTCATATTTTATATAAGGTCAAACTTGGAATAGGTTAATTGGGTAGGGGGCAAATGCTGTCCATTATGTTTTTATGTTTGCTTTGGTATGGCAATATGTCACATGGTCATTTTAGGTCTTGACTCAGATGCATCTTTGGAGCCTGAAGCCTTAAAAGGGGCACAGCTAAATGTTATCAGGATAAGGCTCTCGGAAAATGGTTCATTTCCTTTTGAAGTTTTTCCAGGAGTTATTATGCATCCATGGTTGCTTGCTAGCATGAGAGTGGCTAAGCTTTCCCAATGACATCATCTAACGGAGCCTGTGGGTTTGGTCTGAGGGCCGCTGAGCGTTTGACAGCATTCCGAGGTGAATACCACAAAATCCCATGTGATCCCAGGAGGCTGAGCAGGAGCTCTGGAGCTGTTTGGACAGGGATTCAAACCCGTGACCCTGCAGTGAGAGACAGCTTCATTTCAATCCATCATACCTTTCAGTCTTATTTTACTTTTGCCTGTCTGTCTGATGTAAAAAAAGGCTGTGAAACATCTGAACCACTTGACATCAAATCTCTGTTGTCATCAATGATGAAGGGTTTTGAGGATTAGTGTGTGTAAAACTATTCAACCCACACGCTTTAAATGACAACTTAATGACAGATAATTGGATGACACTGACACTGTTTGTGGCTTAAGGGTGATTGAGGTGCATTTGTATTTGTTTGCAGGCGTCTGGTGATGTGCCTCTACTCGTTCTGCCTTTTTTCTTTACCGACCCCACAATGTGTCAGAGGTTTAGTCATAAGAAGAGTGTCACCTGTTTTTACAGCTGTTTCAATAGTGTAGTTGTTTTGGTCAATGAGGGAAAACTACCACATCTGTGTGTGATGGATGTTGACTGACCTGGTTGATTCAGGTCAGACATCACTTAACACCCGGGATATAGCAGTGGTTACTTAAGTCAAACTTGGTTTACTCACTAGGATATTTGCAGAGTTGAATCACTTTTATAGTGTGACATACATGGCTCTCTAAGACACAAACACACCATGCAACCAAAGCATGAGTGTGACGATATTCCTGACACTCAAATGGCAAAAAGAAGACTGGAAACCAACTATAAATTTGGCTGCGTTGAAACCAAGTGAAGATTGTGAGGTTGAACTTTTGGTGATGGGGGAAGACTGCATTTGTATTATTTAGGAAGAGAAAATTACGTCATGGGACGTAAAGGGTCATCAAAATAAAGTGTGGCTGCAGATCTACACAGACTGTGGTGCCCAAAAATACACGTGTGTCAATGTTTGCACATATTTCTGCAGAGAATGTTTGTAGAATTACAAAATCCTGGCTGAAAAACCCAGGCTCAAATGCAGTACTTTAAGACTATAAAATCATGCCTGAGTTAACGTCTTCTCCTTTGAAACCTTGGAAGCCAGCAGGGATCCAGAAAAAAAGAGAGGGAAGGAGAGGGGACCAATCCAAACAACAAAGGAATGCTCTCCATCAGTTGGAGCGCTCCGCTCTCCCACTTGCCTGCCTTGGTATGTGTAATTACTCGGCAATTAAAGTGCCTCAGCTTGTGACTGTGTGTGTGTTGGTGTGTGTGAGCCTGGCGGTGCTTGGTGACCATGCTGAACCATGTCAACAATGTGGCCTGGACAGATCAGGCTATTTAACACAAGTGAGTCATAGAGTGAAAAAAAACGAAAGGCATAGTGGATGAAAATAAAACAGTATAAAGTAGTTAGATAATGATGCTGCTGAAGGAGGAAAATGAACTGCTGTTAAAATATCCCTTTCTGCATCTTAATGTAAGCTGACCTTTCTCTTACTTTCTTATCTTCTTCTGCAGTCTCCTCTTATTCTGATAACCACAGGAATGCAGGTCGACTGTCCCTGCAGTACTTTCATTTCACGCATAGTAATCACCTAGCCCACAAAGCAGAACACAAACACAGTAACACACACTAACTCAGACACACACTGAGATATTCATTTCAGACGACGATATTTTAGCCTTTCTGCCCTTTTCTATTTCAACATGTCGTAGACAATGTATTTTGTATAGAGGCCGATGCAGACATGAAATATCTTGGACATGGTCATACTGTAAATGCTCCTCTATGCATTTACCCCACATATCTAACTGTCTTAGAAAATTGTTTCCATTCCAGCATCTTGAGTCAAACAATGGAAGGGAAAAAATACTGAGCAGAAATACTATAAACAGAAACATTTATAGCCATGTATGTACATGCACATGTTTTATGAGCATTGTGGCACAACTTCCACACATATGTACCTCGGCAATCCCCCATAAAGGTGCAACGGTTTGAGGCTCTAGTTTAATGGAATAGCTGGGCAATACTGAAAAGGTGTTGGCACAGCGGGCTGCTTTTTCACGACCTGTGACTTAACATAGAAACAAAAAAACTAGAACCTGTACTTTTCATTATTGGAAAACCGCCAAGTGCATAGTTAAAAAGCTAACTTTAGCTCACTGAACAACTGTTTACAATTAAGTGTATACCAATTCCAATACCAGCAAGCTGAATATTTTTCTTTAACAATTCTTTATAAAAATGTGCTAGTACTCTGTAAACCAAATTCAATACCTATAAATATAGTATTTTGAATAGCACAACATTTATACAATAAAGGATCCATGATTAAAGAAAATCAATTATACTGTATACAGAAAAGTAAAAACTTCATACACATTGGAGATATGTAACAATTCAACGTAACAAATAGTTATTCATTGATATAGGAATGGTCATTTTATGGGTTTAAAAATAACTTAAGGAACTCCAGCATTATGTAGAAAATCCTTATCCAACAATGTTTTTGGAAGAATCTGCCATCCGACCTCCGACCTCCAATAGGCTGTGGGTCAGCACATATTTGTCCTGTCGTGCAAACACGTGTCATCTTTGTTTTCGCTCCTGTTCAGACAGCAGCAGGTTGTTGAGTTTGATGACGATGTTTGCAAAGTCAGTGAGCTCCACAAAGTCCGAGGTGATGATGTTGACCCCGTCCAGCCCCGGCCTCTGAGCCTCCACCCAGGAAATGATGGTGGGCAGGTTCCTAGAGGAGAAAGTGTATATGAGAAAGCAAACAATAACACTTCTTAATGTTAAACTGACGGATTCCCTGACCGTACAAACAATTATCTAAAGCCATGTTTCTGTCTCTGGAAGGATTATTGTTATGATTATAACATGTGCCAAACTCTAATCAGTTGTTTCTTAGCTGAATGTCTGTCTGTCCACCTCATTTCATTTGTTGATAAGATTCTGAGATACAGTAATTGGATTTGGGAGAAAATGGACCTGATGGGAAAAAGTGAAAGGGAGTGCTGTTAGTTTCCGTCTGTCTGTCAGTGACTGCATTCTCTGCTCGTATTGCTTTGAATTCAAACACTTTCTGTTTTAGTTCTTGTCATAGAGGCACACACTGACCATGGCTCTGTAGCTGTAGCAGTTCCAACACTCTTAAATAATCCGCTATGTCTGAGCCGCCTGCAGCAGAACAAAACCAGGAAGTCTGTTGTGTATCCAGCAGTGATAAACAATCCCATTTCCTCGGAAGTGCAGAATTAGGCCTCCTCCTGTCTCGCCACAGATTCCGCTCAGGAGTTTTATAGCTCAGCATCAGTGGCTGTTTCTCTCACTTTTAAGGGAAGGTACTCTAAGTCAGGAATTCCACTTTCAGCTGAGGATCAGAGAGCTAGCTGACTGCTAAACTGTGTGCAAATAATGTAGTCCTTACTTAGGGAAAGATCTCTTATCTAGGGGTGAAATGCGTTTCTGTTTGATCCGCTAAAGTTTGGAAATGGATTAAGTGGATTATAGCTTATCCTTAGCCAAATAAAGCAGTGAAGTGACATAATATTGGAATAGGGGAGTCAAATGCAAATATATGGTATAAAAGATACAATCTCTGGCCGTCACATCAATGGCTTCATAGCTCTGAAACAGCTGTGGCAATCACAGAGAAGAATAACAAATATTCACCACCAATAAAATAGGACTACAAATGGAGGCTTTTTCAGGAAATCAAACTGTTATATAAGTGGTGCAGCGCAGCACAATGAATGAATTTTTACAAATATGAAGGAAGTAGATATTAATAAATGTTTGTAAAGACGTTTATTTATTTATTTGACTGTCACACAATAATGTAAAAAAGTAATACAATCAAACAATAAAACATAAAAACCTACTTTTGCTAAAATGATTTTGCTAAAATGATGACACAGTTATCAACTGGTTGAACAGTGATTCATTTAAATGTGTTATTTATATTTTCATTTGCACCACATATTTAGTTTGCTTGTATTAAAGATGATAATAATTGTTACTGTAGGCATTTGTAGCATTTACTGTACTGCCCTCTGCTGGCCAAAAACTAGTATTAAATTGAGTTGAGCATTAGAGGACAAGATTCAAAGATGCATGACAACATGAACACTCACACACATGGGATGGATTCCTAAATCTGTTATACATGTTTCAAAGCAGGTAATATATTAAAAATGTATTGATTAAACCCTTGCATTAGTTGACAGAAATCTTAAACTCAGTCACTGACCTCTCCACCAGGTAGTTGCGCAGCCCCCACAGCAGGCCCTTGGCCACAGTGTTGACCCTGGGTGTGAGGATGGCCTGAGACACGTGGAAGGAGCCATGATTTGATCTGTCCTTCAGTGTAGCTTCCAGGAACTAGACAGGAGAAGGTCAAAAATGAACTTGGTGGGAGATTTTTTGGAACATAACTTGGGTTACATATGGTTGTTACTTTGTTTTTAAGCTTGAATCCATTGTGTGTTAGTGAATTCTTAGTATCTTTACAGTTTTCACTGGATAAAATAAAAATAAATATACATGAGGCTCCCATGCTGGTGAGTAGTTGCCACAGTCTGTGTTGTTTTCTGACCTGTGTGAGCTTGTTGGGTTCGGTGGTGTTGGCCCAAGGAGCGGGGATCTTGTTGCCGGGCCACATGACAGGGATGCCCTGAGCTGAAGGATGGTGGTAGAACACAATCACCTGAGGAGAAAGTAAATAAAAGACAGTGAGAAGATAAGCTGCACAGACCGGGTATATGAGTACATTTCTCTAATCTTGCATTTACACAACATTTAGCACATTATATGCATACAACTTATTGGCACCAGTGCTGAATATCCCTAAAGGTAGGTGTAAAAAGACTGTTTAAAATCATGAAAACACATTTGACTTGTCTGCTCTTCACTTAAGAGATTAAGCAAAGAGTACTGGTTGCATGTCTTTACTAATGAAACTTAATAAGATAGTTTGGCTTCCTTTTGAGCTGCTAATTGTACAAATCTCTCCTCGTCTCCTCCCTTTTCTTCGTCTACTCTGCCTCCCTTTCTTCTTTGCCAACTAACCCAGTTATGGATTAGGGTAAAAGGAGCAGGAGTTAAACTGATAGTATCCGAACCAGGCACTGACATGCACGTAGGACCATGCAGACAGAATTGCACGCACACAGATGTGTGTGAAGCGTGTGTCCATATGTTTAAGTGTCATCTCCTTAACAAATGACGCTCATCACTAATTCTTGTCCAGGAGGTCACAGGTGACAGGGATTACCTGACTTCAAGCGTTAAGTGTGACGTCAAATACACACACACTTCCATGCTGCTTTTACTACATGAGCTTTAAAGGGTCTTAACACTGGAGTCAATACACACAAAATGTGGTTGGAATAATGTTTCAAGTGATGTTGTGCATCCACTTTCATTCATCACCTGGTATTTATTCTTCCAGAGGTAGTCCAGAGTGATGCTGTCCACTGCACACATGTTACAAAGCTTGCTGCCAAACACTTCCTGCAGCATGGTAAGGAGGTACACATGATGCTCTGCGCCCATCGCATAGTAGTGGTTGAAGTCTAGAAACACTACCTGAATCAATCAAACAACAGACTGAATCAGTTAGTGTGTCTGTGCTTTCTGGAAATTATGTTTTTATGAAGGATTCTCACCTCTTTCCTGTGTTTGCTTAAGAAGGAGTTGATTTCTAACAAGCCTTCGCTCACCTGTGGGGGAGAAAGGTTGGAAATCACTTGTTGCATCAAGCCTTAAAGGTGACAGACTACCTGTAGCAAAACACTTTTTCAAATAGGGACCCGGCCGGCACATGTCGTGAAGCAGTAAAATGTCAGAAAATATGTAGTCCACTCACCTTGTGGCCAAACAGACCGTGGATGAAGTAGATCTCCTTTCCGGACTCCCGTGGCTTGGAGGAGACTCGTAGATCAAAGTATCGGATTCCTGCTTCCAGCTGCTCCTTAAATGTCAGATTCTAGGAATACACACATCATTTATTACATCACAGGCTTAAGTTAATGGCTTTAAAAACAGCTGTTACATAGACTTTTGAAATCTGCACCAAAAATCTGTGTAAATGACAACTATAAACTAAAAGTTTGTACATTTTAACTCAGTACCTGGGTCATGGCCCACTTCACCATGACCTTCTTGGCTAACACGCTGAACATGGTGGCCAGGTACTTCACAAATGCCTTCTGGTCGGGGCCAACAGGAGCATGCACATCCACCCAGTAGGTAAAGGAATCATGAGACCCTGCAAGAGAGATGAAGAGAAATAAAAATGTAATAGAGAGAGGATCAAATCATATCCCTCTCACACTTGTAGCTTTATTGTTGTGGTATCCATGCAGGTGGGATGGACAGAGGAGCAGAGGAGACACATCTTTACGCACGACAGGCTCACCTGGCACGGCGAGGTGTTTGAGGGGCATGGCACTGAGCTTGGGGGGCAGAGAACCCATCCAGTCGGCATTGACATTGCCAATCCCTGCAGGTCGGGTCTTCATGTCAGAAACAGCCAATTAAAAACAAACCCTCATGAAACCGCTCTCTGGTGCAGATGCAATCCTGGAGGAGGATTCCTGTGTGCTCCCGAAAGATACAAACTACCGTAGATCATGTTCTAAAGTTACAGTTCATCTACGTATACCAGCGGTTCGAAACGACATCAACCTCTTACGACACGTTAGCTGTCCCGGTTTCTTAGAGGCTATTGCGCTTTTGAGGCGCGCTGTTTTCCGACCGGTGAACCGGCATCAGTGGAGACAAGCAGCGGGTGGCTAACGACTGTGCTAATCCTCTTAGAGCAAAATTACACTTGTTATCCCCCCTCTCCTGCTTCTTGGGTTTACCTGCTTTGTGTGTTAGTGAGCAGACCACCACTTGGACACATGCTTACACAGAAAATATAGGAATGTTGTCTTCATTTTAAATTAGAATAAGCAAATCATGACCTTTAGCCTGTAAGAATAAATATGCTATCCATAAGTTATTATTCATGCCATATGTCTGTGATCATCGCGGTGATGGGGACTACTTGGTGCATGTAGCCTTCATCAGGGGTCATGACTCATGTCTGTGTTCAAATGTCATGATTTGGTCTATTCTATTTTATTATATTGTAGTCCAGGTATATTCAATTCATGGATCATTGTCTTTTAATGGGCGTGTTGGATATGAAAAATAAGTTCGATCTAATAACCAGGCTGCTGATCTACATATACACATATGCCCATTGAAATAGTAAATTTACATTTTTATTAATTTAAAGGTGGGGTAAGTCATTCTTTTCATGGAATGCTCTTAACATCCCGATAGCAATGAATATATTAACAATAAATACATTAAAAAAAAATCATCTGTCACGAGATAAATTTGTGCACGAGATGGAAGGCTGACAGGCAGGTAGACCACGGCTTCCCTACCTGCCTGTCAGCCTTCCATCTCGTGCACAAACTTATCTCGTGCCCTCATTGGTCATGTGCGCGTTCGTGTGTGTTGGAGGAGGGGATCTGTAAGGAAGTCTGAAGGAAGGGGCAGATTTTTTTCGGCTGCGTCTTTTCAAATTCTAGCTGGTTTCTCCATTCTTACCTACCTTACCTTTAAGGTGAGATTGAGTCTGACAGCTCTATACTGGTCCATGTGAAAATCAACACAGAACTACGGCTCCATCTTGTGGTGGAGCACATTAACTACAGTGTCCAGATATGAAGTAAAGAGGTCTCACTCTGACCCCTTTTTTGTCGCCCTGAACATTTATGCTGTAAATACCCTGGAAGTCACCTTGGTGGACATATTTGAGTTAATCAGCTAACAATTCATCTCTGTCATTATGGGTCTGAAACTTGTTTGCATGGATAACAACACAATTAAAACATAAATTAGGCTACCTGTCGCTTTGGTTCTTGCTTTGTGTGGCTGAGTTCAAAACATGAACTCAAAGGTGTTAAGAACTTCGCCAAAGACTGTTAATATTACTGGCAACACAACTTCAAGTCAATTAAACTTATTTCAGAAAAACTAAAGTTCAATCTGTATATATATTTTATTTTTCTAAATCATGGTTTAAATTGTTTTCATGGATGTATTGTTTTCCTCAGATAAAAAAAAAAACACTTCCGCAAGTCCCAGAAATCAATGCGTCTGAGCGCGCCCCTCGTCACCTGGAAACAAGCGTCACGTTTGTATGTGCGTTGCCATGGGGAGCAGTCACGCGCACGTAAAGTATCGCAGGAGCTAGCTTTAGATATTTCATCTGAAGAAACTTCGAGCTATCAGCAGGCGCAGACAACGGCCGAGGAAAGGAGCAACGCCCCTAAATGGTGAGTTAAAAACTGGAAGAAAAAGAAGAAGAAAAGGGGGGTTTGAAAGAAATTCCAAGAAAATGGTGGTTGAGGAACTGAACTGTCAAAGCAGACATGTCAACAACAAATGTTTCTCTGGTTTTAACTCTTTCTGATGAACTCCACTGTCTTTTATTTTTACAGGAATGATATCAGTTATTTTTTAGAGTTAGACTAGGATGTCTTTCCCTGCTGTGTGTTACATTGAATGTTTATGACAGTAGAGTTTAAGGGAATCAATTACCTCCAAATGTACTTTGTCAAGAAATGACATTTAGAATTAATGATCCAATTTAATTATTCTGTTTCTTTTCCGCTGTCCGGTTAGTGTCCACGTGTTTTCAATATAATTGACCTTGAATAGCTTCCTAATGTCATGTGGCCTGGATACTTTTCTTAATTCCCTTTAAATCCCTCCACAACAGATTGCCATATGTGAAAGCTGAGTGCAGGCCAGCAGTCCTTTGGCTGGCTTCTCCTCTTGTCTTAGAGCTTATTGTTTCACTGAGACTTGGACATCAGACAAGGTTTTGTTTAGAGAAATCATTTCTGGTCTATATACAGCATGCACAATGTATAACTAATCTATAAACATTTACATATTTGTAATTGTACTGATTATTAGGAGACATAGAGCTAAATCCAGTTTGGACATACTGTTTGGATGGCCCCATTCAATGAAATGTACACTAATCTTATTTTGTTTGGTAACCCTTGGTTTACCTGCATCTTCATTTCTTCTAATCTAAATACAGCATGTCAGCGATCGACAAATGTACTCAAGTTTCAAGAAAATAGCTGACAGATGGAATTCAAATCCTAACACTAATGCTCAAAACTATGCTTTCATAGCTTTACATGTGTGTATGCTTTTCATTGTTCTTCAACCAATCCATCTATTAACAGTTCATACAAAAAAATACCTTTTATTTTATTTTGTATTACCTGGATTATGCATGCTGTTTTTCAGTCTACAGGGCTACCACTGTTTAACCTTGACATTTAAAGAGATTCTTCTGATAGTTGATAAAGAAAATAACAATGATTGGTCATAACTCCACTTTTGTAGCCTCTCATTATCAGAAGAGGTTCTTTGACAGTGCAATCCCCCCCCATTTAATGAATAGTTTACACCTTGAGGATAGTTTAAATGTCAAAAATAACTACCATGTCCTACAAGGTCTATACAGTAGATGTATGTTCAGTTATCAAAATATACATTTTACGACCATTAAAACCCCAGACTTTCTCTTGGCCTTTCTTTAAGAGAAACTGAACATAAACCCAGCATGAGGCCTTAATACAAGAGGTTAAACTAGGCTTAAAAGATTTCAGGGAGGCTACTCACTTTACCTTATTAGCTTTAAGTTAAAATACATGAGGCAGGTGCAAGAATACATATTTATGATGCGATGCATATGCATAATAATACAATAATTGTATGTTACAACCTAAAACAGCACCGTGGACAGCTATGCATTTCACTATTAGAGAAATCAAACGATATCAGTCTGACAGGTGCGGTTAAAAAAGCCCTTTGGCTGAATATGCATCACAACATTATGATGACTAAGGCCTTTGGTGTGAATCAGATCCTCCAGGCAGGGTGCTTGGGGAAGGTAGTGGATGCCGGTAAGCGTGATGGTGATGTAACATCCTATTTACATCCCTATTGACTTAATCTGCCTAGGGCTGGCTTTGTCATCTCTCTTGGGTGGTCATGTGCCTCCTACTAGTGAGACACACGCCTAATCCTCCTCCCTGACAGAACAACAAGAAGTGCTTCTCGTTTAGCTTTGTAGATCTGAGGAAAATCCTTGTGTTTGGTGATTTCCAGGAATGGGTGAAGCTTCAAACTGTTGGCACGGTGTCCATTTTTGGCTGACCTACATGAGCAGGATCCAACCTTTCTAACAACGGATCAGACACTGCAGGATGAGTGTGGAACTCCAAGAGTTGGTGAGCATCGTGACATACTGGCCTTTTAAAAATGATGTCTTCTAGGAAATTAACTCTACTCAAGAATAGGCAGATGAAAGACTTTTGATCATTTGAATTTACTCAGTTTTTCCCCCCCTTATGCAGAAGGAAAGTTAAGGCAAGGCAAGGCAAGGCAAGTTTATTTATATAGCACCTTTCAACACAAGGCAATTCAAAGTGCTTTACAAAAATGGAAGACATTTTAAAAATGGCATTTAAAATCAGTCATTAAAAAGAAAAGATAATAAAATAAACATTAAAAGAAAAAATACATGGATAAAAGTTAAAAGTTACAGTGCAGTTTAAGATGTGAATAGTTCAATTAAAAGCAGCGGCAAAAAGAAAAGTCTTCAGCCTGGATTTAAAAGTAGTAAGAGTTGCAGCGGACCTGCAGGTTTCTGGGAGTTTGTTCCAGATATTTGGAGCATAATAACTGAATGCTGCTTTACCATGTTTAGTTCTGACTCTGGGGACAGAGTTTAAGTTAAGACCCTAATGAAACCGTCTTGAGAGATGATGAATCGCTACACCACCCTGAGGCAGCTGGGTGACGGCACCTACGGCAGCGTGCTGATGGGGAGAAGCAACGAGTCTGGAGAACTGGTGGCTATCAAGAGGTGAGGGTATTGATCCTTTTTTAAATATATATATTATTATTTTAGCATGTCTTTGTTATAGCATGACAATATCGCAATATTTTTGGTTATTTTCATATTGTGACAAAGCATAAATGTGCTCTTTATCTAGTTTTAAGGGCAGCTTTACAATTGAGTACACCATACAATACTGACAGTTCTATATAAGTGCAATAACTAACTTGGTATTCCTGCATTTAACTTGTATTGCAGCACTTGCAATTTTTTTAATTGCACTATTTTACTTTCTCCTAGGGCCTAAGATTTAAATCGCCAACAACTACACTGTTTTGTGCGTATGACGATAACATCTTTGAATCTTAAATATTTTAATATTTCTCAAAGTTCAAACAGTGCACAACCTAGTTTACATCGAATACTGTTTAACAAGTCTAACAATAACCCGGGAAAATGTCATCGCAGCAAGACATTTAATAAAAATAGTGCGATATTTGAATATAACCACACTCTGGAAGTATATAATATCAAGGTTTAAGTTTCAATATACACATTCGTTAAAGAAATTGCTCGTTATATATCAAATGAAATGTTACTCACACATTTCTAAACCAATTTCTGTGCAATATTTGCCCACCTTAACACTTTTAGAAAGGATGCACTTGTAAAAATATACAAAACTGAACTTGAATTGTACTTGTACCCTGTATCAACATCTAAAACAATGTTCAAAGTGAAGTTTAGGACTTCTGGTTTCCTACCATCACTAGGGCAAACAAACCGGCTAACATGCCTTTGTTCCAGCAGCGTGGCAGAAGGGTTCAATAATAGATGAGAAACCGGGGAGATGCATCCACCGGCTGATTATATGGTTGCCATGCAAGTCAATACAGGTGGTGACGGTGAAAGGCAGTGAAAGTAGAGGGAGTGTGTCGGGTTGCTGTCATTGTGGAAGGGACCACAGAAACTGGCAGGTGACCAGAGGGGAGAAAGAGATATGTGCACGTTCTGTGACTCTTACATAACGGCAGGTGGAGGGAGAGGTAACGCTGATCAGAGAAGATAAGCTGTCGTAAATGTGTCCCGCATACCAGCTGTGGTGTGGTTTTAATGTATATAGCAACACATACTGCGATAACAACTCAATACAACTGAATCAAGATGCATTTCACACTTAATTTAAGTAGAGAAGCAAATGGTAAAGATGTTTTTATGTCACTTTATGTCTTGAGCTTTTGCTGGTTTTATACGTCAAATGAAATGAAGTGAAATTTGAAACACCTCAAAAAAGCTGAATTATTGATGGAGATAAACAAAGGAATTTTGACTTTACTGTATGTGGGTTATATGCCCTGCAAATGTAGTGTCTTGTATTTTTAAGTTGCATGTAATAATTAATATCTGGTTTTGACTTCCCCCACAGGATGAAAAGGAAGTTTTATTCATGGGAAGAATGTATGAACTTAAGAGAAGTGAAGGTGAGGATGATCTTAATACTTTAGATAGATCTGTGTGCAGAAGCAAGTATGCCTTATAGAGCAGAACGGTGTGGTATCATTATTGTTGTTCTTAACTTTTCCCATGATTTGTCACACTAGTCTCTAAAGAAGCTGAACCATGCGAATGTGGTGAAGCTGAAGGAGGTCATCAGAGAGAACGATCACCTGTACTTTGTCTTTGAGTACATGAAGGAGAACCTCTACCAGCTTATGAAGGACAGGTAAGAAGACATTAACACACTCTACAATGCATGTCTGCACAGAAGTCTAGTTTGAGCTTCAAGAGCTTCCTCTTTGTAGCGCGAAAAGTTTAGACATTCATTCACACAAATAGGATTGTGATGTTCCTTTATATTTTCACGTGTGCTACATTTTTCAACTCATTTGATCAGTTAGTGTGTACCAAGAAAAACATAATGCGATGTTATGTATTGATTCTTCCTGAATCCTATCAATTTTATGTTTACAGAAAAAAGTTGTTCCCTGAATCAATTACAAGAAACATAAGCTTTCAGATTTTACAAGGCCTGTCATTTATTCACAAACATGGTAGGTGCACTGTGTTCCCTTCATGGCCTGCATGTGCATGACAGTGGTTGCATACTGCAAGATTCACGGCATATCGCCAATGAGAAAACGAAAAAGCTATAAAAAGTTGAGCATTTCAATCAAAGTTCGAAATTGGCAATCTGGTGATAAATAATTAAGAATCTTGTCGTTTGTACACCCTTAATCATCTAACCTTCTGCTCTGCTTTACTTTGAAGAATGGCTGTGTGTACGTTTTGGGGAACTTTACAGTTACCTTGCACTACCTGCTAATTTCTTCCACACATCAAGAATGCATGTTCTTTTCAGGATCTCCCTTTCTTTTAACTGCTTTTCTTTCATTTGTCTTTTAACCCTCTTTCCTTCCTTTTCTATCTCTTTGGTTTTCTGTTAGAGAGAATAAGATGTTCTCAGAGAATGAAATTAGGAACATCCTGTTTCAAGTGATATCTGGGTTGGCTTTTGTACATAAGCATGGTAAGAGGCTTTACACTGTCATTCTTTACCTGTTCATAATCAGAATAACCTTTCAGTAGTTGGTTTGGGTGTATATTGAAATGTAGTGCTAAGTGCACTGCCAACATGTAGATACATTCCCTTTAATGTACATGTGGAAATAAGTATTGCATACCATCAATAACAGGCTACTAAAACAGCTTGCTTAAGGTTAAAGAAACAATGTATCCATGGTTCGAAATGTCAATGTCGAATACACAGACCATCGAACCAAGGCCAGCGCTGACAGCGGCTATATACACCCAATCATCAGCTCCACAGTTTTTCCTTTTTCTTCTTCTAAATGTAGCTAAAGTTTTAAATACTAATGTGGAATAGTCACATATGATTGTAATCTGGCAATGTGCTTTACACAATGACTTAAGCTTAATACTTACCAATCCACAGGGTTCTTTCATCGGGACATGAAGCCAGAGAATCTGCTGTGCATGGGTCCAGAACTGGTGAAAATAGCAGATTTTGGACTGGCCAGAGAGATCCGCTCCAAACCTCCGTACACAGACTATGTTTCAACCCGATGGTAAGCATAATGAATCGCCATCTTAAACACAGAGGAGAGCATGTGCATCCATTGCAGTGTGCTTAACTGCTTTGGTACAGATGCAAGTTAGATTCACTTTTTGCAATACCCTGATTGTACGTTTGTTTACTTGATTATGTCCTCTGTCCAGGTACCGGGCTCCAGAGGTCCTGCTCAGATCGTCTACCTACAGCTCTCCTGTTGACCTGTGGGCGGTGGGCTGCATCATGGCTGAGCTCTACACTCTCAGACCTCTCTTCCCTGGAAACAGTGAGGTGGATGAGATCTTTAAGATATGCCAAGTTCTAGGCACCGTGAAAAAGGTGAGAAGAAACAGAATGACGAAAACAACATAAAAACACCTGATTAATAAATAAAACATACATTTAACCATCTGATTGTGTCTTCCTCCCGTAGACGGACTGGTCAGAGGGCTACCAGCTAGCTTCTGCAATGAACTTTCGCTTCCCCCAATGTGTGCCCACCCACCTGAAGACCCTCATCCCAAATGCCAGCAACGAGGCCATCATACTGATGAGGGACCTGCTGCAGTGGGACCCCAAAAAAAGACCCACTGCTGTACAGGTGGGGGAGAGTATAAGAAACCATAGCTTTATTTGCATTAGCATCCTAATCCCAGTCATTTGTTATTAGTTCTGAAGTCATACCTGATTCCCTCTGGCCCTCTGCATCACGTATCCATATCATGCAGAAAACATGGTCAGGTCATTACATGATTAAACATAATTTCCTCCACTGAGACGGTTTGATTACTCTGTGGGCCCTGGGTAGGAAACACCTTAGAGGGGACTTTTCCATGCTCTGCTTACAAAGCTCCCAGGTGTAGGATCACATCCAGATTTAGCTGATTCCAAGGAAACAATTCAAATTATGTTTAACTTACTCCACACAACATATACATATTTGAATAGGATAAAGTCTACATTGCTATTCTTTGTAATGCATTGTCACATTGTATAAATTAAAGCAAACTTCCTTACAGGTTTGAGTGTGAAATGTTGATTCATAGTCAGAAATGCTCAGGGAGTAATCGTAATAGCTAAAGAACAATCTGTATTCCTCTCTCTCCCTGTCCAGTCCCTGCGTTACCCATACTTCCAGGTAGGCCAGATCTTAGGGCCTCGTCCTCAGAGCCAGGAGATCAAGAAGGTCCAGGCCAGGCCGCCGGTCTCGGAGTCCAAGGCTGATACCCAGCAGTCTTCCTCTGACTCCAAAGCCTCCACTTCCTCCTCCAAAAACCAGCAGCCGCACCATCATCATCCTCTTCAGCAGATCCCCCTTCCCCAAACTGAGAGTAAAGCAGGAGGTCATGCAGTGAGTATCACAAACATTATTGTATTTCTTGTTGAATCAAATAATGGAGTCACCTGAGTTTATGCAGATTCAAACACTACCTTGTCATACATAAAGGAGTCTTTCTGGTCCCTTACTTTGCAGAAAGCAGCATCGCAGGGCAGTGAGAACAGCGTTGGTGGGGGTGGGGTGGCGGTGCTGAAGAGCGGCCGTCGTCGCTGGGGCCAGACCGTCGCCAAGACCTCAGACAGCTGGGAGGAATCGGACCGCTCAGAAACCGCCGCCTCCGACTCCAAGAAGCCCAGCCTGGGGGACGAAGAGGAGGAGTGGGGCCCTCAGGAGGAGAGGGGCCCTCAGGAGCATCGCCCACAGTAAGTGTCCTAACAGAACTATATTGGTGAATTGTGATTTACCTCAAGCATCTCGCATTTCTCAAGAGTTAGTTTAAGTAAAATATGTATGCAAAATGTCCTTAACTTCCCTAAATGATTTAACACATCTATTACCACCATAGGAGTAGGACTTATATTCTGACTTTATGTGATGCATTGATTTGCTTTTTCGGTACAGACTCTTAAAGTGTCTCGTTTTTATGTTTTCAGGCCCAAGCAGTCGGAGCAGAAGCCTCTGTATTCCTACAGCACAGTCACTAAGCTACCCAACAATGTTAAGATGGGCCAAATGGACCCCAATCTCCCAGGATCTGCTGCACGACAGCACTACCTGAGCCAGTCTCGATATCTGCCAGGTAAGACTGCATGATTAGCAATCCTTATCCTTGGAAAGAGAGCAGCAAATTGTAGCGTTTTGCAAGCAATTTTTTTATTTTTTTGTATAGTTTGGCATAATTTTCCCTCTTACAGTCTTTATATAAGTTGTTTAAAATGTCAGGTGAGCAATTGTAAAGCATGACTGCTGGTAGATCTAGTGTTTAATGCTGAATGACACTAACTATCGTAAGAAAACCTAAGAATCAGCAAGTCCAAATGCAAATTTCCCTAAATATTGGTCCTAAAAACAAAGCGTTATCATCATACTTTAGGTCACCTGATCAGAGTTTCAGAAAATTCAACGTGGTGATTTAAATGTTTGTGTTTTCATCACATCATTCCTGTTGCTTTTAGGGTTGATCGGCAAGCATCAGACTTCTTCTGGCGATAAGGAGTTGAGTGGTTTGACGCTGCGGGACTTGTGGGAGAACTCCTCAAACACTGTAAATAAACCGCTCGCTCCTATTGGAGGAGGATTATCAGTCACTAGAGCCAAAGCAGGTGAGGACTAATGTCTAAAGTAGAGGTGTTAAGTGTCCAGATTTGACTAACATGTTAAAGAAATCAAATCTATCAGAGATAAGAATCACGAGTACACCTCCACCCGCCTCATTATGCCCTGCAGTGGAAACCTGGCTACTGTCAGTGTCACATGATACAACACTTCTGTGCCACCAAGGCACTAAATGCTAATGATGCAGCTAATGTCTCCTGATCAGTAGTTATGGAGCCATTGACAAAGCAGGGTTAGGAGTGAGTCTAAAGTGTCTGCGACTTTAGAAAAGGGAGATCTCTATAAATCATTTGTCATGTAGACAGACACACAATATGAGTCCCCGCTGTGCTCTCTTCTTCTTCTTCTTCTGTCTCTTTCTTTCACCCTTTCTCTCCCTCTCCATTGCTTATTCATGAGATTAAGACTGTCTGTGTAAGATCAAGTGTTCCTTAAAAGGCCTTCAACTGCACCCCCTACTCATTTGTCCCCACACACAGCGTTTGTTTTGATACACGTATGAACACCTATTTGTATCTTTACAGTCAAGAACAATAACCCTTTTTCTAACTGAGATGCTAACATGATATTTATCTCACATTTCTGTTTTTCCTTTTCCTCTTCTTTCTGATTGCATGCATTTCTTCTCCGGCTCTACTTTTCCGTGTGAAACTAGAAGACAATGCCTCTAAATCTGACGATAGCCCGCCAGAGAAAACTGTTGTTAAAGAAAGAATACTGGAGAAAATTGATCTCTCCAAAGGTATTTTATTTCACGTGAACTTTTGTGTTGTATTTTGAGTGTGTTTGCTGATGCAACAAGCTTCAGTTATTCACCCAGCATCTTAACATGTGAATGAACCCAACTGCCAAAGACTCTGCAGGAGACAAGGGTACAAATACACAGTTTAGCCAGAGAACTAAGAGCTCCAGTTGCTAAATAGATGTTAGATTGCACTACAACCACAACATCTTCTTAGGGGAACAATAAGGCTTTTCACTAATTACCCCGATAAGCATCTGTGAGCTGCAGATCGATGGAGTCGCTGCAGAAGCTGAATGACTTCAATCACTCGGCCGTAGTCATTTGTTTGGGTCCTCAATAGCTTTTGCATATGCAGTAGCCACTTCACACACAATTTGTATCAGTAAAGCCATGTGTGAGAACATCTATTAAGTGTGTTTTCTAAACTTTACTTCATTTGTATGTTTTCAATGGTGTACATTATTTCATCTTATATGACCGTGAGAAGCAGCTAATGCTAGCGAGGTTGCTACATTAAAATAAAGACACATTAACTATGTTTTCTTCTATTTTAGGGAACTTTGTGAGCACCAAATACAACCTCTCTGGCGCTTATATTCCTTCATTCCAGAAGAAAGAGGTGGGCTCAGTGGGGCAGAGAATCCATCTCGCTCCTTTGGCTGGTCAGCACACAAGTAAGATTTGATCATGCTAAGCTGACATAATTATTCTTAATACTTTTACATCTGGTAACTTCACTTGATCCCCCTTTTTCCAGCTTCAACGGTTTCACTCCCTCATCTTTCTGAATATCAGTTTGCCATGACTATTCATACTCCTTTACTCTAATCAATTTCTCACCTACTTACTGGTACTATGTTTCTCCTCTTTCTTCACTCTTTCAGTCAATCCTTCTTCTTCTCCTGATAACAAAAAAGAGAAATCTAAATCTGCTAAGGCCAAGCCTGTATCCAACTCCTCTTTGAGCGAAAGTAATGAAGGTATTGGCCTTTTTCTAGTAGTTATTAGCCTTCTTTATTTTAGCCTTTTAAAATGATTCTTGCCTGATTCCTTGCATTGATGTTTTCAGATGAACAAAGCTGTCCTTCTGTATTGTTATGGTCCAGTGCTTTGACTGCTGATTACATTAAGATCCTAGTAAAATCCTGTCTAGCTAATGTGGATGTGTCCTGCTAGCTTCACCTGGCTATATAGCTTATGTGTTTAAAACTGTTTTTATTAGAGAAAACTCACTGACTTGCGTGTTCCTCCAGATTACGAGGGCTTGAAGAGGAGGGCAGACAGGACTCAGATGAAGGGGAGCAGCTACTCGGCCCTGGGGAAGACTTCTGGGAATCTCCTCAGCCGAGCCCCCCCCGTGCAGCCGGTCCACGGCAGGGTGGACTGGACATCCAAATATGGTGGAACTCGGTAGATCGGACAAGTCATACAGCTTCTCCTGCTTGATGGACTCTGGTATACATCTTTAGATAATGGATGTTAACCCCAAGCACAGTTTTAAAACACACTGAAACCCTACAGGGAATGCAGTATGTTCCCCTGAAACAAATTACAAACAAATCAACAGAGGTAGCTGGTAGGGGGAAAAACTGGTCTCAAAAGACATGCTTTCAGGAGACATTTTTCATGCCACAATTGCATAATTCTGTTTCCAGAGAGCCCAAAAGATGTTACTGGAAAACATGTTTTGGAGATGACGGTTGCCATGATGCTGAAATAAGACTGTCTGCTAGACAATCCCACTGTACTCCAGTGTGAGCCAATTCTACTGTTAGTGTTGAGATACTCTGTGTACAATTCAAATGTAGCATAGCTTTTCATTTTTATACTGTAGTTTATTATTGTTGTCAAGTATTGTTTTAATACTGATGGAAAAGCACTAACAGTAATTTATTAACAGCTCCTGCGTTGATCCCTCTGCTTTAAAATTTCATAAAAAATTGTAATAGCAACAAAAACGATCCCTTCAACTTATTCTGTGACGCAAGACAATGGCACACCTATTTGTATTATGCAATGAATTAATTGAGCATTTTGTAAACATTTTTATACAAATAAATAAATGTAATGTCATAATGCACTCATACAAAAAGGACAAGACAACCATTTCTATTATATAAACAAGGTTCTATATTTCATCCTCCAATATACACTTTACAAAATAACATTTAACGGTCAACAGTGAAAGACAGATGCTGACATGAAACAGATCATAGGGTACACCTCAGAGTCTTCACTCCATCACGACTCCTGGGGTTTCTGGAGCAGAGACAGACCGAGCTTCCCCACCATCACAAGACTGAAACAGGAAAAAAATGAAAAATCACATCTCTGTTTTTGACATTTGGCCCATCGTCTGGGGTCAACAGAAAAGGTCCATATAATGAGTCTATCACAGACATTTATCAAGTACATGGTCTTTCATAGAGGCAACCACCACACCTTGTCTGAGTCATCCTTTTTACCTCTCCTTGAATATGTTCATGTATGTAAAATAAATCAGTTTATTCATATGACAAATACCTTGCTGCAGCCATCAAGCCAGCTGGCATGAACTTCCTGGATCCGTAGAACCTCTTTCCCATCACACCAGTCAGAGCTCCTGATGTAGCTGGAAGACACAGGATGAACAAAATAAGATGTAATACAACTTGTTCAGAAATTGAAATTATCCTCATGGGACACAAACAGTGTTGTCAGTATAATTACCAAGGGACACCCAAACTTCTTTAGGGTCATTGGAGATCTGGTAGGCACCGATACCTGCGAGTCCACCGAAGAGAACACCAGCAGCCAGAGAGGGGACACTGCCTGAAAGAGAACACACAGCACATCAACACCTGCATTTATTATATCAAGGACTGAAGAGCATGAACAGACTGGTGTGTGTGTGGGAGTAACATAATTTAGTTTTATATGCCATGAAAATAATTGAATGAAATAGATAACATCCACATCCAAAGCATACACAATAATACAAAAATACAAGAATATAAGGTTACCTGCTTTGACGTAACCTATGACTCCCCCAGAAGCGATGAGGGCCGCGTAACCATATCCTACCCAATCCACAGACATGTTGGACACCTGCAAATAAAACAGCGTATGAGTGGACCTACATTAACTATTTAATTCACACAGCTTCCTATTGAACACGTAATAAAACGTAGAAGTGCAAAGACACCAAAAGGACTGTCTGAATGCTGCAACACAGAGGTGTTACACAAAACTAGCTGAGGAAACAGCAGGTAGAGAAACATTGTGTCATTAAAGAGAGTTCTCCCGCTTTGACACAGTAGTGCTTGTCTGTTTTTTTTATCAGAAATCGTTACAATGTGGACCAACGGAGGATACATATTTGTGTGTCTGGCTAACTCAGATAAGGCTAGCTGCAGTGGTGGAAAGTAACTAAGTACTAGAAACTTGTAATTTACTCGAGTATACTACTCCACTACAATTCAGAGGTACTTTATGTACTTTTACTCGACTACATTTATTGTATACCTTTATTTACTTTGCAGATTTGGATTAATTATGTAAAATATAATCAAGTCTTAAATCAGACTTTAGTTCCACCTGGAGTAAATTCACAAGCTACCCTGCTGTATACAAAGTCATTCAAACTAGCTGCACCTTTACCAGCTTTGAGAACACTTTAATGTATTCATAATTATAAAACAAAATATATAATATATTATTCTGAAATGGGCCAATCTGCATAATGAGTACTTTTAATTTAGGTACTGTATTTTGATGCGAATACTTTTGTACTTTTACTTTAGTAGTATTGAAATGCAGGACTTCTTCTTGTACATTTTTCTTCCTACACTCTGGTACTTCTACCTTTACTCAAGTACAAGATCTGAATACTGCTTCAACCTCTGCTTGCACGTGCAAAGACACCAAAAGGACTGTCTGAATGCTGCAACGCAGAGGTGGTACACTAAACTAGCTGAGGAAACAGCACGTATAGAAACATTGTATCATTCAAGAGAGTTTTCCCATTGCAACCCATGTCTGTTTAAAAAAAAAATCAGAAGTCGTTACATTGTGGACCAACAGTGGGTTATGTGTGTGTAAGGCTTACTTATGTAAAGCTAGCTTCTTTAGCACAGAGCCTTAGCCATGCACGCCTACCACAAACTAGCATCTGTGTTGCTGCTGCAGACATGCTAACACGACGGATTACAGAATATATACGCCATTGTTTGTATTGTATTTACAGCTTTAAACGTCTAAAAAAGCAGCATGAAAACATGAACCACAAGTATGCTCCATACAACCTTGCTCTCAGTTTGTCCTCTGTTACTGTCAACACACGGCAGCCTGTTCTCCACCGAGCACAATTTAGTGGTACACACAAAACGCGGCAGGGTGCCTGATGGGAAATGTAGGCCGTAGTGGTTGGGAAGCAGGTGCTGCTGCGTTCATGAAAACATGATTTATTGACATGCAAATGAACAAAACTTGGCACAAGGTTTTGGCTTTTTCCCCCCTCAAACTAACCATTTCTCCCTAACTTCCCTGTACTTGAACGCAGCTGAAATGTCCAGCACTCCTATGAGTCCTGTAAAACCAAAACAATTTAAAGATGTATTTAAATAATTATGTTTATAAAACGTAGTATATCGTGCATAATACATTAAAGTCATATAACACAAATAAAACCTTCTAAAATGTGTTCGCCTAGACAGTTTTTCTCTTAAAACTTACCCTTTCCCTCTTAATTTCCCCCTGAACGCAGCTGTAATGTCAAACTCTCTAAATTCTGTTCAACCTATGGTTTTAAGATATGTTTAAATAATTATGTTTATAAAACGTAGTCTATTTTGCACAATACATTCAATGTCTTGATTTGTCTATGCATACAGAAAATAACAGGAGCAATCTAAATCAATAATGGAACATAATGTGTAGGATTAACGATTAATTAACACGTTGGTAATAGCACCATTTGTTGCATATCATTTGACACTGCCACCTCCCAAGACTGATTATGTACCCTTGAGCAAAGCGTCCCCATCTGTTTCCACATTGATGTGCATTAGACAACAGAGCATTATTTCAGAGTGATTTGCTCTAAGGAAAATAACGGCTTCTGTTGTTTGATATGCCATAATGAAATGTATTATTTAATTGCTGTAGAAAAAAATACAGTGTGGAAACTGAACCCTGCTTACAAGAAGGTCTTCCTATAATCTAATTTCCTAACTGATATGACAGATACATTTGTCTTATTTTTATCACCACTAGATGGCACCACAGGATTATATTCTGCTACTTTTTAAGCCATATCAACAACCTAAGCTTCTAGTAGACTTATTTTGCTTTTATTTTAATACTTTTACATGTATTCTGTTTTGCACTCAGATATACATGTCTGCACAGAGGCAGAACAAAACACTCACTCTCACACATCTTCACTCACATCGGAATGTGTGTTTTCAGTAGTGGAGCCCTGCTGGGTGATTACCGTGAAAATGGGCAGGTTAAGTCTTGGAAGTGTGATTAAAGTTCATGAAGACAGACAGGTTTATGAAATCAAAAAATGACTTAACCTACTCCAATGAATGTGTCCAATTAAGTTGGAAAGGTAATAAACAAAACCTGCCTGAATTTCGACCCATGGCCATGTTATATATTTTACTAATTTTAACATGTTCCTTGTGACCACCTGCTTTTTTGAATGGCATTGTTTTTTTTCACTTACTGGAATGCTTGCGCACACATTCTCATTTGGTTTCAATTACCTGCAATATTGTCTTAAATGTTATCCTTTCTCCAGAAGCAAGGTGGCGCTAGAATACAATTTATAATCCCTGGGAAGCAGCGTTTCATTCAAAGGGCCTGAAGTCTTCTCACTCAGCAGACATCAATTTCATGATCTCACGGAGCTACTTCTTGTGACGGGATGGTTACTTCAGCAGTCAGGCACGTCCAGCTGGATAGAGTGTGCATCCAACAAAATCAAGCTGGGCATATTTTTAATATTCTAATCAACTTTTCCATAACTAAGGGGGGCAAAAGAACAAGTCCCAGTCATGGTCAAAATGTCAAAACATCTAGGGAAGGAGCAGAGGCAATAATAAGAAGGTTCCTTGTATGTTGCAACATTTTCTCAATGAAAGGAACACAGCATAATTATCCTACTACAGCCAATACAAATATAATAATACTAATACATTATAATTACCACACAACCATTTATTTTCATTCGTGTCAAATATGAATGCAAAGTGCCTGGGGTGCAGCCTGTTAAGCACAACTCGCAGTTTTAGGAAGTAGCCGGAGGCCGGTGCGATGGTGGAAGTGGTTGAAACCAAGCCTTTTAAACAGGCTGGATATTCAAAAGGGACCCCGCTCCTGCACTCCCAGACAGCTCTGCTTTAAAACTTACTCCTCCCTTATAGAGCCCCAAACAATATTTTTGATCCCCCCCTCCTCCACCTCCCTCTCTTTTGTCCAGTCCATGGTGAAGGTCTATAGCTGCAGGTATTGTGTGTGCAGTTAAAATGTGTTCGCCTTTGAAGTCAAACATGAAGGCAATTGTTTTAAATATTAACACCGCAACAAAAAAAATCTATAGATTCTATGTGGAATTATGCAATTGTGAAAAAGCACAAGTATAAAGGATTTATTGGAGAAAAAGGCACAAATAAAGTGTGCGTAAAAAGTGTGTCCAATATGTAATATAAGTGTTGGACGTAAATCCATGCAACGCTTCCCGTGTGCAAAGCAATGACAAAAAGGGGTTTTAGTTTAAATCTCTGACCATTATCACCTAGCGCACGTGTTGCACTGTGTGTGCGTGTGTGCGTGTGTGTGTGTGTGTGTGTGTGTGTGTGTGTGTGTGTGTGTGTGTGTGTGTGTGTGTGTGTGTGTGTGTGTGTGTGTGAGTGTGTGTGAGCGTGCGTGCGTGTGTAAAAGGGAGAGCTCATTCGCTCCTGGCCCGAGGGGTCTACATAAGTATGTATTAGAAAATAAACAGTGGATAAATAAATAATGACCCTCACAATAGCAGGGTAGCGTTCTTTGTAGAAGTAATGATGTTGGCAGTTAACCTTCAAGTTTTTAACTTGACACAGTTTCATTTGCAGAGAGAATTCATGGTTTCTACCCAGAAGAAAAGCTAAGAAAACAAACAGATATGTTCTTAAAAACTGTTTGTCAGTTGAAGACAAACATATGATACATACAAAAATAATATTATTTTTGCTTTGCTTTCTCTTTAATTTTCAGTTTTAGCACATTCTCTAAAAACACGTTTATTCATTATTATTTGTATTAGTATATATATTTTTCTACCATACATCACATCACAAGTTGTCTTGTACGCACAACACACTTTTCTTACGTCTTATAAAGGAAGTTCACTCTTTATGTAAAATTGCCTAAAATGTTGGGGGGGAAAGCTTAAACTCCCTTAATAAGTCAAATGAATATTTATTTGTTCGTTTTCACCATCATCGTTTTAAGAAAAGTCATTTAATTGTCCATTAGCGACCACAACATTACAGTTTAGGCCTATCGGGCACCTAGTCAAATGTGATCAGGTAGTTTCTCCCTATCGTCCACACCCGAAAGACTGCGCATGCGTCACCAGGTAGCCCCGCACAGTTTTTTTTAAGGCCAGGTGAGGCGATTCCGTCCAGGTAAGAAAATAAAAGGTTTACTCTGGGACCGGAGGCTTAATGAGATAGACACGGCACGGGATCGACAAGAAAACTACCAAAGGCAGCAGAAGACAAAGCATGTCAATTATGGGCAAAATGGGGGATTGGCAGGTAAGAGTCGCTCACTTTAAGACAAAGACACAGCTGTGGAAGCCCATGAAAACTGTCAAAGTGTCGACCTGTTGTATGATGAGCCTGCACAGGCACCGAAAAGACTGTATATAGTGGTTACACACTTGTGTTCTGTCAGGAAGAAGTTAATATAATTTATTTTGGAAACTCTTGCGGTTAAGTGTCAACTTGTCCATAGTTGTTTTGCTCTGAAACCTGATCATGTTATTTGCATGATGTTGGAAGGACTCCACACGCGTTTAATATACAATCGTATGTGTTTTAATAGAAATAACAAATGTGTCTAAACAAGCATAAAATGCTTTTTTTCTTAAAAGTGGAGTATTGACGAAACGCAGCCCTTATTAAAAAATATCTCGTTGCGTCTTTGAGGTAAAATCCAATTTATTATGAATGTACTTTTTAAGAGCTGTTCCAAATTCGTATTACATGTTTTTAAACCTAAAAAATACAAAGTATCCCATTATGGACTTTCTGTAGAGTTTCGTTAAGGTCTTCCCTGTAAACCTGGCATTGTTTTGGTGAGGTGTGCATGGAGGATTTAAACTGCTGCTACAAGAATCCTCGTTACCGATCAGCCCCACAGACGGCCAGGCCACATCTCCAGAAAGGCACCCGCATCAGCCAGTTTCAGGCACTCCACCAAAAATGGTAATCCGGGTTTTGAACGAGAGGAGCCAACGCCTTAAAGAGCTGGCGACCTGTCTGCTGACCCACGACCTGCTGAGGTGAAGGCTGGGCCGGCGTCAGGGCAGAGCCGGGCTCCCGAGCCGCTCATTCAAATGAAACAAGGCCATGTTGTTGTGTTAATTATTTACACTCCCCCTCAACCCTGCGCCCTTACAGGTAGTCAATGGACCTGTAGAGCGGCTTGGAATGGCTCACCTTTTTAACATAACATTGTAAGAATAGCCTCTCAAGGTCTCCACTCTCAATGGGATTAAAATAACAGTTTGGGAGTTAGAAAATCAAGGCTGGCAACAAAGTGTGTGACAGTGGTGTATTTGCATAGGCATGCTGTTTTCACATCGAGTATTAGAAAAGTCATCAAGGGACAAAATAAAGTTATATCATAGCAGTTTTTCCTTTTAATCAAATCAATTTAACTACATCGCTAAAATAGCATTTCTGTAGTCTTTCCCTTTTTGAAAATACTGTAAAATGTACCAAAAACCGTCCCAGGTGCATGCAGGTCCCCATGCATGGCTATATCCCCCTTATCAAACACCTCGCTGAACAGTAGAAATGTTAAGCATGTGTAGCGTCTTGCTGCTTTAGTTTTTACCTGTGCGCTGTCCATTGGTGTTGTGTGAGCAGATGGGGGGAATCAAACGGCTGTTGATATGCTAATGAGGCCCTGTGCCAGTGTTATTACAGAGCTGCTCCAGCCCTTCACTTCCACCATTAGAGGGAGACCTCAGAGCGCAAGACAGACAGCAGCCCACAGCTTCAATAAAAGTAGTTTTTCTGAGCGGGGAGCACAATTCACTGAGTGAAAACAAGACTAAGGCGAAACCTATACTCAATATCCACCTCAACAATCCATGAACATGCTTTGGAAATTAACTGATAACATTAAATATGAAGATTGCGAGGTAAGGGGCTCCTCTTTCA